CAGAAAAATAAAATTATAGACAATAGCAGTGGTGAGTATAGGTCAAACAGTAAAGGTCAAACAGTAATTTTCACAGTTCATTGTTTTTTTATGCACTACATATTTTGGAGGGCATTAAAATTGATGTTTATTTTAATGTGGCAACTATTTGGACTTGAAAAAGCAAAAGCATTTCCATTGAGACAAGCAGGTGGAAAACCCCCTCACCAGAAAAGTTGCATACTGCACCTTTAAATGTAGCCATGGATTACAATTATTGGTTTACTTTCAGCAGTTGTAAGCATGTAGTATACCTTGATTTCCCTATTTATACTTGTCGTAGAATCACTATGTAACACATTTCAGTTAATAATACAGTTAATCATACAAATTTAAGTAAATTAAATTAAATTATGTTTATGGTAAAACATAGTTGACATTTGAGTCCTGTTAGTGAGTGCTGGGACTCACTTGCTCCATTGGTCAGGATGTTGCTATAGGCAATCCCTCTTCTGGCTCTAAAAGGTTGTGTAAATGTTCTCTGTGGGAGGTGCAGGTGTGCTCCTCTCTGACCGCATGCTCCATCAGGTCCAATATAAATCCACCGCTCAGAGGGACCGAGCATGACCTTTGCCGCGAGTTCAGACCTGAGCAGAGCATGGGTCGAATCCTTGGCCTGTCTCACGTGCTCCCTGAGAGATACCGCTGGAAAAGAACATAAACTTTTATAAAATGTCGACTTGGAAATGTCCCAGAAAAGGCAACAACGTGAGCATGTATCTGAAAAGTTGTACAAGTTTGACATGCCAATAAGAATTTATCTAATTATAAACATTTTTATCATCTGTGAACCAGGAAGTAATGCTGATATGCTGTGAGACCATACTGTCTTGTCCAAGCCTCATACCATCACATCTCAGAAGCTCAGCAAGGTTAGTACGTGGATGGGAGACCACTGGGAAAATCAGGTGCCACAGGGGGGTGCAAGTCCCAAAAGAAAAAAAAACTGTCATTGTGTCCTTAGGCAAGACACTTCACCCACATTGTCTAGTATGAAAGTGGTGTGTGCATGAGTGTTGGTGGTGGTCAGAGGGGCCCATGGCGCAGATTGGCAGCTTGGTCGCACTTCCGTCAGTCTGCCCCAGGGCAGCTGTGGCTACAATAATAGTTTACCACCACCGGGTGTGGAGTGACTGAATAATGATCTGTAAAGTGTCTTTGTAACATATGTCAGTGTAAAGTGTTATATAAATACAAACTTACTTAATATATTGATTTAGCAGTACCACTTTATAATAACTCTTACATTTAATGACCCTTAAAGCCACAGTATGTGATTTTTTTTTACCAAACTAGATTAAATAAAATCATGTTTTTGGTTTATTGCACTAAAAAACATGCATCCTTACTGTCAGAGGGCTTGCATCTCCAGAGACCTAACTCTTATTCAGCCTGGAGGAGGTTTTCCTTCTGCTTGTTTCCATGGAACTGTTTTTAACAATAAAACTCCACAGTGAGGCCTAAAAAAGATCTGTCTCCATAGAGAATGCTCCTAAGTATGGTTTTAACTTTGTTTTTTCGTTGAGTCATCAAGGTGACGTGCCAGCATCAGAACTTTACATAATGTCCCTTCAGTGAAGCAAGACAAAAAGAAATCATAATTAACAAATACTTTGTTCTGAAGTGTTACTGCAAATATTTTACATCAGATGCTCTTCCTCACATAACTCTTTAATTTAACCTGGCTTGGGACTAGCTTCTAAAGGCAAATACTTTTATCTTATTTTTATTATCTTGACAGACAAAGCATCTAGTTCTGCTGAATATACATTTATCAAAACCTACTCTTATTTGATATTCTACAAAAAAACAGTATCCTGATCCTTTCATGAGCTGCAGATAAAATTATTGTTCCTCTTTCAAACTCAGGCCTTGAAACATCTGTCTCTGTATTACATTGACATGTTTCCTTTGTAACAAAACCTCTCATTTTTCACAATCAAAACATGATTTATCAGACTGCTGTGCTAATTACAGAGAGCTCAAAATAAACGCGGGGTATTACGGCCCACTTGAATATTAATGGAGGTGAATCACGTCTGTTCCTTTCTCGGGTCAAGTACAGGCAAGGAAAAAACACAACATTGCTAGAAAGACCATTATTCAAATGAGAGTGCACGTACCTTAATAGAAATCAGCAATGAACCATTAATTTGTGTTTTTAACGTCGCTTCATAATTTTGTGTCTAACATTTGTGATTGACTGTAAGCGCTTGCTGCAGTGCATGTAAATGTGTCCAAAAGTGCTAAAAGGCTCTGAATAAAGATAAATTAGGGTTAGCACGTAGCGTTAATCCTCACAAATGCTAGCTAAAACCAACGCGAGAGTGCCCAGAGATGGTTTTATCGTCACCATTCATCGCTATAAAGATTTGCAAGCTTTGACCTATGAACTTTTGCTATCCTCTGGTTGCGTTTGGCTTCCTGAATAGATGCATTATGGCCTTCGCTGCAAAAAAGAAAGTATGATTTGGCATGTAAGGTCAAAAGTCACTTCGTATTTTCTTATCTGCATACCTGAATGTCCCTGACGCTGCTTATCAAGTCCACAAAGGTTAAAATATTTCCTTTTTGTGCAAGAAAAACTATTGATTTAACTTGAAAGGCAAAAACAAACGCCTGCATGTCCTGCTTTTACTTTGGTCCATTCAGAAAATTAATATAAAAAGAATTCATAAACTGTAACTCGACATATCCTTTGCATATATCTGTATTAAGACTCATAATACGCTGTTTTGATGTCCACATTTCTTTATATTTGCAATACAAAGCGAAGGTGTAATTTATAACTAACTTGTACTCTATGCGTGATTCAAATGCTTTCTTATTATTCTTGACTCTGGCATTCACAGTACAGAAACCGGTCCATTTATTTTGATAGAAAATACATTTCCTTTGAACATAGGAATCTTTAAGTCTTCCTTGACCCTGTTCATTCTGCATTGCTTTAACACGTTTACAAGTAAAAGTTTCCGGACTAAAACATCAATTTGTGCATAAAAGTACTGCTTTAACTTCCGCTCTAAAACAACATTAATTGAATGGTCCACATAACAATAATGAGATATCCCTGCGTCGCCTGTGTGTGTGGAATTGCCATCTTCCTCCCATTGCCTATCGTAAATGATGCATATAAAGCCTATTCAAATGAACGAAATCATATAGGAATTGCATTTAAGGATAAGAAAGTTAAATTAACTTGTGGGCAAATAATGAACCAAGTTGGAGATTTGTTGAAGAAAGTGAAATCACTAATGGCTAGCTGTTGCAGTGTGTAATCAACCCAGCTTATAATCAATTGTGCCAAATTAGCTACGCGATGGATAAATCTATGGACTTAAAAGTGCAAAGGGCGTATTTTAAATGACACTTTATGGCTGTTTTGTCAGGTATCTTAAAAACATTACGCCTAAAATGTATGAAAATTATGTGTGCATCAACAACCGTAATTTGGCAACTTTTTCCCCGTCTTCTTCTCGCCTTTTCAAAAACAGTGCCCACCCCGCAGAGATGATCAAAGACGGCTAGATCCATCTTGACATGCTACACCCTCTCATCTATCGCTCCAAAAGGCACAAGGTTTTTTTTTTTTTTTTTTTTTCCTACTGAATGAATGGACAGATTAAAAAAACATTTCTGCCATGTTGGAGATAGAGACCAGCACTCACACACTCCATAATTATTAGCCCGATGATTGCACATGAGTGTTTTTGGATGTTGCATCTGGCCTCGAAAAGGGTTGATAGAAACTTGTTGTATATATCCAAACGCGCATTTTCCCGGCTGTCAAAAAATTGCGTTCAGAAAAAGCTGTACTCCTCTCATCAAGAGTCATAATTTACTTGTCAAAGCAGGGGTCCGCGCCGCATGTGGGAGGCACCATGGGGTTATAATTGCGAGACGGTTTTTGCTTCTCCTGAAATGCCTCTAGTCAAGAAGGAGCAACGGGCGTGATAGTCATGCTTTGTATGTGTGCTCCTTTCTTTTTAAAAAGTATAGCCATTTGCGCTGAAAATTGTAAAACATGATTAAAGGAATATTTGACTAGACTATTTTGCCATCAACTCCCTGTCAGGGACTACTCTCAACACTATTTCAACACTGATTGCCACTCAGCGTGATGCAGTGGCTAGCGCAAGGTGGCCATCTGGTGGAGAGAATGGGGAACAGTAGCTTTGTGGCACTGAGCTCTAACTTGTACTTACACCATATTAAAATTCGGATTAAACCTAGAGCTAGACCAAGAATAAACCAGGAATAAACCACAACTAAAGCAGTACCAACTGAGTCTACATCAGGACTAAATAAAATAAAACCAACAACGTAATAGTCTACATTTGGTATTGATTTTTAAAAGCATTTTAGGAATCTTCAGAGGCTTTTAGTCCCAAGATCTAGAACAAATCGTTTTAAAAGGAGCTTCGTTCCAGCTGCTATAGTACTCTATCTATCTGTAATCTATTTATCTATCAATTTTAATATTTTATCTTGGAAAAGTTGTTTGTTTTTTATATATTTAATATTTATTGTGATCTTAGTCAAGTGTGATGGATGAATTTAATTAATTATTTGCATTTATTTTTTGAAAAAATTCAGCATGAATTTTGAGATTGGATTATGTCTCAATTTTTATTAAACTTTTTTGTGTCTTTAGGTAGTTAGTAAGTTTTGTAACTATACAAACTATGTTCTGTTTTCCAAAACATTCTTATCTGTGATGTAAATGTGGATTCATTATCATCAATTTCAATATCAAAAGATCATCATATTCACAAATTAAGTTTTACCTGGACTACATTTGATCTCAGTTAGATTTTGAAAGACCCTGTTCTCGTCTTGTAACTCTGTGTTGTAAGTTCGTGTCCACTCTGTGCTTGTGTGGTCCAACTACGTGATTGAAATCATTGCACGTTGCTTCTTATTTGGTGTTTTATTTGCTCTGTATGAAAATGAATCACGCGTCGAGGCTACGTAATTTTATTCATAGATATTTCCGTCATAAGGCACATTTTTACATATTAAAATGAAACCACGCAGCCAAACATATTTTAAAGTAAATAATATGTTTCTACAGTTGTTATACATCTCAACGTGACATGCGCAATTTAAGACATTTTTCATTTCATGCATAGAAAACTCAAAAGACCATTTAATATCTAACACAAGCACACCAATGCATTTGTATTGTCACTCTTATCATGAAATTCATATTTAAAATGAAAGCTAGCACCCTCTAATCAGTTGAATAGAGCGCGTAAGCCCAACCAATCTCCAGCGGCCTACAAAAACAATAATTTTATCTGGGAACAAAGATGCTAGTGATTTTGACTTGCTTCATTTGAAATTGTCAAATTAATTATTGGATTTTGGCAGTCGCAAATTAGCAAGATCCTAGTCAATGATGTTAAAGTAGTATTTTTTATTTTATTTTTTTTTACCAAATGGTAGCTTTTCAAAATAGCTGTTTGGATAAAATCATTTGTAATTGTATGCACTTAGTACCATTGACTTTAAATATTTGCAAAACTTAATTATCTTGAGCCTAGTCTGTTACTACCAAATCGTCTCTTTTGTTTATTGCTACAATTTCATTCATTTTCTCAAACAATCTCGCAGTGCTTGAGTTGTTTTTCTTGCTTGTCAATACATGATATCGGCCTTTACATTTCTCAATTATCCTTCTATGTTCCCCATTTCTCTGAATATGCTGTTCTATATTCACTCCTAAAGTCTCCCCCCATGTAAACAGCACCATTGCATTGTCCCAAATGTCACTTGCAACTAAATTAAGATTATATTCTATAGCTTTTCTGTATGTTTCTGTGCAGGTTAGAAAAACAGGCCATACTAAGATCACAATATCGGGCTCTGATTCACACCAACTTACTGCTTCTCGTATATTTTCTCTTGAAGTATTTGTACAATCTTGCCATTTCACTCCTTGCGGTTCAACAATTGATACCTCTCTTCCTTCTATCTCCCCTCTCCAATACCTAAAGTTTCCACCGTTTATTTGCGACATCTCTTCTTGTTTTCCTGCCAGGATGCGAACCCCAGATGGCGAACGTGCTGACCAGCTTTCCCTTAACATTAAGATAGTCAAATCGCTGGTTTCTTTGTAGTTTTTGGGACTCTTTGAAAGCCCTTTAAAGTCACTGATAACCTTTCCGCTATCTACTTCCTGTTTATTTTGCGACTCCATACTTTCATTTTCTTCTGCCATCTCATGTAGTGTTTCAAAGTGACAGTTATTACCTTTCGGACGTGCTAATTCAGCCATTTTCTGTACCCTGTCTTTTCTGCCGATATCCTGGTACATAAAGTCTTCTTCCTTATGTGTATAATCTAACTGATTTTGCCTTGTGCTTAGCTGCGTCTCTCTTTCTTGCAGACTAACTTCCCATTTATTTAAATTGTCAAACATTAGCCTATACTTTTGGTCTTTATGTTTTAGCTGTTGTTTGAGCGATGCTAATTCTTGGCCCATTTCGTTCAATTGTTGCGTGGTATAGCTGACATGCTTGTTTTGTGCGCTCAGCTCCGATGTCCAATTTATCAACTCTTGCTCTTGATTTTTTAAATTAAACTCTTTGTCTTTCAGCTCTTTCCCCTGGTCTTTCAACCCTCTCACTTTCTTTTGCAAATCTTGCCCGTGAAAATTTAACTCTTTTTGCTTTTCTTCAAGAATTTCTAACATTTTATCAAATTCTTTTTCCTTTTGTTCAAAATATTTTTGTCTCTCGCAATCTTTTTCATCGAGTTTGTTTTGTTTTGCAGTCAGAGCTACTTCCCACTGGACTAATTCTTCCTGCCTCTTTTCAAAATCCAGCACTTGCTCCTCAAAATTCAGTTTTTCATTTTTCCAAATTTCTATTTCTTTAAATTTCTGCTCCAAATCTTGTTTTTCCTCTTCATCTTTCTCTAGTTTCTCTGCTAACACTGCAAGTTGCTTTTCAAAGTCCTTTTTCAAATCTTCTTTTTCCTTTTGTAGGTGGCTACTGATTTGTCCTAACTCTAAAATCTCTTGTTTATAATTTTTACAAAATGTGTCAAATTCTGATTCTTTAAGTTTAAATTGTTCATCTTTCGCTTCATACTCTTCTTTCAACATTTTACATTTTAGTTCAAGCTTCTGAATCTCCTCTGCCATTTTTCCTTCCATTTCCTCAACTTTCTTTTGACTATCTTGTAAATTTTCCATAACTTCCAATGCTTTTTGTTGCTTTTCTTGTTGCAAAGATTGTATAACTTCATTTTTCTCATTGACAATAATCTCTAGTTCTTGATTTCTTCTTTCTATACTTCTTTCGTACTCCTGGATCAAGTTTGTCATCTCTCTCTCCATTTTTTGTGTCAGTTCATTCAGTTCTGCTTTTGTTTGTTCAATTATGAGTCTCATTTGATCACAGTCTATATCCTTCTCGGCCAGTCTCTCCTCCATTTCTCTTTCTTTGTTTCTGTAACCCTCCTCAACCTCTTCATAATTTCTGACACAGTTTTTCAACTCTTCAATTTCATGGACATAACTTTCTTGCATCTTTACAACTTCCTTATACTCCTCCTTTTTTAACATAACTTCATTTTGAATTTGCGCAATTTCATTAGTCAGTTTTTTGACTAATTTCTCATTTTCAGCATTTCTCTCAGTTTCATTTAAAAGTTTTTGTTTTATCTCATTTATCTCTTTATTACGAATTTCCAGCTGGAGCTCAGCCTCTTTCTTCTGGTTTACCAACATCTGTCCTCTTTCATTGTCCTTTTTTTGCAACATTTCTTCAATTTCTTTTAATTTCTCATTGAGCATTTGTATTAATTGTTCTTTCTCAACCAATTTTTCCTCAATCTGTCTCCATTCTTGGTCTTTTTTGGTTTGAAATTCTTGTAGTTTCTTCTCTTCTTCCTGTAAACACTCTTTCAACCTAAATATTTCTTGTTCTCTCTCTTGTAGTTTTGCCTGCACACCTGCCATACAATCCAACTCTTCCAATTGTTTTTGTTTCAGTTCTTCAATGTCAGTTACAAGTTTTTCAATTTCTTCTCCTTTTTCTTTCAAAATATTCTCAATTTCTTTATTTTTCCCATTAATCTCATCGGTATATTCACATTTGAGTTCTTGAATCTCCTTGTCTCTCTCCATAAAAAGCTGTTCTTTTTCATTTTCCAATATTGACATTTTTGCTTTCAGCTCTTCTTCATGCTTTAATTGCCTTGTCGCTATCTCTTTTTGTTTTTCTTCTAACATTTTAGCAAAATCCTCTCTCATTTTTTCAATTTCAGTTTTTTGTCTCTTCAGATTGTCTTGAATTTGCTCACTTAGCTTAATAATTTCTTCATTTTTCTCATATATTTCCAGTTTTTGATTTTCCACAATGGTTTGCTTTTCAGTTTCAAATTCTCTGGATTTTTCGTTTATCAATTCACAATATTTTTGTTCCATTGCAGCTAATTCTCTCTGCTTGATTTCCATGTTAGATTTAGCTTCTTTTGCCAGCTGGTCTTTTAAATGTTTGTTTTCTGATAATTTTTCATTCAACTCAGTTTGATGTTGCTTCAGAATTTGTTCAGTTTCTTCAAAATGCTGTATCCTCAACATCTCTAACTTAGTGTCCATTTCGCTAATTTTGTTTTTCATCTCATTGTCCGAAAGTAACCTAACTTCATCTAACTGTTTTTTATGTTGACAAGTCATCTCATCCATTTTCTTTAGCATTTCTTGTTTATTATTTTCAATCCTATCCAACGCTTTCTGCTTTTCATCGTTCATCGAGTTTATGTTTTGTTCAACCTCTGTTTCCTTTTCGCGTAGCAAGGTTTCAATTTTCGACATTTTAAACTCAAATTCGTTTAGTGCCATTTCTTTTTCTTGTTTTATTTTCTCAACGTCATCCTCATAACATTTTCTAGCTTGTTCCAAGTCTTCGTTTAACTTTGCCGCTTTCTCCTTCCACTCTGCGCATTCACTTATCGCCAATTTAACATTTTGTTGTAATTTTTGTACTATGTTTTCGCACTCTTTGAAAGCCTCTTTGTATTGTCGCTTCTCTTGTTCATGTCCGACTGCGATGCGTTCAAGTTCAAGTATTTTTGATTGTTGCTCGTCAGCTCGTTCAGTCAATTCTTCAACCTCTCTTTCTCTCATTTCAACTTTAAGACCTGCCTCTTCAGACTCACATTTACTTTTGTGTAGCTCGGCCAGTATCCTCTCATGCTCCACATTCAAATCTATTATTTCTCTTTCTTTGTCTTCTATCATCATTCTCATCCTTTCTTCCAGTTCTTCAACATTCTGATCAGTTCTCTTTTCCTCATCCTCCTCTTCTTCTTTTTTCAGATTCCCGGGCGATTTGGACTTTTTCTTGCGTTCAAAAAACCACCTCAAACTTTTCATCTCCCTCTCTCTCAGTTTTTTAAGCTCCGCCTCTTGTCGTGACATCTTCTCCTGCAGTTCTTTCAAACGCTGGCTGTATTTCTCATTTTTTTGCCTGGTCAACGTCTTCACTTCCTGGACTAACCCTGAAAATGCCTCACATCGATTTGTAGTGGCCATTTTTCCACTTTCTCCAGCAGTTCCGTCACCAGCGTTGAATTCTGTAACCCGTTTGCGTAGCTCATGGCGTGGTATCTTCCTTTACACTTTTCCAAGAGCATCTGCAACTCTTTCCCGCCTTTTTGAATATGTTTCTCGATACTAACCCCCTCTCGTAGTTGATCACAATGAGTAAATAGTAAAATTGTGTATCTCCAAATGTCCTCTCCTAACAGCTCTAAATGATTGCAAATATGACTTTCTCTAACCGCTGTATTGACTCGTAACGCTAACAAAAATGCGTGAGGACCTGGCGGGCATAAACCAACACTCGTGACTATCTCTCTTTTCACTCGTTCAGGTGTGGTGCCCATGACGCCTCCCTCCCATCCAGGTGTGTCCACTACAGTCACGTGCCGTTGGGAGACGTTCGCTTGTTGACGAATGCACTCCTCTGTAACCGTTCCAGCTTGGAATACGTCGGAATGACCCAAGATGGCGTTCCCAGCGGAGCTCTTTCCGGTCTCCCGCTCTCCCAAAAGAACGAGGCGGATTTCCGGAAGACGACGAGGGGTTTTGGAGAAGGAGTGGTGGCCGTCGGACTCGGACAACTGCAGATTGTCACCTACAGAAAAGAGGTAAAGAAAGGTTTAAGTTTTTAATATTATTGCACATAATTCCATCTTTTATTCATGGGCTTTTGCTTCTAGTTATATGCAACATTTTGTGACTTCCTATTCAAAAGATATACCATGATTTCTGGACTATTAGTCATTACTTTTCTCTCACACTCTGAACCCTAAAACTGTTTATTTACCATGTGATAAAATAAGTTAGGATGCTAAATTAACATTAGTGAGTGGGATACATTTTAATGACCCAAACGTGTTAAATGCAGGTGAGTAAATAAACAACAAGAAGAAATGGCTCAAACTTCAGTAGCCAGACATCCACTCATCTCATACTTGATCGATACAACTAGCCCCGTCCCTGAGAAAGCCTGAAATCTGCTGAAATCCTATAAGACACTGACATGATCCCAGACAGGACAGCGGTCCTTTCTACAGGAGACATGCTCAGTAGAACGTGAAGTGACGTAGACTGATAATTCTGTCTAATAATGTCGTTTTACTTCCGTGTTACAGGCACTGTATGTAAAAAAATGCACTGGTATTTAATCATTAAAAAAAATCTTTCTGTGTAAATATCTCAAGTTACAACAATACTATATCATCAACTTAAACTATACGATATATCGATATTTCAATATTTTTGCATACATCGAGTAACTGCTGCACTAACCTATTCTTACCACTATAATGACATGAAGCCTGGGGTCTAAAAGTAGCACTTAAACAAAGAGAGTCTTAAAGGTGCATTGTGTAACTTTTCTGGTGGAGGGCCCATCAAATGCTTTTCTCCATGGAGATGTTATTGCTTTGTCACATACATTTGACATATGGTATTAAACCTTTCTACACTGGAAAAAAACAGTATCTAGTTGAATTAAAATGACTTAAATTAAGTACATTTGACTTTATTTGAGCAGATTCAACTTGACAGGTAAAATGATCTACCAATTGAATAAGTTTGTTTTTCTTAATTCAAGCAACAGTAGATTTTGATTCTTATTTTAAGTGCAAAAAGTTGTAATTTTTCTTATCTTAAGCATAGCAAAATGTATTTTCATATTTTAAGTACAAAAAATCTTGTTCCACTGGCAGATCATTTTACTTGTCAAGTGAAATTTACTCAGCTCATGATAAAACTTTCTTAATTCAAGTCATCTTAACTTGGCTAGATTTAGTTTTTTATAGTATGTCTTCATGGAGACCAAACCACACCAAGTTACATGTCAGATCTGCAGCAAGTTGACCCCACTCACAGTCAGAATGCCTGTTTTCTAGGCGATTAAACCACCTGTAATTGAATAAATGTAGGATTACTAGGATTAGGATTGTGTAATGTCATACTGGGAAACATTTCAGGCAGGAGACAGACCCCCAACCAAAAAGTTACAGTAGTAACTAGTAGTTCTTGAAATACTTGTATACATATTGTGTTAAAAAAACTCACTGATCAGAGCGGTCTTGATGGTCCCTCTTTGCGCCTGGGCCTCCATCTGCCTCTGTCTCTTCCTCCTCTCTCTTGCTCTCCTCGTCCCGTCCACCTCCATCTCTGACAACACTGCAGCGTCCATACTCACGTGTTTACACCTCGCTTCTTTCTTCTCCACCATTTCTTTCAACTTCTTTATCAATTCTTTAACCTGTGTCCCTTCTTTGTTCCTGTTCTCCATTACGTGATATCTATTTTGACATTTTTGAAGGAGCTTTTGCAGTCCGGGACTAGTTTGAATGCGTTGTTCCATCGATACCAATCCTAACTCATCTCCTCTTGTGAATAGCACTATTGTGTATTCCCAAATGTTTCTCCCAAGTGGAAAAAGATGTTCCTCTATTTCTTTAATGTAATCTTCATTGACAGAAGCGCAGGATCTAAGCACAAGCAAAATGGCATGAGGCCCGGGGGGGCATAGAGTGACACTTCGTAAAGTCTCGCGTTTGACCCAATTCGGGGTGCTGTTGAGTGGGTAGTACCATTCCCATCCCGGGGTGTCAACCACTGTCACTTTAATCCCGTTCACATCCGCACGTCTTTTGATACATTCTTCAGTCGGTTTTCCATATTCAAATCCAGCTCCCAAAATGGTGTTCCCCGCTGCACTTTTTCCAGCTCCTTTTCTGCCCAGTAGGACCAGTCGGAGATCAGATATGGGAGAAAGGGGGGTGTGATGAGGTGAAGGAGACGCAGGGGTGGCCATGATGGACTGTAAACTGTAGTCTCTGAAGAAAGGTAGAAGCAGCTCCTCAGTGCAGCGGACTGGATAAGCTGTGAAAGACAAAACAGAAGTGGCCAATTATTACAACTTGTATTAAGCCGTATACTTGATATTACATTTCAACAGTGTATAGATTATTGTAAAACTATAATCCCAATAAGCCTACCATATTTTTCGGACTATAAAACCCACCGGATTATAATTTTGCAATATTAATAATGTTGAATACTCTGGCCTGTTTTCATACATAAAATGCACTGGATTATAAAGCGCATTAAGCAAAACAAACAACACTTGAGACTGATCCCCTAGCCTAGGCATCCACCATCCATTGGCAGATCATGGCGTAATTCGCCCGGTGTTGTCTCCCTGCCTTGGTGATTGTGTACTATGAATGTGAATGTGGGTGGATAATTTAAGTTTATGTCCTTCGAGGAGCACTCAAACATATGTTGCACTCTTAAATAATCCAGGCGAATGATTCCGTTTTGCAAAGTTTATTTTATCCAAGCGGTTCAATACATTCGAGGCACACAGGGCTACAACACTTGAGTGCAGGCCACACTCACAACACTGGATGGGCGTGTCTTACCTACTTTTATTGCTGGACCCCCAACTATCGGCACCACCCATTTCCTGGCCGCTCTCGATGCTACAGTGTATTTTAATTACATGATAAATACTATATAATTTAACATTTCATCCAAAATATATACATTGAGTAATAATGTGTTTAATGCAGCTTTGCCACATTTGTTTGCGTTTTCCAGAAACAAAACTTAAAACCACATGGATAATTTGCATAAACTATAAACACTGAAAAAAAACCTTCTTGTGCACTGATTTGGTCAGCTTCTGTCGGACTAATGGACATGACTCAGTGGAGGTCAGTAAGCACAACCAGAATTAATACATAAGGCGCATTGTCGATTTTTGAGAAAATTAACGCATTTTAAGTGCACCTTATAGCCCGAAAAATACGGTATAATGGGAAAGTTGCAATGCAATGCAATTTGAACATTCAAAAGATTATAACAGTGCTATTTTTTTAGTATACATTTGCAAGTATGATTCAGTTTTGGATCAACCATATGCATAAAAAGTAATTATTATTTTTATTTATATATTATTATTTATATATAGATGTTACTAAAATCTTCTTGTGGTGAACGTACTGTAAAATCTGTGCCCTGATATCACTGTATTTTAATTCATTTGTTGTTGTTTTATTATTATAGTCTAAATACTATTTTCAAATGTATCTTTAGACAAAACATCACCTCCTCAAAATCAAAGTTTAAAAGCCATCAACTATCAGCTATTACTAATGATGAAAGGCTTTTTAAAATTAAACTAATATGGGGAAAAATGCATACACTGAGACTTGAATACATGACAGGCATATATTGATTTGGAGTCAATAATCTGTGAGTAAAATCCTGTATTTTTTATATTTATGGCTGAGAAGTTTTTGGCTACATCCAGGTTAGAAGTTTTGAATAAAAGTGAGCAAAATGTACAAGGACATTTTACCTAATAACTTGTTTATCTGTAAACTCTTCACTTTTAAAAGGCCACAAATGTATTATAATCTTTGTTGTTAAATAAATGACATGTTCAATGCCATTTGAGGGTAAAACAGCACAGATGTAGTGCTTGATAACCAACTTCACCAGTTAATTAAACATTAAATTATTTTTAAAAGATTGGAAAACCAAGGCTGGTACTTTTTTGGTTAATTAAATTAAATTGGTGAGCACATGGCACAACAACTTCTGCTTTTATAAACAAACAAAACAAAACAAAAAACTACTGTACCCTACTGCTTCATAATGTAGGATACAGGATAACCTTTCAAGAGATGTTTATGGAATATTGTAGGAATTATTTCTATGGTAAGGCAATAATGTGTCCACTGCATTTGACCCGTTCTACACAGGGTCTACGGCAACCTGACTGGAGCAGTGGACCCATCCCCAGGTCTTGAGCTGGTTTACATGGTCAGGAGTACCTTAGCTGGAGGATTACTTTAGTTTATGCATTACAACAACTGTAAAAATGTCATATGTCACAATTTAGTTATATGATAATATCTTGACAACTTGAGTAGTCCTTAGTGTTAACTACATTATTGCTTATTATTATGACTTTCCGAGGGTGCTCAGGAAGGAGCAACTAAACACAAGCCTGCTGGTGACCTTCTACTGTTCCACCTCTGAGCCTGCTGACCTATGCTGTGTCAGTGTGGCACTCGAGCTGCACAGAGGCCAACAGGACGCGTCTGCAGAGGGTGACCAACACTGCACAGAAAATTATTGGCTGCCCTCTTTTCCATATCCACCATCTACAACTCCGGGTGTCTCAGCAGGGCCAGGAACATCATAAAGGACAATGCCCACCTTGGCCTTCACCTCTTCATCCTGTTGCCTTCTGGCAGGTGCTTCAGGTCCATACCAGCCAGAACAAACAGACAGGTGACAGCTTCTCTCCCAAAGCTGTCACCACTAAACTCAAGTTTGCACTGAGAACTGTTAATTTGCAAAGTCAGTGCCAGTGTTATCGCTACAATTTTAATGCTGCTAGCCACTCAAGTCACTTTAGTCTTAAGTCTGTTTCTAATGGTATGTGTCTGTCTGTCTGTGTACCCCTGAGGGGTTTTGCACAAGTTTTATTATAGTAGTTTTAGTTTTATGATATTATATTTTATTATACTGCGCTGTGTGCACTTTGAAGGAGCAGTTCTCCATCTCATTGTACTGTATATAATGCCAATAAAGGCTTTCTATTCTATTCTATTATTTAAAAGCAATAACCTAGAATTGTTCACCAACATAAACAGTCAAATGAACAGAAAGTAAGCAGACAAAACAAAACATTAAGAATAAAAACAGACATTCAGAATTAAGCAATGAATGCAGTTAAGCAATTAAACAGGTTAATGAAAACTTACCAACAATGAACAGACCTCAATTTGATATTTTTCACCAAATTTAAAAGATATTTTACAAGATATTTTACAGTACAGATATTTGACAGTAATGAGGAAGTTTAAATTGAACAAACTTACCTTCATTGGTGTCCGTGCTGTGACCGGTGCTGCTGCGATCTGCCTCCATCACGTCCGTCCACTCTTCCTCCTTTTTATCTTCCTCTTTCTACTTCCTGTTTCTCTTTTAAAACTAAGTAAGTATTTCTTCACTATTGTCAGCAGGAGTGTCAAATACAAACCTTTTCGAATTCGAACTAGTGTGAAAGCGAGACACACGTTTGTAAGTCACGTGGTCATTTGTGGTTTTCCTCATTTCACTTGACAGGAAGTGTAAGGGTATGTCATAGAGAGGACTTGAGAAATATGATCAGGCAAATGAGATAAGAGTCATCTTTATTGTCATTACGCTTGTACAAAATACAATGGTGATTATAACTTAATTGTATCCGTAAGGTTGTATATGTATGATAGGCATGATATTTGTACTACTATTGTACTAAAAAACATTAATGATCTATTCAATTCAGTGGCACTAGAGGATCATATATCAAATCCCTGGATCCTTAAATGCAACACAATTTGATGCCAATTGTGACACACAGTAATGTGTTTTCACATTATGTTTTATTTTTTGTATGTATTGGTAGTAAATAACTGTAATTACACCCTCACGCCAGTAGGTGGCGCATGACTACTCGAGAGGGTATTATGAGGTCGGAGGTCCTCCTCTCCAATTCCAGGTGCCACAGGGGGGCGCCAGTGGCAAAAAACTGTCGTTGTGTCCTTAGGCAAGACACTTCACCCACATTGCCTAGTATGAAAGTGGTGTGAGCGTGAGTGATGGTGGTGGTCGGAGGGGCCGATGGCGCAGATTGGCAGCCATCAGTCTGCCCCAGGGCAGCTGTGGCTACAGTAGTAGCTTACCATCACTGAGTGTGTGGAGTGACTGAATAATGAACTGTAAAGTGCTTTGGGTATCTTGAAAGGCGCTATATAAATGCAATCAATCAATCAATCAATATGGCAGAAGCGAGGCATAGAGAAACTTGACGGTTGCCTGTCTCATTCTTTCCTTGGGTTTTACAGGTCAGTATCAAAGTAAAAACCACATCATTTGGGTCATAAACAAGTAATAAACACAGCTAGTCATGAGGGTATAAATCAGTTGCTAAATACTGTGTTTTTGTTAAGTTTAACCATGTAAATAGACATGAAAAGACAGGTCAAAGCAAAGCTACGGGCGCCATTTTGAGTTTATTGCGCATTTATTTTAAGCTCCCGTTTTCGTAACTGCAAATGTGTAAAAGTGCTCCGACATCGTTTTGATTATAAAAGTGTAAAGATTAAGTTCATAAGTAAAAGTTAAAAAGGGTCTTAAACTAAAGCTAAAAGCCAGTCAGTAGTAACGGTTACTACCATGAATTGCATGGTAGTAACCGTTACTACTGACTGAGGAGCCGTTAAGGTGGCAGTTATACAGTAAAGACAGTTTGTTAAAAACAGACCAGCTGCGGTTGTAGAAACTGATAAGCGTATTTTGGTTACAATGTAAGAATTAAATATTAATTCTTTCCTTGTGTTTTATAAGAAACATTTAATCTGCCCAACAGGCCCAGAACTTGGGTCTGTTACACAGTGATAATAGATTTACATACGATGCTTTGACATTCAAACTGCGGTGAGGGGAGACCACTATTTCCTTTGCCAACTCACTTCCTGTCAACAAATTTCAGTACATGCTTCATTTGAGTATTGAGCATGTTCTCGTTTATGTAATTCGGTGCTTAAAAACTTTCCATAACAGGTCATGTAAATAAAAATATTATAATTTATATGTAGTGTAGTTGTTATGCAAACATAGCAACTTAAAATGACCCAAATTGATCTAAAAATTAAATGTATGATGATAAACTACAATATAAACCATGCATTTCAAAATTTATTATAATTAGATTTCTTCTGTTTTTGCTTGTGATATTTTTGAGTCTATACTTTTATAATGACAAACACCTGGCTTTTTTTTTTTTTTTTTTTTCACAAATGTACTAGTATGCAAATTACCCCCCAAAATACTAGGACCAGTACAGAATGTCATTAAAACACTATATAGACAATTTAGTAGCAAAAAAAAGTTAATTTAGTGTTGAGTCCCACTTTAAAGACACATTTAAATAGCTCTGAATAGACTTTTTGTTTGCCCTTCGTCATTGCTGTCGTTGCGGTAACAGTTACATGGTACAACCTCTCCGTTTCTCCACATAAATAACCATGATTCACTCGTTCCTGCTACTCTCTTCTGGGTTTTCTAAAAGCAGTCATTGTTTATGGAATAGCCTGTATTAATTCAGACCCATTTACTCCATAGAGCTGCATGTCTAAGTGTTCACTGCTTATTACTGTGATGGACTAGTTGTTAATATGCTTTTTGTACACGTCAAATGAATTACTCCTTATTAGGCTCCCTGCAGTGCCAGCACTTTTCTGCAATGTACGAAATATGAATGAAAATGGTCTCTAATATCTCCTGTCAATGTTCATCATGTTCATTCAGTCATGTTTCTGTCTTAAAGCAATGTCAATTTACATTTTAGTAATTAAATCATCCGTGAATTAAGCGTCCAAAATAAATAAAAAATATAACCTATATGTACAGTGTAGTAGTAGTGGAAATTTTTAGCTGTGGTTATTGGTGGGCGGTGCTCATGCATTTGCAGTCCAGCTATAGATTTATTTTTGTATAAGAGTTAGACAAAGGCTGTGTTCATACTAGTAAAACTAAGAGATAAGGCTTGTTACACTACTTTACCAATTTTTATACTATAAAACATATTTTTAGACAATAGAATATGAATTTCTGCATAAGATAACGGTAGTTTATTTAATATTACTACTTTGCCTTATGCTAGTTCTGTTATAGTATATTATAGTATGTTCTAAAACTATTTAAGGTCCAGTTATGCCCTGTTCATGTGATTTTTGAGTATTGGTAATTCTTCTATTTGTGCTAAAACTTGACTTTGCTGCTTCTTACATCACCTGTTTGTCTCCATGTCGATATATAAGTTCAATAACAAACTTAGCGCTGTGTTTTTTGTAAGCTATTTGTAAGCCACTGGCCCTTTCCTTTATTCAGTCATCATTATGGCTGGGTATCATTCAGAAGTTGGCGATACGATACATACCTCGATACATAGGCCACGATACAATACGTATCTCGATACAGTGAACTTTCGATTTGATGTGATTCAATACAATATATTTCTAATCAATTTGATATGGTTCAGTAAAAAATAAAGGCTAAATCATGGCTGTAATAATAAAAGTCTTTGTTAAACCACTTCATGAGCAAAGTTAATACGAAACACAAACATTTTAATCGTCAGAACCGTGAAAATGTCAAATGTGTCGTATAAATGAGTTTCCTTCCTCTTAACAAGCAACAAAACTGTAGCGCTGTAACAAAATAATTTAGTAAAATATACCAAAAAATACTCTTGGTGATATATTGGTACAGCAGCCCATGATATTGATACTGTATCATCACATTAAATGATACAATATATTGATATTTCAATAAACACACCCCTAGTCATCATTTAAAGGTCCTATATTATGCTAAAAATTCCTGCGTGAACTTAAAGCCATGTTATAATATTGTTACCTCATCGCAAACACACCTGGCGTTGTGTTTCGTTTCATTCACACATGCTTGAGTAACACTTTATTATGTGTGACTACACCTCCAAAGCTCAAAATGCTCCGTTCCACCTTGTGATGTCATGTAGTCTTAGTTTTCATGCTAACAGAAACTTTTTACCTTTTGTTTAGTAGACATTACCAATTCCAGGGCTGAAATGATCCAAATGATATCTAGTGTAAATGTGTGGGGTTTAAAAACACAGTGGAGCACTTCATGTATTACCACATCACAATCCTCCTTAACTATGCATAAATATGTTTGTGTGTTTAACATCCATCCATCCATTTTCGTCCGCTTATCCAGGGCCGGGTCGCGGGGGCAGCAGCCTAAGCAGGGACTCCCAGACTTCCTTCACCCCAGACACGTCCTCCAGCTCCTCCGGGGGGACCCCGAGGCGTTCCCATGCCAGCCGAGAGACATAGTCCCTCCAGCGTGTCCTGGGTCTTCCCCGGGGCCTCCTCCCGGTGGGACATGCCCGGAACACCTCCCGAGGGAGGCGCCCAGGAGGCATCCGGAACAGATGCCCGAGCCACCTCAACTGGCTCCTCTCGACGTGGAGGAGCAGCGGCTCTACTCCGAGCTCCTCCCGTGTGACTGAGCTCCTCACCCTATCTCTAAGGGAGCGCCCAGCCACCCTGCAGAAGAAATCCTGTGGTCCCCAAACCGGACCCCCTCCGACCCCTGACTGCGCCTAGAAATGGTGCCACGTGCACTTATGGGCACCCTTGCGCTCGAACATGGTGTTCGTTATGGACAAGCTGTGACTAGCACAGAAGTCCAATAACAAAACACCGCTCGGGTTCAGATCAGGGAGGCCGTTCCTCCCAATCACCCCTCTCCAAGTGTCACTGTCGTTGCCCACGTGGGCGTTGAAGTCCCCCAGGAGAACAACGGAGTCCCCGGTCGGTGCACTGTCTAGTACCCCTCCCAAGGACTCCAAGAAGGCCGGGTACTCAACACTGCTGTTCGGCCCGTAGGCCGACACCACAGTGAGAGACCTGTCCCCGACCCGAAGGCGCAGGGACGCGACCCTCTCGTTCACCGGGGTGAACTCCAACACACAGCGACTGAGCTGTGGGGCAATGAGCCCACACCAGCCCGCCGCCGCTCCCCGCGGCCAACGCCAGAGAAATGGAGAGTCCAGCCCCTCTCAAGGAGTTGGGTTCCAGAGCCCAAACTGTGCGTGGAGGTGAGGCCGACTATATCTAGTCGGTAATGCTCAACCTCCCGCACAAGCTCAGCCTCCTTCTCCCCCAGCGAGGTGACATTCCATGTCCCCAGAGCTAGTCTCCATGTCCGGAGATCTGGTCGCCGAGGCCCCCGCCGTCGACTGCCGTCCAGATCTCTCTGCACCGGCCCCATATGGATCCTCCCGCGGGTGGTGGGCCCACGTGAGGACGGCCCCACGTCGCTCCTTCGGGCTGAGCCCGGCCGAGCCCCGTGGGGGGAGGCTCGGCCACCAGGCGCTCGCTGGCGAGCACCCACCCCAGGCCTGGCTCCAGGGTGAGGCCCCGGTGACGCCAATCCGGGCGACGTAACTGGCCTTGCTGGTACACTCATCATAGGGGCTTCTGAACCGTTTTTCGTCTGACCCGTCCCCCCGGACCTGTTTGCCTTGGGTGACCCTACCAGGGGCATGAAGCCCCCGACAACATAGCTCCCGGGATCATTCGGGCACTCAAACCCCTCCACCACGATAAGGTGACGGTTCAAGGAGGGGTGTGTTTAACATGTGTGAATGAATCAAAACACAACTCCAGGTTTGTTTGAGATGAGTAAACATTGTAAGATAGATCAGAAAATAGTGTAGTATGGGCCTTTAAGATCTTTCAACATTTCACAGTTGTTGAAAATCTTGAAAAACCTTAACCTTAAATGAAAAGTTTGAGAATTAATGATCTGCTCTATGGAGTCATCAAATGTTACCAACTTATAGAAGTTTCTAAAGATTTTTTTCCCCATGAAGTCAACACTACACTTATGATTATTACGTTGGTATGTGAGTATATTAAATTGGTATTGATTTTATAAATACGTTTTTACCCTACTGTTATGCTTGTTGTCCGGAGTCACATTTTTCTCTTTGGCCTTGCCCACTGTCACTAAAAGAGGAGATTGTGATAAAGGAAAGATATTGCCAGACCAATTGAATGGAAGTGGACTGGCCATAGTGGGAAATAACAGCAATACAATCTCAGAGTAAATTAGTTTTTGGACAAATGGCCCTCAGAGAAAACTTGTTGAATGAACTTTCTATTTCTTATTGATTTGTACTTGTGCTATACTACATGGGCTCAGACAAGGTTTTGCTATTCTAGTACACTGAGTTATGTCCAAGTGAAGACAAGACGATCCACTCAATGAAGAATAATAATCTTTATCTTACTTTTAATATATATCTTGAACTGTGCAACTTTTCTCAATGAGATGTTGTTATTGCTTTGCTTGAAATGTTACTCATTATGGCATTAATCTTGTCTATTCATGGAGATAAACGGACAAATGACATGTCAGATCTGTGGAGAGGGAACCCCGATCACACTCAAAGTGTATTTCGATGATATTCAGTGAAGATATTTATGAGCAATACAAACTCCTAATGCATCTGCTCAATTTAATTTCTCTCCAGCGACTAGGTCAGGAACCGGAATACACCCTGGAAGAACCCTGGAAGAACCCTGGAAGTACGAGTCTGGGCACCAGCCACTCAGTGAAGAGACATACATTCTGTGTTGGCAACGATTCCCAAGATCAAGGATTTAAAGCTGGAACAAAGAGAATGTTCGGTGAATTTTTTCGGTGAAAACAAGGGAAAAGACGTTATTGCCCTTCTTCCTACGGGATTTGGGAAAAGCTTAATATACCAGTTAGCCCCGTTAGCGGCGCCTTACATATGTCACAACCAAATAGCAGCGATTGGTTAAATAAAAAAGTACCTGCCTACCGTCGAGCGAACAAATTCTAACGCTGCAAGGTCAGACAGTTTCTAAAAAGTGAAACCGGCTGATGAATCAGGCTAACAAACACCTACTGAGGTAATGCAAAGTAGATTTCTTTAATTCCATACTGTGGAACATTTCAGGCAAAGACCCTCATTATAAAAGTTACAAAGTGCACCTTTAAATGTACTGGTTATTTTCATATTTATTATTTCCATATTTTTAACTTGTGTTGTCGTATTCCCATTTAGTGAACAACTCGTTTTGTTTTCTGGACCACTGACTCTTTCTTTTGATTGATTGACTGATAGATTAGTTGCTAGGCCGTTGATCTTGCCATATTACAACAGCAGAAAATAGCAATAATGAAAATTTCTCATGCCCCAAACATAGTGTTTTGCCTATATTTCTAAACTTTGTAAACTATGAATAAAAACATGGACTGAATAACATAAGATGCATTTATGTTACTTTTATGTGACCAAAAGCGTTGTCAGTAAGAAGGTTAGAAAAGAGTAGTTTGATATTCCCGCTAAAGCAACTTGGGTTTAGATTTGAGAAATGACAACACCAAAAATAGTGCAAAAAATAAATAAATTGTTGGTTTAACCTGGACAGAATCTACTTATAACACTGTAAAAAATAGAAAATACCAATTCACTGTGGAAAGATAAATAGCACTTGTATTGGCTTTTTATTTTGTGGTTGCGCTAAATTACCCAATAACTTTGTCAACAAACCAGTCAATCCAAAATTCACCTGATGTGGATTGTGAATTATCGTAAAATGACATACTTTGGCAGTTTTACCTGGAAATGTAATAAATCAACACGAGGACCACAAACCAAAGTCATATCAAATGACAGTGTTTGATAGACCACAACTTTGAACCGGTCTATTTTATTCAACGTAAACATTAGAATTGGTAAAACCAAACTATAAATACATTCATCCTTAAAAAGACCAACTGTAAGTATATAAATAGTTATTGTAATAATGTCTTCAAATGAGCACTTTTCATCTTGGCTCAAGTGTGCTGAGAATTTTATAGAAAGGGCTCATTGTGGGCTTTTTTGGTGGCAGATCTGCTACTTGTTTTTATGAAGAGGTTACTGCTTAACCTTGCATGCATTTTGTGACTAATATTTTTATTTCTCATAACGTGAAAAATATGAAAAATATATGTTTTAACTCATGTTTGAAATGTTTTTATTCTGAATTTAAGTTGATTAATTTTTAAGTATACATTTTCAGTGTGTTTTAAAATTTGTTTAAAATTCAAAATACTAATTCACCTTAAATATTATGCAGAAATATTTTCAAGCCCTCAAATTCCACAGTTGTAACAGTTTTGAAGATGGTGTAAAGCCAGCAGCCAAAACATGTCAACAAGATAAATGAATGAATTCATTAATTAATCACTGTATTTATATGGCACCTTTCAAGACACCCAAAGTGCTTTACAGAGCATTATTCATTCACTCCCCACACAGTAGTGGTAAGCTACTACACACCTGCCCTGGGGCAGACTGACATCTTCTATTGTCATTAAAAAGAAGACAAAATTTATGTTTTTGGATTAGTCAAAATACAATAGGCAACCTTTTCAACATAGACTAGCCTAGCGCCCTTCCCACTCGTACCCTCCATCCTTCTAGTGCCCTTCGTTCTTTCTATCACTTGACTTCACATAATTATTATGCTATTTTTGCTTTTTTGGAACACTGTAATTAAGTAACAAGACTACTACTACATAAGGTAACCTTAGACTTCAAAATAGATTAGCCTAGTACCCTCCCCACTTATTAAGAAGTTGCCGATACAATACATAAATCAATGCATAGGTCGCGAGTGTAAAATTTATGTGAAAAAATTTGTAGTGAAGATGCCCACTGCCAAGGCATTTGCAATTAGTCCTATGTGCCACAACCAGAAAATGCACTTTCTATTTTATTTAAACATAATGTATACTTAAAAATTCAGCAGTTGAAATTCAGAATGAAAATAATTTGAACTTGAACATGTTTTTTAAGCATTAAAAACTATTCAAAGTGAGTAATTCAGCAGCATTTAAATTTAAAAATCTCATGAAACAAATGATCTTCCATAGAAAAACTTATTGTTAGTGAGCCTGGCCCCACAGATCTGACCTGTGACTTGGCTTGGTGGGGCCAGTTGATTAAATCCATGGAGATTATATCAGAACATCTCCATGGAGAAAAGCAGGTGGTGGCCATTTACCTGATAAGCTATTTTAAATGCATATTTTCTTGAAAAGGACAATGGAATCATGTTCTTTGTAAATTCTTAATTATAGTACTGCTGCATGAAAAATGCAATATGTTTTATCCATACTTGTGATCAGTATTGTGCAGAATTTTAATTGAATGCATTTATAGCTGCAGTTGGTTTGGTAGATCTCTGCCTTTCAAAGTACTTCACATTCATTTATCATCAGCTCATCTTTGTGTCCTCTTCTGTGGTTTGTACAGAGATGGTAGATTCCACATCCTGCTCCAAAGTTGGACCAGCTGCACAAAAACTGCACAGCACAAAAGTACACAAAAGTACACACATCTACCCCCCCGATGCCTCCTCCTGGATTTAAAGGCAGAACTGCAGTGTCCCAAACCACGCCAGACCAGGCTCCAGCACTGAAGACAACAGCTTCTCTGCAGATTACAACAGGTACTCCTGCTACTTCTTCTGCTAAAACTACTACTACTAATACTACTAGTATTTGTCTTAATACTACTAAAAATATAACAACTACTGCTACCACATTAACTTCTTTTACTGATACTTGGATTTGTGTTACTACTAATAAATCAATAACAATAACAACTAGTACTACCACTACTATAATAATGTGTGCAAATATTTAATGAAGAATTGTATCAGACAGTGTACTATGCAGTAGCTTGTAAACTGTTTGAATGAAACTAATTATATGATAAGAAAAAGTGTTTTAATTAGTCAAATAATGTTTTATGTATTGTAATTAAAAGTTCGCAAATCATCATAAAAGTTTATACATATTTTCAATTAATTACTTGGAAAATCATTTTTGAAATCTCTGCCAAAATGTCAGCATTTTTGGTATTTGAAGTATGGGTGTGAACATCTGATGGAGTTGCATAACTTTATTTAGTCACTTTCTCTTGTGCAATGCTTTCTTCTTCTTTTCAATAATTATGCAAAGTCATTCCAGTATCTATGGGCTGCCACCAGTCTCACAACAAAAGGGTTCTAGATTTTATTCATTGACTAAACAGGGACTTTTTTTTTATAAGCACCATTGTAGACTCTCAAATTTGCATGTTCTCTCCATTTTTGCAGAGGTGTTTTTCAATTACTTTAGATTCTTAAACAAAACACAAACATTTTAATCCTCATTGAAAATGTCATATGTGTTGTATAAATGAGTTTCCTTCCTCTGAACAAGCAACAAAACTGTGTCGCTATAACAAAATAATTTAGTAAAATATACCTAAAAATACTCTTGGCGATATATTGATACAGCAGCCCACAATATCGATACTGTATCATCACATTAAACAATATGATATATCAATATTTCAATATTTTTGCACACACCTAGTAGTCATATATTTTTACTTGTCAAATTAATAAGTTTGGAGTAAATAAGGCCATCGTATTTGCTTCTCACAACTTCTGCTCATGTCAAACCAGAAATTAAAATGATAAACTTCACCATCATTGTCAAACTCTGGAAAAATCTGCAAAAATTTTAGCAAAATCTAATAATGTCAACAATGTTCAAGTCATTTGGGAGGCTGTACTTAAAGGTGCACAGTGTAACTTTTCTGGTAAAGAGTTTGTCATATATTTGTCTCCATGGAGATGTTACGTTTCTGACTGTAATGCTCCACAATATGGCATCAAAGTTATGTATTTGCATGAAGATAAGCTTGGCCAAGGTCAAGTTACAGGTCCGATCTGTGGAGATGTGAGTTAGAATGCAAGTTAGTTATGTTTAATGCCATACTGCGGAACAAGCAATAACATCTCTCTTGAGGCAAACAGGAAAAGTTACGTATATATAATAGTGCACCTTTAAACATTGCCTTCTTTCTTGCTCTGTGTTGGACTGGCTGACAGCAGTGCTCAGACGCCAAAATTATGTAACTCTGAGGCAGGTGACCCAGAGCAGCACATAAAACAAAATACGGAATATACCCACCACGTAATTACATAATCCCGTGGCGTCGCCCCCTGTGGTCAAACACTAAACTGTAATTTTAGTTATGGTGGATTTAATGACTCACTGGGAGTGGGACACTGGGGGCTTTGTTGACAGGAGCAGAGCTGAGTTTGTCAAACCCACAACGTTTCCACTCAAAATATGTAAATTTGTCTTGGTTCGCCACAAAAGCCAAAGTAGTAGATTTAGTCACACTGTACATGTTACATTTAGCACATACTGAAGTACATTCAGTTTTTTCCGGTTTCTTCCTATATAATTTTGGTCTCGCATGATTTGGAAAGTATTTTGTCCTGAATGCATATATGTTGTTATGCAAATGTTTGTGTCCAAGGGTAAAAGTGGTATACTAATAATACTTTAAGCAATATGTATGTACATTTATTACTATAAATATGCCTTACTGTTAATTTAAATGTTATCTTAAAGGAACACTATATAATTTTGTTTATGGTAATGTTATTGTTATTATAATGTTATGGTATTAAACATATCTATCTCCATGGAGACACCACACGGCAATAAAAACATCTTTAATTGAATAAATTAATTGGATACTGTGGAATTTCTAGGAAAAGCTATAACATAACCTTTAATGGACATCAATTAGCTTACATGCACCAACTAACCTTTGCATGTATAATGAAATATTTATAGATATTTACAGGTACAAGAGTTACAGAAATTAATGCTCTGAGTGATTGTTTTTCTTATGTTGTCTCCATGTATTCTTAATGTAAACCTATAGAAACTTAGTCAGGCTGGCGCCACCTAGTGCCTCTGCTCAATTTCATTTCTCTCGACTAGGTCAGAAATCAAAATACACTAGATGGTTCGCAAAAACCCCGGAAGTGCAGGAGTCCAGGTACCAGCCAATCAGTGAAGAGCCATATTCTCTGTTGGCAACGATTTCCGAGATCGAGGGAAAAAAGCCGGAACAAAGAGAATGTTTGGTTATACCAGTTAGCCCTGTTAGCAGGTTCATCAGACAGTTTCACTTCATAGAAACCATCTGATGAATCAGCCTAATAAAAACTACCTCCTCTGAATAAAATCAAATAATGATTTTGAATTAAAAATCACTAAATCAAATCATGTCCTGACAACTAAATGCAATCAAGTGACACTATAGGTAGTCACTGAAAGATTCACACTCGTAATACCTCCTGTACTGCAGTATATATATTTATGAAAAACCTAAATAATTACCTTATTTAACAACTGTTAATGCAATACTGTTGTGTCTTGGTTAATGTCAACATGTCACTTTAAATACATGTTGAAGTGTAGTAGCAATGTTGTTTGAATGACGTTAGTGTGTGAGACAACAATGCGTGTTTATTTTACACATGAGGCGACCGCAACCTGTCTTTAGCTAGACTTTCCATACAGAGCACACATGTTTATTATGTAACTCATGCATTTTATATAATGTTGACTTTTAGTACAAACCAGTGGTGAATTAGCTTCTGTGTCATTAACCATTACATCACCAAGACGTTCTATTGCAGTGTTTGAGAAAAGTAACTCTTAACTATTACAAACCAGCGCAAATGCAAACCAAATGCAAACTGTTGTGAAATTTTTTCAGCGTATAGTCATGATTCTCAAGACACGTTTCAATATGTTTGTTGGGCTGTGGTTATTGTTTACTGGCAGAGCAGGGATTTTTTTTTAAACTGAAACCAGATGTAGATAAATAGACCAATCAGGGGCAGTCCCGGGCACAAGAGGGGGGAAGAGGTGTCTCAGTGTAGGATCACCACCAAGACCAATAAGAAGAAAACCAACAATAAGATAAGAGATTGGCTAAAACTTTTCAAAGACTGCAAACCAAATGATTCAACATGTTTTTTGTTTTTGAAGCAAATAGAACACAAAAAAACATGATTCATTTAAAGTGTTTGCCATCACAGTAATCCTAACAACTAGCATGCTAACAGTGCACTTGTTTCTCAGAGGATAAAACACCCAGACTGCACTTGGCCTCTTTTTGACCTAGCTACGATTACAGTATATCTGTACTGTGGCAAAACACTTGAACCTATTACATGAAAAGAGTTTACATTTTAAGCTTTACAACAGGTGTGCCTAACAGTGTATCTAGTGAGTCTTCTGTTTGCTTTTCTTTTTTTCAGTGACTCTGTTCTACCTTCACTATGTCGGACCAATCCGCTTCCACCATCTCCTCTGCCCCTCCCCCTCCTCCCTCCGGGCCGCGCCCTAAAATCAACAGCAGAGGGCGCGCTGCTGGCCCGGCCGCCAACTCAAACGCTGACATTTCAGACATCCCGGAGCTCGAATACTTTGGGGCACCTGGGCCCAGAGGGTACCCACCCTTGACCGGTAAGCCAAACAACGATTGGCCTGGTTATAGGAAAAAAACAACTTTTTTTTCAGTTACGGATGTATTATTCTTTTAATTATTATTATTACTAAGATACTAATCTTAAACTAATATAAAACTAATATTAAAACTAGTATTTACCTAATTACTCCATTCAGGTTGTATTATTTTCCATGGGGCTGCTGATCTTGACAGCAAATAAGTTCTATATAGACTTTCAATACCCCTTAAAGCCTCACAGAGAATTGGTGCATTGTTGACTTGTTGGTGCACATGAACATTGAACATTTCACACACTTTAACCTACTTTATATCATATTTAAGCTGAAAAAAAAATTCAAATTCCTCATTGAAATGATTGGGATTCCTGCTTAACTGGAAGTGTCACCCTAAAGAAAGAGCGGTTTTAATGGCATTTAGAGGAACATGTATAAATACTGAAAAAAAAAATATAGATTTATAGGACAAAATCAGACCTTTCCTGAATAATTTTATAATGGTCTTGATCTATGTCAGAACAGAAGGAAACATTAAAGAAACTATTATTCTTTTGTGTTGAAAATTACATTCTAAAAATTACACTCAATAAATACATATTTTTTTTATGACTGTGTTATCAGAATTAAGTATCGAGTCTTTTTCTTAGTGTAGAGTTTGAAATTTTAGTATCATGACAACACTAGTGGTATCAGGAACTTTATCTTAAAAATAAGCATTGAAATGTATATGGTTTAATATTAACGTTTCATTATTTTTAGAGTTAATTAATTATTTAATTAATTAAAACTAAACCAAACAAAAAAATATAACAAGTTGTTTTCACCTTTTTCAGAGATTAGATATTAGTAGTTCTCCAGATTCAAAACAAATAACTTACTAGCAGTTTGATATATATTTTTTCCTCACTTTGTTCTTAACTCAGAGTTTTTGGACATCCAAAATGTGGACATGAAACATCGTCCTCAAGACAAAAACAGGAGGAGTCACAAAACTCACCTGTTTAACCTGGATGCCCTGGTCGTGAGGCGCGGACAAGAGTTTGAAGTTGAGATCACCTTTAACCGCCCATACAAGCCCTCAGAGGACAAGTTTGCTGTGGAGTTTGTCATTGGTGAGAATTAGATGAGCTGTTTAAAAAGTAGTTGTGTATTTTTAGTGTTAATATTTTACACATCAAACAATGATTGCTCACAAGTTCACTGCTAAAATATCATTAGCTGCAGAAAATGAACAAAGTGAAGAATATAAAAAAAGTTGACTGAATGCTGTGGATGTTGAGAGGCATTGTGGATAATATAGTTTTTACATGTTTTTGCCTTTCTGTAGGCTCCAGTCCTCAGTACAGTAAAGGCACCTACATGCCCGTGTTCACGACCAAAGACCGGCAGACATCTTGGAAAGGTCGTATCGTTAATATGATTGAAAATACCGTGATCATGGGCATCACCCCGGACCCCACCTGCATTGTGGGTAAATACCACATGTATGTTGCCGTGGTAACGCCCTATGGCATCCGCAGAACCAAAAGAGAGCCGATCCGCGACCTCTACATCCTGTTCAACCCATGGGCAGCAGGTTGGTACTAACATAATTTATTTATTTGACGCCTGTTTTTAAAGCCATGCTATGTAGCATTTCACCAAATAAATGTAATAAAAATGTTAAAATTAAATTAATGAAATGAACAATTTATTTTCTATGAAAAGCATGCATGACAGTGGGCTTGCCTCTCCACATACCTGATCTGTAACTTGCATGCCAACTACTCACTAGATAAGTTAAACCATACAGTGGAGCAGTCCAGGAAATGCAGCATGGATCAGGTGGCATGTCCACAGTGGGGCCTTAATGTTTACTTACATGCCTTTTCCTCTGCTCCAGATGACGAGGTGTTTCTGAATGATGAGACAGAGAGGCAGGAGTGTGTGATGAACGAGATGGGAATCATTTACCACGGATCCTATGACGACATCGCAGAGAGGACCTGGAACTTTGGACAAGTATTTACTAAATTCGATCTGCTCTATCTACTCTATTAACTACTACAGGGTGTAAAAACAAGCCTTTCTATTGTGCCATTAGTCTCAATGTATTATTGTAACAAACATTGAGGGTCGCTCCATAACATCAAGTGTGATATATTACTGAAGAAAATATAGACGAAAATTGGTAAAATTTATACAAATTTATGCCACATAATTGCCCTAAAGAGGATTACATTATACTTGAAGACATGAACTGGAATGAAAAGTGAATTAAATGAAACACTTTAGTACTCAGTTTATCGAAGAGTCTTTGAAGTTATTTATTCAACCCTCTTATATCTGGATCCTCACTAGTACAAAGAAAAATTATCTGCGATAAATATTGACCCCCCAAAAAAATATTATTCCATGATTTACAGACTAAAGTAATAATTATTGTGGCCTACTCCATAATACCAAACATTTCAATACTCTTACAGTCTAACTTGTAACTTGTCTAACTTTTTTTGCTGTATTGTTGTCTCCAGTTTAACTATGGGATTCTGGACGCTTGTCTGTACATTCTGGATCGTTCTCAGATGCCCATCACCAACAGAGGAGACGCCGTCAAAGTGGTGCGCCAGGCCTCAGCTATGGTCAGTGAATGGCTCCTTAAAACACAAAAAAATATATATATTTTTTAAATATATGCAAATATAATTAATACTATGTAAAAAGAAAAAATCTGGTTTTGAATATTGAGTATTTTTGGAGTAGTAGTTTATTTTCATTAACTCAAACTGTGCTTTTTACAAAACATGTACTATGAACAATTACTGAAATTGTTTAGGCTGAATTGAACTGCTTTTGAGTTAATTAACATACCAAAATGCTGACATTAACAAATTATGATTAAATTCTTTTAGTGTGACTTGTGACTGGCTGTTTTCTATGTAGTCAAATACAATTAGGGAATCTCTTAGTAGATCAATAGCAGGAAGTGTAGCCAAATGCACTGTAATTTATAGTAGACAATAATTCTCACTTCTAAAATGTTAGACTGTAATATCATGGACCTCACTTCCATATAGATTCTAGTTTTAGTTTTATGTTTCAGTGACACGGTCTTGTATTGACTGGCAGTGACAGGCTGTAATTTAAACAGTAAACAAGAAATATACGATTTATATCTTTTATAGTCTACATGCATGCTATTTTTATTTGTTGGTGTCAGTAATTTTGTCCGAATAGCCACTTTTAATAGATACTGGCCATTACAGACTGGCCATTAACAAGACATGTAAATAATCATCACAAAATATATTTAACTCAGGCATTTATTAATTATTAAATCATGTAATATAATCCTTTTCTTCAGTGCTAATATTTTATCCTTGTTTTGGTCCTTCCTTTGTAGCTGAACTCCCGTGATGATGATGGAGTGCTGGTGGGGAACTGGAGTGGGGACTATACCTACGGAGTGGCCCCCACCTCCTGGACCGGGAGCACAGACATCCTGCTGACCTACGCCAACAGCCAGAGTTCAGTCTGCTACGCCCAGTGCTGGGTCTATGCTGCTGTCTTCAACACCTGTGAGACACAGCCTCTTACTCTTTATGTCACTCACTCTGTTATGTCATTGTTTAACTCATTGAATCATCACCCACCTATGTTTATTTCTAAAAACTAAAATGTGTTTCAGTTCTGCGTTGTCTTGGGATCCCTGCTCGAGTGGTCACCAACTTCTTCTCCGCTCACGACAACAATGGAAACCTGAAAACAGACATCATTCTGGACGAAAATGGCAGAATCGACCGCAAACAAACAAGGGACTCAATTTGGTAACTTTACTGTCATGTATTATGTTAATCAAAAATGCTCCTTTTCAGTGGTGGAAGGTAACATAGTACAAAAGGAAAAGTGCAATACTTAAGTACAAATTTTAGGTATCTGCACTTTACTTACTCTACATTTGAGAGCATATTTCTACATTTCCTTACAGCTACATTTTAGATCTGGGCTGAAAAAAATAAAATGTGATTTTTTTTGAGACCTGCTGAAATGAACAAAAAAATTGCTAAAAAAAAAAAAAAAGAAAGAAAGAAAGAAACTGAATCACTTAAAATCAACAAAAAAAGATTTTCCACATCACAACATTTGAAGCAAATGTCTCTGCAAAAATACTTTTACTTTTTACTCTTTTTATTCTACATATTTACTATACTATACTACTATCATACTTTTACTTAAGTTGATTTTTTCATGTGATACTTTTACTTGAGCAACTTTTTGCTCTTGTATCTGTACTTTTACATAAGTAACAAAGTTGAGTACTTCATCCACCACTGCTCCTTTTAAATCTTTGTGTAGTAATGTTCATTTTTGACCAAAAGGAACTACCATTGCTGGAACGAGTGCTACATGGCCAGAAAGGACCTCCCTGCAGGTTTCGGAGGCTGGCAGGTCGTGGATGCTACACCACAGGAGAACAGTGATGGTAAACGATGCGCTTTCTCTGCCCTTTTTAACGTAGAAATACATAGTTAACGGACTGGAAAGACTATGCATTGACTTCTTGAAGCTTTGAAACATTGTATTTCATAGTACAAAAAAAATTGTTGAGTTCAGACATAAGTGAGTTCATAAAAATGTGTTCATAGAATTTATTATTACTTCTTACTATCTTTTGTTATTATATTATATTGTGATGTGTGAGCTACTATGTCTAAGTAATTTCCCTTGTGGATCAATAAAGTTTGTCTAAGTCTAAGTTAGATGTTTTGTCTGATAAAATAAAGGTTAAATAAAGAAATAATAATAGCTACACATTTGATAGTCTTAATTAAGCGTAAACTAAGATTAAATTGATATTAAACAAATAGTTGACTGAGAATGACTCACGCTTAGTAACCTGATTAATAAGTATTTGTTAGATATTTGTTCATGCTTTATTGAGGCTAATTTAAATGTAGTTATTAGGGGTGTAATTGTTTTTTTTTTTGTCCCTCATACTAACTACAGGCATGTACAGATGTGGACCTGCCTCTGTCTACGCCATCAAACACGGGCAGATGTGTTACCCCTATGACGCCCCCTTTGTCTTTGCTGAGGTGGAGTTTTTAAGTTCTTTTTGTTCAGTTTCTACTTGCAGATCACTTTTAGCTCAATAAATCTTAAATTATTGTTGTTGTAGGTGAACAGCGATGTGGTTTTCTATCAGCGTGGTAAAGATGGGACCCTGGAGCCGGTTAAAGTGAACCACACTCATGTTGGACGAGGCATTTTCACCAAAACACCTGGAGAACTAACCCGCAAAGAAATCACTGACCAATACAAGTTTGAAGAAGGTAAATATCATCTGCCACTTTTATGAGAAAAATGTTATCCCAGTCAGTCGACATATGTAAAACAACAGAAGGACAAATATATAGCCATATATATAACCTATAACCATTTTTTTGCCAGTTTATTATTATCAACAGGCTTACTAATTTAATATTTGTGTATAATTTGGTGGTGTTATTGCTATTTATTGGTATGTGTTACACAAACTCTAATGCTTTTGGCTGTTTTTAATAAGCCCCTGTTATTGTTATTAAACATTGTTAGTAATTAGTTCATTAAATTTGAATACTATATAAAATAAGTTGAACAGGTCGGACAAAGAGTTTGCTTGTTGTGCCCCTGATGCTCAGAGCAAAGTCATAGTGTGAGCGGCAGAGACAGCAGTGGCCCCTAAACACCACAGCTTCACTCACTTGTGTCAGGACATCTGAACTCATGTTTTATGCCACTTTTCAAGAGAATAGATTTTGCTCCTTTTCTCAAATCACATAAGCAATATGCTGCGTGTGTCCTCGGTAAATGCTTTGATGGCACTGTATGAAAATGAGCGTCTCTTTTTCAGTGAGCTAAAAAATAACCAGAACTACGTGAATATGCTCTCTGTCAATGTGAAATAAAAACTGACGTGAAGATTGAGTAACTGGAAATGCCTTTACGGACTTGAAAATGCTTTAACTTCAATCTGATTTCAATGAACAGACTCACGACCAGCAGTAGTTCTGAGCGTGCTGCCACTCGGGACCGGGGCTGGCACTCCTGTCTCAGCCTTGCCCTGAAGTTTTGGGCCAGTCCGGCTGGTAAATTACTGGGCCAGGAGCACATGTTTGTGGGGCAAATTAGAGTTTATACAGGCAGTGAAAGCTGAAATAAGAGCAGGTCACTGGCACGGGACATCCGGTCTGTGTGCACTGGTCTGACAGTGACCAGCCCAAAAGTACCTTGAGCTCCTGGAAAACTCCCGGTGCTCCAAATCGTCAGTCCAGCCCTGCCAAACTACTCACTTGGACTTAATTGTAATTATTCCAAAACATCTGACTTCGGGTCATACTTGGACGGTAAAAAATCTCAATTTTTTTTTTAAAACAAGAACATGTAAGTAAAATCTGAGAAATTTCACTATGAAGAGGTGGATTTTAGATCAACATAGTAGTAATTTTAGATCAACATGGTGGTTTACAATGAACAAACTGTAAATAAATAATCTATTTATGTTAGTAGTAATAGTTTAATATTCAATACTATAAAAAGTATAATTTCTCTTGTTGCCGGGCATTGCCAAAACAACATACTAATTCTTTGTATTCAAAAGTAAAAGAAAAATATTTTGAAACTAAGAAACACATATTTTGGGACCACATAATTTACTATGATAATGACCGGTTTTGTGGCTGGTTTTGGTTGGTTGTATTGGCTCAACCCCCTAAGGTCCTCTGGCACATCTGATGGTTTTGGTGAATCATTTTTGCAAATTTTCCACCAAAACACAGCTCTAGTTGCCATTCATTGGGCCTGAATCACTGCAAAAGTTGTGCGTAAAAATAAATGTAGTACAAAGTGTATAATTACTGCCAAATCAATCAAATTTGACATAACTGTAGTGCCATGTTTTGCCACTATGAGTCATCTTTTTTACTATTTAGACCAAAACACTTTGACCAATGGAAATAACTAGACTCACTGTCAAAAGTTCATACTCCTTCCTTCTTCTTAAGCTGTACACTATTGAGGACTCCTCATATCATATCATTCTGTCATATAATAATATTAATAATAATAATTGTACAGAAAAAGATAATACTAAATGTTAAGAAACAGCATATTCATTTTTATTGTTTGAATTATCTGTGATATCAATATTGGATTGGACTTTGTTTAATATCTGAGCTCACCGACAGCTAATATTAGAACAAATTCTACATTTACAACCTTTAATAATCTAATAACAATCTATTTTTACTGAATTAGAACCCCAAAAGGTTTATATAAAGGTTTTTATAAAATCACAAATAAGGAATGTGCTGTGCTCATTTGGTGCACACATAAATTAAAACATCTAAGATAAAATTAGTACTGACTGAACTCTCAGAACAAAATAAACAATATGAACAAATTTAACCTATGTACAAGTTAGTGGGCCTTTTTGGTATCACTTCATAATATAACTAGCTACACCTTAATTAGTCTTAATAAAGCATGAACAAAGACTTAATTCATAATATAGAATTATTCAATCTTAGTAATTTGGTTTGGGAGTTAGGGTTAGAGTATTATTTATATTTATATAAGACGTTACTAAGCCTAAATCATTCTTAATAAACTACTTGTTTAAGTCTTTGTGCATGAATAAATGTACTTATTATAAAGTGTTACCCGCCTTTCTGTATTTTTGTATTAGTTTATTGTTTTAAATATGTAATCTGTAATCTCAGGCAGCACAGAGGAGCGTACAGTGCTGGAGAAGGCCGAGGTGTACGGGTGTAAGCGCGAGCTGTTGGACCCCCCTCCCGCGGATGTGGATCTGGTGCTGCCCTCTGTGGAGCTCGCTGTGGGGCAAGACCTGGAGCTCAGCGTGGAGTTTGTGAACCACAGCCAACAGCGCCGCACGGTGGACGCTTATGTGAGCGGCAGCGTGGTCTACTACACCGGAGTCACCAGCTCTGAGTTCCTCTTCAGGACCCCCACTGTCACCATTGGGCCCAACAAGAGTGAGTGCAGCATTTCTAAATATTTACACGGTTAATGTTAATACTTTCACAGTGTGATTATGAATATACAAAAAATTTTTCTCTTCCATCTACAACAAATGAGAGAAATTTGTCTTTGCCTGCACATTTTCTAAACAAATTAAATTATTTTTATTACTTCTTATAATGTAATATACATCATTACTACAGTATAAATTCTCTTCAAATCCCTTAGTCCACTTCTTTATAAAGTCAATCGTTGGTGCTAAATAAATTATGATTATTCTTCTGAATCCTGACATAATGTAATTCATACTTTTTTAACTTTTAACACCTCACATCTTACTGTATTTCATAAAAAATAGCAAAAACCTCCCCACTATTGCAACAAAAATAAACACATGATGAATATTGATCCCCAAAATATATTGTTCCAGCTTTCATACACTGAACAATGAGTCTTGTCATGGACATTTCTGTTAAATAATACCAAAACATACAAGAAGAACGTCTAGGTTGGTTTATTATGTTTGCACCGGTAACAAATGGTCTCACTACTGACGGACAGAGTTTCTGCCAGCAGTGAGCCCAGAGCAACGGGCTAACAACACAGTCTATGTAGTATTTATCATGACAAGCCTGCATGCACTGTTACTTACACTTCTAATTCTGCAAATAATGTTTTCACAAAGAAAATTCCCTCAGTGTAGAACTAAACACAGTATATTAAGTTCTTGTGAGTAGGATATAACAGTTTTCCTCTGTGTCCAGGTGTGAAGGAGCTCGTGGACATTGAGGCTCGGAGCTACATGAAGCACCTGGTGGAACAGGCCAACCTCAACTTCATCGTGACCGGAAAAGTGAAGGAGACCGGGCAGATCGTCACCGCCATGAAAGTGGTGACTCTGCACAACCCCAAAGTCAGCATCCAGGTCTGGGCTAAATCTAATATAAACCGTATAAAACTAATATATCTGACATAACTTTAAATAAAAATACTTCCCTGTCATGTGAGCAGGTGTCTGGAGTGGCCAGAGTGAACGAGGAGATGTTGGCCACCCTGCAGTTCACAAACCCATTCAACTTTAACCTGGAAGGAGTCTACGTGAGGATGGAGGGGCCTGGAGTCATGCTGCCACACTACAGATACTACAAGTGAGTGCAACTATAGCATTTGGTTTGTAAACATCTCATTCAGTACTTTGTTTGTAGGGCTACTTATACATATCTTAAATAAGTTAAAGTAGCTTGAATTTGACAGATTGTCTTGATTTGAGTAGATGCTTTCATTTTCAAGTACTTTAGTCTGTTACAAATTAAACTATGTCACAGAAATGTCAAAAAACGTATTGTTATTTCAAAATAAAAGAAACACATATACATACCTATTCATTTGTTTCTTCCTGTTTCCACAATTCAAAAGATATAATGCATTTTGGTTTCATTTATCAATTATCAATTATCTGACACATGGATTCAGTACATGACCAGCTTTACTGACTGTTGACCATCAGTGAAAAATTATTTAGTTACAGATACTGAATACCTGAATTACAATGTATTTTGCAACATGGTCCGATCAGAGTACTTCATCTGAATATCAGTTACTCAAAATTATTAGTATGAATATGTTTTCTCAGTATATGTATTCAGTTACTCCTAATTACCTTTTTTCTTTCAAACATTTTTCTGTGGAACTTAAACTGATTTCCGTTTAGGTCTATTATGTTTGTGTACAGATTACATTTTACCTCAAGTAATGTTGCTGCCAAATAAATTACAATTATTCCTTTACCAATCTTATCCGCCCATTTGTAATTACATACATTTACATTTTTTTCTCTCTGTTTTTCTTCAGTATTGTGACCCCAAACTCGTCTGTGGTTTGGTCTGAGAAATTCAGTCCACAGAGACCCGGGACCACCAGGATCATTGCGAGTCTGGACTGTCCCGCGCTCAGACATGTCTACGGAGAGGAGTCCTTCACTGTGGAGCCGTAGGGAGCTCACAGGAAGTGTAAAGTGCATATGACAGGTTTTCAGGTTTTTCTCATTATTACTTCATTTGGTGGGATAGATAAAATGTGGTAAATATTTATCATAAAGGAAGGAGTCCTAAAACAATACCAAAAACTCCATCCAAAATGCAGGGAGCAAGGGACACATTTTATTGTAGTTTAAACCTTTATTAAACAAAATAAAGATGCCATTTTTTTAATTATTTGTCTAATCACAGTTATTTTGCAGTTCAGACAAGCTCATGTGGTTGCAATGTCACATCTGTATTATAACTTTGCCAAATTGTTAAAAACTAGGAAAAACTAGGCAAGCAAGATGTTAGACAAATCTTAAATTACTGATATTAACTAAGTTTTAGTGAAATGAGAAATCTAATCTGTCATATGCACTTTAAATAAGGGCTTTTATATGCAGCCCATTAACAGTAAACACCATATAATCTTTGTATTTGCTTTATAAGAGCTTATTAGTGTTATCCATTTATGCAATAGAAATGAATGCAAAAACCTTTTCCTGAACATGTATAAGGAAAAAATTGCTTTGCTCAAATTTGAAGTTGTTTAGTAAATCATGTTTATGCAGATTTTTTTTTAGATATTACAGCTATAAATTGCACTGTTACTAAAAGACAGCTAAGAACTTTGAAAAAAAAATTGATAGACTTCAACAAACTTGAATATTTTTTGAACAAAACAAACTGGAAAATATATCTGGCTTGAATAAAAATAATGTTAATATATTTAGCAAACAAATGCACAAATCAACTTGAATAGAAGATTAAAGCATCTCTCTTTGACTGATCAGTGTTCTTGAATTCATTCTTTTTTTTGGTTTTTACTGAGTTAGAAAACACTTGTCTGTGATCCAGAATATGCACTTCTTTAATTCGCACTTCTTTACAAAGATGTGAGTCTGGTCACCAGTAAATCTCTGGCAGTGTAAATGGGAAAAAGTAAAAGAAAAAATATCACGGGACTGAAAAACATTGTAGAGTTCTGCACAATTAATGAGCACTAAACTGTTCATGTGAGAGGAGATAAATATTGTAAATCTTTGTAAATGATATGTGACTATGAGCTCCTTCGTTTCACACGCATCACTGAAAAAAGACAAATCTCATTGCACGATCACGTTCGACTGGGCTTGAGACACAAAAGAGGGTGTGGTGACCAGTCTGCAGAAAAAATTGAGATCTAATTCTAGACTTTCCATGCAAAGAAAATGCAGCATAAGGTTAATAATAATGCATTAGTCTTAAACAGCACTTTTACAGATGCTCAAATTCGCTTTATAGTTTGGTGCGTTATTTATTCACTCCACACTCCGTGCTGTTAAGATTCTATTATAGCCATAGACGGAAGCGAGGCTGCCAATATGTGCCATTTGCTTGTCTGGCTACCACCCACACTTACACTCGCACCACTTTCATACTAGGCAATGTGGGTGAAGTGTCTTGCCTAAGGGCACAGGAACAGTTTTTGCCAATAGCGCCCCACTGTGGCAGCTGATATTTCCCAGTGGCCTCCCAGCCAAGTATTAACCAGGCCTGGCTTTGCTTTGCTTCTGAAAACCGATGAGATCAGGCATAGACAAGGAGGTTTATTATTTATTATAATTTATTACATCATCAGAATAATCCAAACATGAGAAGAAGTCCCTCCTGCAATAATAAAGTGCTAATGAAGAAACTGTCAGAACTTTGTAAACAGCTCAACACATTTTAAAACAAATGTATTCTCTATTATATTGTGCTTTCTGACACTTTAAATTACAGTACATTGCATTTCCATTCACTCACTCATTCATGTAAGGCAAGAAGTTTTTCCCTGAATTTTCACTGCAACTGGTTACGGCATCTTAGCCTGATTCATCAGCTAGTTTCACTTCGTGGAAACCATCTGACCTCGCAGCGTTAGAATTTGCAATACCATTAAATAAAAAATTAAATTAAAGCAAATAATAATTTCTAATATAATACAATCTGAAATTACAACAACAATTTACTGTATTTTTCATGGATTGCAAAAATACTGTCATCAGGATATTCAAAATAAACCATATATACATTTTTGTCAGTAGTTCCCTCATCCCTTTTCTCTGTACAATCATTTAAAGGTGATGAGGTAGTCTGGGTAGGCACGGTGGTCCTGGAAAACTATAAACATACTGGGCTGGTTCATGTTGTCTACCACACTGTCAAACCGATCATGGGGCATTTGGGGGTCTCGGGGAGGAGGTACTCTCATGTTCGGCTGTCCCAAAGTGTGGAGACCCGTCAGGACTCGAGCCAAAAACATACGCTGTATCCCATCCATAGAAGGTTTAGAGTAATTGGCATGGGCGGAGTACTTGGCGCAAAGGGCGAAGTAGTTGCCTTGACCATAAGAAGTGCCTGTAAACAAGAAGTAATAAAATGTATTTACAATAGACTTTCTCTAGCGCTCTGTCCAATTTTCTCACATGTATTTCAGCAAAGTTTGTCTTGCCCCACTACAGATATAGTCTATAAGCTGCTCCTCAGTTTAAAATAAGTAAATTAGGAGATGATACAAGATGAAAAACATGAAAATATAACGAAATATATCTGTATATCTGTCAGTAATTATGTGTGGTACATTTTTCCACTAGAGAGGATTTTTTCATGCGCTCACTAGAACTATTGACTCTTGATCAATTAAAAATCTATTGGTGTGGACTGCAGTATTGTGGTGGGCATGTTACACTGTACTAGGGGTGTGCAAAAATATCAAAATATCGATATATCTTGTTGTTTAATGTGATGATACAGTATCGATATCGTGGGCTGCTGTATCGATATATCACGTCAAGAGTATTTTTGGTATATTTTACTCAATTATTTTGTTACAGTGCTACAGTTTTGTTCCTTGTTTAGAAGAAGGAAACTCGTTCACTGTTTTGATGATTAAAATGTTTGTGTTTCATACGAATTTTGCACAAGAAGTGGTTTAACAAAGACTTTTAGTATCACAGCCATGATATAGCCTTTATTTTTTATTGAACTGTATTGAATTGATTTGAAATTTATCGTATCGAATCGAAAGCTCACTGTATCAAGGTATGTATGGAGATATGTATCGTACCTTGGCCTATGTATCGAGGTATGTATTGTATCAGTAATTTCATACTTATTGTTATTGTTGTTGATTGTGAATGAAATATTTCTTGTGAATAACAAATTGTTGAACTATGTTGACTATCAAACTTGAAAATCTGCAGATTTGTAAATATTTTTCACTTTTGCACTGTTGCTGATACCTTGGCTTCTGGTGTAGACTATAAGTTAACCTCTACTTTAACTCTTTTGGCAGGCAGTACCTATATGCTACGTATGTTTACAACTGTTCAAAAATTCTTACCATTTTGTCCGGAAAAGCGCCAGTCAAACCCTGTGTTCATGATAGATTTTGCGTTTCCCTTGGTGGTTCCATGATACAGCAGTCTCTCATTGGCTCCTCCAATTTGTTTGTTTTTTTCTGAGATGTGCTTCAACTGGGCCTCATAACATTTGCGCAGGTGAACGTTCTGCACTCGCTCAATCTGAAAACAATTGAAGTACACAATATTAATAAAAACCTAGTACGAGATCAGTTAAAATTTTATATTTTCTAGTCTACCTTAATAACATTTTTGGTGCAGGTTTGTTGAAATCCCAACTTGACTTTCAGGTACTCTGCACACGTTGGCAACAATGGGACGACTCTGAGATTTTGATCAGACGTCATGTTGTCCCAATACAGAGGGAAGGTGAAGTCTGGAAACATAAAAAGTTTATATAAAAGGAGGGTATGTAAACACACACAACAGCAATGCATCACCTGCTTTTATTGTACAGCGCTCAAGGAAAATGCTGATTGTGGTTTAAAGTGACTAAATTGAACATTAAACATTTTGATTTATATTAGTGATGTGTCAGTCACTAATGATCCGGCTCTTACAGACGGCTCTTTAAAGTGAACAATATGACCCAGTTTAGTTTTTTAGCATGCCTTTCTAGTTTTTTTTCCTCTGCTTTTTTTGTGTGAAAACTACGTGACTGGTCAAGATGTGTGGCGGCATCTGCGTGTCCACTGAGCTGAAGAGTGGAGGGGTTACAGATGCACACAGCAGCGAGCGCACGATACGAGGGAGACAAAAGACCGAGGGAGAGAGAGAGAATGACAAATGGTGAGAAAATGAGCGACAGCAGCAGGAAATGCAGTAAAATTTTGACACATTTCAATGCAATATGCAGTTCAAAGGCAGAGTGTGAATTGTTCAAATAAATAAATTAAAAGTTTGTCTAATTGAGATGGGTCTTTTTATACTGTTTTATACTTTATAATTTATTTCGTAGCACTCAGTTCAAGGTTGAGAGTGTTCAGAAAGCCATATAAGGATAAACATCTGATGTCATGTATCTTTTTTACATTAGTAATTCATTTTATGCACAGTTTTGCATTATTTTTGATAAAGTAATTTAAGAAGCAGAAAATCTAAGGAGCCATTTGGGAGCTGAAAGGAGTTCTTTATAGTAAGCAGAGCCAAAATAACTGGCTCTCCAGAAAGAGCCAAAATTCCCATCACTAATTTATATAAAATACTGATAAAAAATCATGACAACTCTTCTTTAAACCCACCTGGCAGATTTTCCAGTCTTTTCAGTGCAGCTTTTTCAGTTGAAGACTTTCTGATGAGCTCCATATTTGTGAAATCAACGTCCCACTCCAGCCCATGTGCGTCTGCTACTCCTGCATCTGTCTCTTTATTCTCCAGCTCGTAATTTGCAGCTTTGGGCAGCCTTTCCCACTCTCCATTGGATCCTTGAATGCACCATGCCACTTTTCTGTACAGTTCTTCCTCCTCCCTTGTCCGTATCTCTCTGGTCAGTGTCCCGTACATGAAACTTTTAACTAAATCTATTACTTGGTTCACTTTAACAGTTAGTCCTGTCACAATCCAATCGCCTTCACTCAATTGTACATTTAGTCCGAAAGACTCCACTTTTTCCTTCAGTGTTGCAAAATCTGCAGGCGTTAAAGCGTCTAGTTCTTGTTTTTTGAATGTTTGTGAGGAGTTTTGGGCTTGGTAGCCTTCTTTCATGGCTGCCGTGGCTTTGGAGATGTTGTCTTGAGATAGACCGATGATTTTAAAGACAGATTTCTGATCAGAAGAGCTTGTCCGAGATCTGGGTATGGCGATGCTGGCGGGAGGAGGAGGAGCAGGTTCAGGAGGAGGAGGAGGATAAAAAGGGGAAAGAGGGACCACTGGAAAAAATATAAAATAAAATAGTTCATGTAACTTGTCATAAAATAACCAACTTGAGTTTCAAATAAGGGTGTTCTGTGCCACTAATCGCAGCAGTCTTTGTGAAACACTGGAATTAAATGTTACTTATTTAATTGTACAGTGTTGATGTTTTAGAATTGATGAAAAAGTGTTATTTTATTTGAGTCTGTTTTTGACAAAAAATAATTACATACTGTGGCTTTAATTAGTAAATATGAAAATGTATTGTGTAACATATATAAATTATACATATACAGTAGTTTATGTAATATATCCCTATAGTTAAAGTATTACAGTATTATTCTTTTTACCTCTTTGAATGCCTGGAAATATCTGAGAAGCTTCCTCTTTGAAAGCCGTAAAGACATTGGCTTTGTTGAGGACGAGCCTGATTTTGACCAGACTCATAAGAGGGATGGACAGAGCGTCACTCAGGCCTTGAAGCATCGCCCCTGCAACAACTCCAGCTGAAAAACCACAGCCTCCTGAAATAATGATGTATTATTATTATTATTTTTATTTTTATCTGTTGTTAAATCTGTGAAATGTTACTGTTAATGACACGGTGGAGAACCGTGGACCTGGACCCTGGGCATTCACCAGGACCAATTATCAGCTATCATGACATTTATTTAACAGCAACTAAATGAAGCAAATCACGCATTCACTTCTTTCATATATTTGTTTAGTAATTATTAGCTACTGTTCAACAACTACAGATGGATGGATCTGAGCTCCGCTTCTTGGGTCTTTCTCTATCTTCTTCTTTCAGACGTCTAGCGTGTTTTTTGACTCTGCAATCTCATCTCATTTATATATATATCCTATCACAGGGTATTCGCGAAGGCCCGGAAGATGTCATGATATGATCCTACCCATAACTCAGTGAAATATGATTGGCTAAGACAACTGTCAATCTCAAATTCTTCCTCACATTGACATAAATTGCTTTGTTTCAGCCACCGAAGGCCCTGAAGGTGTTTCTTTAGTTCAGTGCTGCAGGGGGAGTTTCTGATTTACCCAGATACCATTGGAAGAAAAATTGTGATTGGTACATTTCCATTCCATTATATTAACCCTTTGTATCCCAAGAAATATTAGTTCAAATTTATAACAATGATCTAGAAATTATTACTAGTGCAGTGTTTATTACTCACTGAATAAAAATATATTAATTGTACAAAAACATTTTATAGCTTGTTATGATAACTATGAAAAATCTGTTGTTAAAGGTGCACTATGTAACCTTCCTGCAGGAGAGCCACCAGCTTCTCTCTAAGGAGATGTTATTGCATTGCTCTGAATGTTCCATTAAACTTGCATGCGACACAATGCTAGGCCAAGTTACAGGTCAGATCTGTGTAGAGACGACCCCTCTCACAGAATGAGTGCAATGTTTTTTACTCTATTTTTTAGCTCTAAAAACTATGCAGTTCAATCAATGCGAGGCAAAGCAATAACATCTGAGTAGCAATAGCACCTTTAAAAAGTCCAAATATCAATATTAGCTGATTCTGAATTGTGCTGTTTAATGCCCCAGTCGCCATGTTTGCAAATGGAACTAGAAGAGCGATGTAAAAAGCAAACAACAATAAAACAACACTGGACCACTGTTTTCTTCAATAAAAATAAAAAATATATTTACCAGCTCCGATAGCAGGTACAGCCACAGACGACCACTCGTACGCTTCACAGTATTGTACAATGCTGCCCATTAACTGTCTGATGAGCACTATGTCCCCTTGTCCACAAAGATGTAACAAGCCCTGACAGGGGAAGCGGCCAGGCTGCGTTACAAACACATCCCCTCTGTGTACTCTGGCTAAAACAGACACAAAAATAAGCAAAACTTTTTTTTTTAAAATAAGAACATGAAAAACATTTTTTTAAATAAAATTACATGTAATATACTATTTCACAATACTAGCTCTGAAACAACTGAATATATAGTGGGAAATCACTGTAACATTAATTTACTTTTTCAGTTTCTTTGATTCAATTCAACAAGATTTAAAGCAAATAGTTGAGAAATTTGTTTTATATGTTTGTTTGTATTTATCCATCCATCCATCCATTTTCGTCCGCTTATCTGGGGCCGGGTCGCGGGGTTTGTATTTATATTTCATCTATATTTATATACACAAAGAAGGACTAAATTCATAATGAACAAACAGTTAATTAAGAATGTCACATGCATGATTCTCTAGAAATATATTATGGAATATTAAAGCCAAAGTAACATTTCTAAGGAAACTGGAAGAATTTAATTTACCTGATTGGAGTTCAGCTTCCACTTCTGGTCCCGCTACAGCCAATATATCTTTGCATACTCCAGCTTTAAAAGAGTCAGAGTCAGTATTATTTGTATTGTCAGTCTACAATACAAATAATACATAATTATGTATTTGTGTCATTTGTAAATCACATATGTCTTACTGTTAAAGCTCTCAAAGTTGGTGGAGTTGACCACAGCGTGCGTCCTCTCATTTGTGATATCTCCAAAAACAAGCTCCAGTTGAACTCCATTCACAGTTATGGACAAATCATTTAATTCACTGCTGACAGACCTAAAGCTCGCTATAAAAACACATGGAGACATGTAAGGTTTTAATCATTTTCAATTGTATATTAAACCAGAACTAGAACAGGACTAAAATTTGTTTTACCTTGTCCTCCCTGGTTCTGGATGAGCTGTTTATGAACCTCATGGCAAATCTGTGGGAAATAATACACATAGAAAATATTAAAGCTGCACTATGTAACTTTTCTGGTGTGGACTTTGCCACCTGCTTGTCTCCATGGAGATGTTATTGTTGGAATGTTCCACATCTATCTTTCATGTATTCCAGGTGCATTTATAGGTAAAAATAAAACCTTGACAAACCTGCAGCTTAACCTGGCAGCGCCATATGCTTGCACCATATAACTTAAGAAAAAGAAATAACATTGCTCTAGTTACAAGCAGGTGACAGACCCTGCACCAGGACATTTACGTAGTACACCTATAAATAAAACTGTATACTAGGACTGCATTGTGATTGTATAGGAGGTATTGAAACTCTATAATGTAATTGTGTCATACTCCCAGTGTTGTATTTGTCATGAAATATCCAAAAGATAAATGCACAAATGACTGGAGCCAGAAACTGACTGTATTACAACACAAATCTGCATAACTTTCTGTACTGTATCATATTATATTGCATTCACTTTGGTTTTTACCAGAAAAATGCAGGTTTGGTACATATTTGGAAGCTAGGATAATGTGTTCTATTTTACCTTTATTTTACCATGCAAAGTATTCAAATATATAACAAATTCTTATTCACAGTGTTGGCTAAGGTGTGCTAGGGAGAACTCAAGGGAGAGAAAAACTATTTGCATTACACTAGGATTAAATTATTTGTTAGTTAAATATTTACAGACTTTAGAAAATGTCCTTTAGTTTCCATTTAAAAGCAAAGAGTCAGTAACAGCAGAAAATCAAAATTAGTGTGAGACCCATCCTAGTTTATATATGAACATGACCCAGCAATCCAGTGCACGCACACAGTGTCCTGTAGGGGGCATTTGAAACTAACAAATCCCAAAGTAACAGGTTAGATACAATTTTTCAAGGTTTCAACAGTGACTTGATTAGCTGAAGTAGTAAAGGAGGAGCAGTTTCTGTACAAAAAAAGACCCACTAGTACTAAAATTTGGGGTAATCCCTCAGCCGTCCAGACAGGATCCATATCAAAAGAAAAATTCAATTCTGTCAACAGGACAAAGTTTAAGAGTGAAGACTTTGGCAGCTCATCCAAGCTGCTTCTTCAGTTCTGGTCAGATCCTGTGGACACGGAGCTACCTACACTGAAACTATTCTGACACAAACACGTAATTATTTACAGTTTCTGTTGGTTAGCTAGGCCTACTGAACTACATTAAGTGTGAACATACTATCACTTTTGTTTTCCTTGTTTTGAGTTAGGTCTGGAGTCATAGATAGGAGATACATGATATGAAAAATATGACTCAGGCACAGTTCACATTTAGTGTAGTTCAATAGGCCTAGCTAACAAACAGAAACTGTAAAAAAAAAAAAGGTGTGTTAATTTACGGTAAGTGTAGTTAACTCACTACAGACAGATATAAAGCAGTGTCCACCGGCACACAACATGTCACAGTCTGCTCTGGTCCAGTCCTGCTTTTCTTCCATCTACACTTTACCTCAGTATAAGAAGAGCAGCTCCACAGTCACTCCTCACCAGTCTGTTTAATCTACACTACTAGTTGTTAGATATTCATTTAGCTTTTGTTCACTATTTTGGATTTTTCTCAAAAGTGCTATTTCTGTGCTCAGGTCCAGCCTGTTCACCTGCCGGCCCTGCTCTCCTGCCCTGCTCACCTGCCTGCCAGCCCTGCTCTCCTGCATGACTGCAAATAAATCATCTTGACTAGCTTTAGTGTTCTGCTTTTGGGATATCAAACAGTAACAGAACAGTTCCTTTGTTAATAGGCAGTGGGACATCATTTACAGTATTTAAACGAAAAAGAGAAAGCTGGTCCAAAGATGTATCTCTGAGGCACACCTGAAGCTCAGAATCAGTATTTACCTTTATAAAGTGAGAAAACCAATGCAGAGTTCCACCCAGTTGGTATATCACCAGTTTGAAAAGATTAAAGATTAAAAATACTAAGCAAGCAAAGCTGCAATGATAGGCACACCTGTTTTGAAAAAGAAAAAAGCAAGCCCATCTACTACATGTAGCTGGATTTTTAGAAGGCAAAGATAACAGCTCATTTACAGAGAAGGGTTTTAGAAAGAGTTTTTGGGATGCAGCAGTTAGGAGTTTTGACACTAGAGATATCATGGCACCTACTTGCATCAAAAGGTCTTGATTTTGTAAAGTGTTGGTTAAACAAATTTGCCATACTAAACATAACACAAACCACTATAGTTTCTGATGTAATCCAGACCAGTATTCCTCACCTCCTCAGTGTCGTCCTCATCAGGTTTAATGACAATATGTACGGTACAGGGCGCTGTAGCTTTTCTTCCAAACTGATGGAGCTTCTCTGTCAGCAGCAGGATGGCCTCTCTGAGTGGATATTTGAGCACTTTTCCAAGACCGATCACAGTAAGCGCCACTGAGCTGTGCCTCTGCTCCTCACACATCTCCAGGCAGCGCTGCAGACCGGAGCTCAGGGCCTATAAAAACATAATGAATGGAGAGGCACATAAACATACTTCATTCATGAGAAGAGTGGCACAGGAAATGTCTAACACTGAAACTTTGAATAGGCCTACTCTGTATATCTGAATTTATTAGCTTACTAACTAAAGCAGAACTAAGTAACTTTCAGCAACTCCCCCTGCGGCTCCCTGCACAAGAATACATAGCCAAGGAACAGACTCAAAAGTGTTTTTTCTTCTTTTCTTTTTTATCTTCAGTATAATTATATATGAATACAGTGGCGAACCATGCATTTCACACCAGGCCTTCAGTAGAGCTCCATCTAACAAGAGTCACAATCAGGTGTGTAGTAAGCAAATCGCATATCCCCACTTTAAAAGTCCCCACTGGCAATTAATAATAGTAATACAAAGTAATAATTTCGATTTGTGTAGCTGCTATAGATGCGGTTTGGCTGATGCGCTCTCTGACTATCCAATCAACTGGTCTGAATCTGGTGACGTTTCCGTACGTCTGCTAGAAGGCCCTGGTGACACCAACTCAAAATCTGATTGGTTGAAGCAACAGTTTCATGGACATTTATTTTGTGTTCGAGGGCCTGCAGAACAGATTGTGAAGGCCTCAGGTACTTCTTTGACTTTGACTCTGCCTAGCAACAAATGATGACTGAAATGTGATTGGTCAAATGCTTTAATATGAAAATACTACTACTAAATGTCTCAAAGTAGCACAACCATCGGAAAAGCTATGAAAGGAAGCAGACAGACCATTTGGAAATAATTAATAATTATAATATAATTAACATCAGTCTGTGATTCAGATATTTTTTAGGCCAGCACAGATTGTCAGCCATGTCTCCTAAAGAGAGCTCTAGAGCAGCTGAGAGTAGAGAAATGCCTTACACCACCGAGTGTGATGAGTGAATGTATAATGCAGTGTAAAGCAAGTTTTAGTACTATGCACTACTAATATCTGCAGACTCTGGGCTCACTGGCAGCTTGTTTAACCAGAGCCAAGGCAGCTCAAGCAGGACTGGCTCTTGTGTGTTTCAGTGGGAAAATATAGTCTGTAGCCACTTGTAATATGTCTACAGTGAAAGAGCCCTACCTTTATGCTCTGCCCTCCCATTCCGTCCCAGGGAAGACACTCAATGAAGAAGAGTTTGGAGCAGCCCACAGAGGCAGGGGGAATCACCTCCAGGACCTTCCCAGGCGTCATGGACTTCTTCATTGAAGAGCTAAACTTTATCTTCATCTGCAGTCCGCCTTTTTTCACCAGACTCTTCCCAATCTTAGTGGACTGTAGACTCTTATTCACCATCGGGACCACCCGCACATCCACCTATGGATTACATAAAAATGTTACTTTTGTAGACATTTAAAACATGAGGGAGCTACTTAACTGGCTTGCCTAAAAATGTTTAATAAAAAGTCCAGGGGTCTTAAGATCAGTTCCCAGGCTATGATGAATTTGCTAAATGTCTAGCCCTACTCTTCATCCCAGCTTTACACTTCTAATAACCTTTTTAAAAAAAACTCCATCACTTTGCACATTCATATATTAACAGTAGGTCACTGAGTTATTACACACAAACATACAAGACAAATCCACATCCTGTCACAATGTGCACAAGCTTCCTGTCAATATATTTCAGTTCAGTGCATTGAATTTTGTTTGTTTTGATTTGTGTTGTGTCCCTTATATGTACAGTTGTGAGTGCAGACTGCTATCTTTTCTTACTTGGAGTTCTGTCATAGTTTAGTAGGACCCTTTCTGTCATGATCCATGTAGTTGTGGTCTGTTTTCTTTTTGTTTTGTAGTGCTGCAAATTGACCCAATTAAAACAAAAATAAAAAAGAAGTCTCACCTGTTCATTGATCAAATCTCCCAGCTTGATTTCCACACTGACGTTGCTGAATGGAGTTTGCGTGTCCGCATCACTGCTCCTTCTGGCTGCTCCTTCAGCGCGGCTTGTTGATGAGGTACTCAGCTCAGTATAAAGAACTTCTTCAGTTTTTTCCATTTCTTGTATGATGACTTGATTTGATCTTTCAATCAGTTCTTTACTAGGTTTCCCTTCTGCCTTGTAGTACTGACTCGCTCCTGGTCCATCTATTACTAAAGTATCTGAAATCAAACTTTCAAGTTCTTTGTGAAGTTCCAATTTGGTTTTTCGGACTATCTGCTGAGGCCCTGAAAGCAGCACGCGTGGATAGGGGACTAGCGATGCGTTCATGGACACTCTGCTATCCTTTGGTGCAAACAAAGTCAAAACTTTACCAAAAAGTTCAACCATTTCTGTATTAGGTAGGTCTAGCGTATCTTGTACTGTTACATGATTCAATAGATAGTTGTGTAACTCCTCTTTTAATTGGTTTACACATTCGCTGTAGCCCACAAGTTGGATTTTGGTTGTACTATTTGGTGCAGGAACTAAATTAACATCAATCCTACGTTCCTGGATATTTGCTTGATCTTTACTTTTTGTTAAAAGTTCATTAATTCGATCCAAATCTGGTGATACTGCAGCATTTCCCTCCAAATGTACAATAGTCATACTGAAATCTCTTTCTAAAATAGCTGTGGCCTCGTCAACAGCTTCCATTGACAAACTTGACAAAACTAAATCCAAATTGAGCATTTCTAAGCAGACTGGATTTCTCAGACATAGCTGGAATCGTGTTTTATACTTTGCAATCGCATCGCTGGTGGTGAAGAAATTTTGTAGCTCAGGTGAAAATGGTATGTACTTTTGTTTAATGTTTTTGAGTAAATTCTCATATAAATCCAAACCTAACTGCACCTCGTGATCAAGACCCTCTAAGACTGTAACATTATTACTTTTTATGATTCTAACGTTTGGCAAGTTTGTCCGCATCTCTCTTGAGAATTCTTCCCCAATCAAGGCATACTGTCTTTCATCTACTGACAATTCTGTTTTGGTCGGTAAATTTCTGTTTAAACTTTGTATTTTTTCCTCGACAATGCTTTTTTCTCCAACTACAACCAGATATCCAAGCTCATTGTACACTTTCACGTCGTCATCTGCGAAACTTTGATCCTGCAAAATGATTTTAACTTTCTTGGGATCAACCACATTAAAGCAAATGAAGCTCTCCTTGAAACTACTCAAAACACGGTCAACTTGCATTTCCCATTTTTCCGGTACGCCACTGAACGCACCACCAAGTCCCTTCTGTGCATCTGCTTTCACTACAATAATTTCCTGATCAAAGTTCAGTTCGACAGTGCAGCCAATGCAATAGACCTGCTTCTCTAAGATTTTAAACGCTTTACTACAGTCATGTAGATACTGTAAAAGGTAAATATCCCATGAAAAAGTTCTCTCCAGGTAATTTGATGCTTTTGAAGGCTTTGGCGATGATTGATTTGGTGTTGTCTGTAAGAAGAAGCAGGAATAGATTTTCAAGTCAAGGAAAACTAGTTGGTTCACATAACTGAGACTCTGCTGAAGTAGTTACCAGTAAATGACATTCCCGACAGGGTGATGTAAGATAAAGATATTACAAGATGGAAATCCCTTAACTAACCCTAACAAAAATACCAGTAACATGTTCAAATATATTATTGTCATAGTACAGCTAAATTTCAATGCCTGTAAAAGTTATTTAATTAAATCAATATAACACTAAATCTGGAAAAACATTACAAAATAAATAGTATTCAAAACTGAGTCAAAATTGTGCAAAAGTGTGTGTAATTTTTTTGTGAATGTATGGTACCTGCTTGTCTCCATGAATATATTATTGATTTGCATGGCCTATTCCTAAACATGGCATTAAACTAAGCTATCTTAACTATGTAATCAATTAAAGAGGTTTTATGGTCATAGACATATACCTTAAAAATGCATTTTGTTGCTACCTGCTTGTCTCCATGAAGATAGGCATGTATAATGCCATATTGTGGAACATTCCAGGCAAAGCAATAGCATCGTCATGGAGACAAGCAGGTGGCAGATAGTCAGATTCAGCATTGCCGCATTAGGATTCATTTGCTCGACGGTAGGGGGGTACTTTTTTTATTTAACCAATCGCTGCTATTTGGTAGTGAGGTATGTAATGAGTCGCTAACAGGACTAACTGGTATATTAAGTGTTTCCCAAATCCCGTAGGAAGAAGGGCAATAACGTCTTTCCCCTTGATAAAATTCATCAAACATTTTCTTTGTTCCAGCTTTAAATCCTCGATCTCATGAATTGTTGCCAACACAGAATGTATGGCCCTTTGCTGATTGCCTGGTGCCCAGACTTGCATTTCCGGGATTCTTACAAACTGTCTAGTGTGTTCCGATTCCTGACCTAGTTGCTGGAGAGAAATGAAATGGAGGCACTAGGTTGCGCCAGCCTGGCTAGGTGGCAGACCTTCCACTAGAAAAAATACACAATGCGTCTCTAATTATTGTCCTAAAAAAAGAATTGAAATTAGTCAATTCGCTAAAGTAGTAATAAAACTTTAACTTAAATATAGATGAGGAAGTTAATGGCTGTCATGTACTGTAGCACTTAGTGTGTATACTATATGTGCTGTGCAGTAATCATACAGTCTCTTGTTGCTCATATAATCAAACTATTATTACAAATAACATCCAAGCTGTGTCATCATGTCGGCTGTGGAACACCTGTATTCACACATGTCGTCACTCTTCATTCTTTTGTTCATAGGACAATAGTATAAAGGTATCAACTTAAAATGGGATTTGTTTATTTCATTGACTATCCGCTCTCCCATTCTATATACTCTATGTGGTGTGTTCATTTAAATGTGGATTGGGCACACTGGCATTTAAGGAGTGGCTATATTTGGCCTATAACTCACTTGTAAACCTGTAGAGCGTAGCTTATATTTTATGTTGTTTTTCACATTGCTCAGATAATGTATTCAGCAGACCAATATACTTTTCACATCTGAACACACCTTCTAGTTAGGAGTTCATTAAGTTAATACTCTGTAAAGTACCTATTTAGTAGTGTAAGTAAATGTGGCCTATATCCTATGTTTTAGATTTCCATATTGGTATTGCTTAAATCTTGTAGTAAGCCTCCATCCTCTAGTATTAAGAGTATTAAGTAAGTATTGGACACCTAAAATAAGTATGAAAATGAATAGCTCTGATGAGGGATACACAAAGGCTATTGTCATACTATTCGAAATGTTACTTAATAAATGTAATGAATGGTAAAAAATATTATTATCCATATTATTAGTTTACCTCTAAACTTCTGGCTTCCGTCTCAGTCCTGGCCACGTTCAGATTTAATTGTCCTGACGGTAGTGAAATTGTGTGACTTTTTCTATTCAGAACCCTTTCTTGATCTGCAAAACATTTAAAACGAGCATTAGGCCCTATTTAACTTGTATATATAACAAATAAAAGTGCGCAGGAGTCTTACCTTCTTGTTGCTCGAACGTAATTTTGTGAAGTTTCTCGCCAATTTTTTGTATCTCTCCACAATTACCTCCCCCCGAGTCTCGTCTTTTCATGAAATATCTTCTTATTTTCTTTTTCGCCTGATCCTCGAGGTCGTCTGCCACAAAATACAGCGAATGTTTATAATTTTGATCCATTGGACACCTGTGCTTGACTTTCTGACTGAGCTTACTTTCACTTTCAGTAAAAATGAAGTCTATTTATGCTTTCAGGAAATAGGGCGTGAAGTTTCCAGTATGGATCTAGGTAATGTGCCCAGGCAAGTTTTATTTTACCGGCAGCCCAGGTCAATTTAATCACATTTTCGGTGTTTTAATAGTTGCTGAGCCTAATTCTCAAGATACTGTCAAAAGTAATGGCTTACACTTTGTTGTAGTATCATTTTTTTGCCACTAGATGTCCTACGCAGACTAAACAAACTGTAGGCCTATTATTTCTCTTTTTTGTTTTTGTCTATTTGTCCACAGCGGGAAATTCCAGAGCTGAAACGCAAAGTGACAGCCTTCAATAATAATAAAAATAAATAAATAAATAAACAAAGATAAATGATTAACTCTATATTAATCCAATAACCATTTCATTGGATCTACGATTTTTCTTAAAACACACTTTTACACACTGGCTGTGGTCCTCTGTGTCTTTTATTTATTTTATTCATTATATTTTTTATGTATTTTGTTGGTTTTATTTATGTATTGCTATTGCAGGGTTTTAGTCTTATTTTATTTTACTGTTTTTATTGATTTAGGACTAGTATGATTAAATCTGAACGTTTATTTTATCACTATTATGTTTTTCATTGTTATTAGTAGGTATTTGTACAGCGCTTTGGAAACTGTTTGTGAAATGTGGATTGGATTGGATATATGTTTTTGCGTGTCTCAAAAAAATACGCTGACATAGTCCAAGTTGTGCAGACCAGAGAAAAAACGCGCAGAAAAGGGTACGATTGCACTGTTTACTCTCTGTAGTGAATGGTTCTGTCGTGTCAACAAATTCAAGAGGAATTATCAGAGCACGAGAAGAGTAACACGGCCTAACCTGCCTAATTTAAATCTAATTAATTTGCTAAAGGCTGAAGTTCATGTTGGTTAGAAAGGAAAACATTTCGTCCCTGGGTGGGCTCGAACCACCAACCTTTCGGTTAACAGCCGAACGCGCTAACCGATTGCGCCACAGAGACCTGAAAAACAAACTATTAATGGCAAAACAAGATCAGCTGACCCATGTCATTACAGCATTAACGTTGGTTAACTTACTTCTGAGTAAATATTGACAACTAACACTTTTTTGTTGCAGTACCATTCAAGTCCATTAGATGTCCTACTTAAACTAAACATGATCACTGAACAAGTTGGATTTTTTTCTCTTCTCACAAACAATAGTCTAAACATGAAACGAATATGTCATTTCTGTATTAATTTTAGTTACAACTAAAATGAAGATTTTGCCTTCATGCAGGCCTAAAATATATTGTGAAGGCTACAATAACCACCTGTTATAGCTACGGTCAAATGTATTTGTTAATGTTTTCTAAATATATTTTGATATCACTCACCTGTCTAAGTGGGCATGGGCCTGATTTGCAAAAAATAAATACATAGTTATGATAGCCTAATCCAAACTTTTACATTAAAATAAAATAAAGTGGGCACTTTACTTTTTTCTCCAATCTCCTTCTGTTCCGAAATCTTACTGTATTTAATTTGTGTACTTAACAAGGACAATGAGAGCCAGAGAAGCTATTTTTCGCTATTTACAAGCCTTTTAAGAGTTTATAACTATACAAATTCGTATTTATCAATGTACATACCGCTGTGAAAAGCTCTCCGTCCCTGGGTGGGCTCGAACCACCAACCTTTCGGTTAACAGCCGAACGCGCTAACCGATTGCGCCACAGAGACCTACATTGAATCAAGAAGAAGTATTTTTTTCTCTGGCGAACATAAGAGTCTGTATTCATTCACTTCTGTATTCCAAATAGGCCATAATCGACTGCACTGCCCTAAGCCTACAGTACACTACACTAGTGTTATCTGGAAGCAGGGATCTGAAACAAGTTATTTCAGATTTGCTGTGCTAATTGACACTCTTTTTATTCATGTAATGGAGCACCTGTGCTGCATCGCTTAAACAATAGACAGTTCATAAAAGGAGTATTTGGAATTTGTACTAGCTGCTGTTGTCTGCTGTCCTGGTTGCAGAGAGTTCCTAAGTGCAGTCAGTCCTGATCAAACCAGGACCTTCAATGTGTGTTGAGGTGATTTGCAGCTGACTGTAAAGCAGCTCCAAATCCAAGGCCATAGTCTCAACCAGGACAAATGTAGCTCACCCTATGAAATCTCTTGATTTACAGTCACAGCGGAGGAACTCAGAATAGAGCTGCTGCTCCTCCACGCTGAGAGGAGCCTCCTGGATGTGTCCATGAGGAGGTGTTCCTAGCATGCCCCATTGTGAGGAGGCCCCGGGGAAGACTCATGGTAAATATGCATGTTTTTCAAGGTATTTTTTGAGCAGTAAAAACTTCCATAATTAAAGCAATTTAAAAATAATTGTCAAATTAATCAATTAGCAAAGTAATGTTAGTAGCCACAAGTTGGAATGCGTTATAAAAAGTTTTGGTAAAGCAATCTCAAAACAATGTATACTTTACATTCATATTTTACACTGCAATCCCATGAGGAGCTTTGAATGTTTCTATATTCTATGACACAATAGAAATGAGGCAGTCACTGCAGGTCCTGACTTGAACTTTTCCTGGATCCCTATTAGGAAGTGAAACACTATATTCGGAGGAGAGACATTTAGTGAATGGTGAAGTGTAGCAGAGGAATTGTTTTACGTGGAAATTTGACAGAACTGCTGGAGTATAAAGATGAGGCTGGAGATGTCAGGGACATTACAAGCAACAAGTGGAGAAGAAGACAGCCATACCACACAGAAGTCTACTTACAAGACACTCAACAGTGCAAGATGAAGATCCACTTTGTCTTTCTTTCATGTGTGCTGCAATGTGTGCATCAAAACGTAAGTACCAAATATGTTGTAGAAGTTTATTCTTTGTTTTATTTTGAATTTTAAATTATGCCTATTTATTTCAGCATTAGAACCACGTTGCAGATGTGCTGAAACAGACAAATCAGTGAAACTTAACCTAATATTATCCTATCGGAAGACAGCCCCAACCATTTTCTGCAACAAAACTGAAGTCATGTAAGTACTCTGAAGAAAGTTGCCTATATGTAAAATAAAAATACCTAATAACACCAGTCATTGTTCTATTTTGCAGAGTGACCCTCAAAGACAAGAGAAAAGTGTGTATTGATCCCAATGGAAAATTCTTTCATTTTCTTGAGGAGTTGAGGAAGTAAGATTATTTTACTACAAAAACTACTACTACAAAAACTATTACTACTGCTACTACTGCTACTACTACTACTACTACTACTACTACTACTACTACTACCACCACTTCTACTACTATATCACTACTACTACTACCAGTACCACTACTACTACTATCATCACTACTACTACTACTACTACTACTACTACTACTACTACTTCTGCTGCTGCTGCTGTTGCTATTCCTACTACTATTAACTATTACTGCTACTGCCACCTTTCTGAAATAATTTCAGATCATGCTCTCTAATTATTATTTAGTCATGTTTAGTCATGTACCACAAGGACTCATCAAATACTTTGTGATTGTTTAGGAAATTGTCACAGACTCGAGCCAAGAAAAACTCTGCAATAACAACAACTGAACCACCAGCAGAATATTCAACTGCATCTGGCAAAACTCTCCAGACCTCATCACCTTTAATGTGAACTAATACTACTTCAAAACAGAAATAGCCACGGGAAAAATGGTTAAGACCTGATTTACTTTTATTTTTACAGGAATCAAAACATGCCACAGCTAGAAATCTTAAAGTTTTGTCTTTTAAATATATATTTTTTTATCAAAGGTACAGATCATTTTCTACTGACTGAAGTATATATTTTTAATAATATTTATGAGAGATTTAAGTTATGTTTGCATTTTATATCGACCATGTGAATGAAAAAGACTGTGACTTTTGAAGTGAATTTTGTTTTGTACAATATTTTCATATATAAAAGAAGATTGACAATGTTATTTCTTGTTTGTTGACACCTTATAAAGCCAGTAAATTGTATGTAAGTTTTGTAATAAAAACTAGTTAAAAATAATTAATAGTTTACTCATAATTTTTATGAGGGAATTATATAGACCAAAACAGAAAGGAGCTGGTAAAGAGCTGGTTAGCTGGAGTTTTGGGAGTGAACTGTGAAAATAATGATACATACTGTGTATATTATTTGTGCATTCAGAGTATACTGCATTGGTTTAAACTTCCTGAGTAGCTTTTCAGTTCCTCAAAAACACAAGCATTTATATAAGCTATAAGCTATTTTTATACAAACAAAGTAGTTGCAATGTGTGCACTTAATTGTACTTCAAAAATATCATGCACAAAATACACTATAGATTATTCTCTCCAATCTCCCAAGATATTACAGTTTTGTATTTCAGAAAAGTAGCACTTGAACTTTATACTCAAAGCTGCTGTTGTCTACTGTCCCGGTTGCACAGAATTCAGTCAGGGACCAACTGGGGTCCGGTTTGAGGGTTCGGTTTGCGGACCACAAGATCTCATCTCTGTTGTTTGCAAATGATTATGTCCTGATCAAACCAGGACCTTCAATGTGTGTTGAGGTGATTTGCAGCTGACTGTAAAGCAGCTCCAAATCCAAGGCCTTAGTCTCAACCAGGATAAATGTGGCTCACCCTATGAAAGGCAAATCTCTCAATTTACAATCATAGCAGAGGAACTCAGAATAGAGCTGCTGCTCCTCCATGCTGAGAGGAGCCTCTTGGATGTGTCCATGAGGAGGTGTTCCTGATGCCCACTGGGAAGAGGCCCAGTGAAGACTCATGGCAAAAATGCATGTTTTTCAAGGTATTTTTTGAGCAGTGGAAACTTCAATTTAAAAATAATTGTCAGTAGTGTTGGGGAGTAACAGATTACATGTACCGGAGTTACGTAATCAGAGTACAAATTCTGAGAAACTGTATTCAGTTACAGTTGCTGTTTCAGTGAGTGGTAATTGGATTACAGTTGCTTTGTTGAAATAAATGGACTACACGGCGGGATTTAACGGTTTTCACATTTTGGGCTATACCCCCCACCCCACCCTTTTTTTTTTTTTTTTTTTTTTTAGTAATTTCACTCATTGCCGGGAAACTAAACCAGGTCTAAAACTGATCTAAACCAGGACTAAAACCAGGTCTAAACTAGATCTAAACTAGATCTAAAACAGGACTAAAACCAGGTCTAAACTAGATCTAAACTCGATCTAAACCAGGTCTAAAACAGGTCTAAACCAAGACTAAACCAAGACTAAACCAAGGACTAAACCAGGACTAAAACAGGATTTAACAGGACTAATCCATGCTGTGCGGACGTGTCTCCTCCTCTTCTATCAATAATATTTTTTATTTGGTTGAGTAAAGTCTGAGCTTTTCATTTTCTTTTAGCAAACAAAACTTCTTATGTTATGATATCCGAGTCTTTGCTTCTCTACAGCAAATCAAGTAATCCAAAGTATTCAGATTACGTTACTCACTTTAAGTAATTTAATGGATTACATTACAAACTACATTCTGTGGTATGTAATCTCTAATCTGTAGGGGAATACATTTTAAAAGTAACCTTCCCAACACTGATTGTCAGATTAATCAATTAGCAAAGTAATGTTAGTAGCAACAAGTTGGAATGTGTTATAAAAAGTTTTGGTAACCCAATCTCAAAACAATGTTTACTTTGCATTCATATTTTACACTGCAATCCCATGAGGAGCTTTGAATGTTTCTGCATTCTATATGACACAATAGAAATGAGGCAGTCACTGCAAATTCTGACTTGAGCTTTTCCTGGATCCCTATTAGGAAGTGAAAAAGCATATTCAGAGGAGAGACATTTAGTGAATGGTGAAGTGTAGCAGAGGAATTGTTTTACTTGGAAATCTGGCAGAACTGCTGGAGTATAAAGATGAGGCTGGAGATGTCAGGGACATTACAAGCAACAAGTGGAGAAGAAGACAGCCATACCACACAGAAGTCTACTTACAAGACACTCAACAGTGCAAGATGAAGATCCACTTTGTCTTTCTTCTCATGTGTGCTGCAATGTGTGCATCACAAAGTAAGTACCAAATATGTTTTACAAGTTTATTTTTTGTTTTATTTTGAATTTTAAATTATGCCTATTTATTTCAGCATTAAAACCACGTTGCAGATGTGCTGAAACAGACAAATCAGTGAAACTTAATCTAATATCGTCCTATCGGAAGACAGACCCAACCATTTTCTGCAACAAAATTGAAGTCATGTAAGTACTCTGAAGAAAGTTGCCTATATGTAAAATAAAAATACCTAATAACACCAGTCATTGTTCTATTTTGCAGAGTGACCCTCAAAGACAAGAGAGAAAGTGTGTATTGATCCCAATGGAAAATTCTTTCATTTTCTTGAGGATTTGAGGAAGTAAGATTATTTTAAGTTTTGTTTATTTTAACATTAAAATGTATAAATTTACTAGAGCTACTAAGTTACTTATCTTTATGAACTTGTACCACCATCACTTCTGTATGATACTATGACTAATACTATCTACTGTTACTTCTACTTCTGCTGCTGCTTGATAAAAATATACAAATATAATCACTATACTTATACAAAAACTACTACTACTACTATAAAAACTACTACTACTACTACAAAAAACTACTGCTACTACAAAAACTATTACTACTACTACTACTGCTACTACTGCTACTGCTACTACCACCACCACTACTACTACTACTACTACTACTACTACTACCACTACCGCTACTGCTACTACTACTACTACTACTACTACTACTACTACTACTACTACTACTACTACTACTACTACTACTACTACTTACTGCTGCTGCTGCTGCTGCTGCTATTCCTACTACTATTAACTATTACTGCTACTGGCACCTTTCTGAAATAATTTCATGTCATCCTCTCTAATTATTATTTAGTCATGTTTAGTCATGTACCACAAGGACTCATCAAATACTTTGTGATTGTTTAGGAAATTGTCCCAGACTCGAGCCAAGAAAAACTCTGCAATAACAACAACTGAACCACCAGCAGAATATTCAGCTGCATCTGGCAAAACTCTCCAAACCTCATCGCCTTTAATGTGAACTAATACTACTTCAAAACAGAAATAGCCACAGGAAAAATGGTTAAGACCTGATTTTCTTTTATCTTTGCAGTAATCAAAACATGCCACAGCTAGAAATCTTAAAGTTTTGTATTTTAAAATATATATATATATATATATATATATATATATATTTTTATCAAAGGTACAGGTCATTTTCTACTGAATGAAGTATATATTTTTTATAATATTTATGAGAGATTTAAATTAAGTTTGCATTTTATATTGACTATACGAATGAAAAAGACTCTGACTTTTGAAGTGAATTTTGTTTTGTACAACATTTTCATATATAAAAGAAGATTGACAATGTTATTTCTTGTTTGTTGACACCTTATAAAGCCAGTAAATTGTATGTAAGTTTTGTAATAAAAACTAGTTAAAAATAATTAATAGTTCACTCATTATTTTATTATATTTTTATGAGGGAATTATATGGATCAAAACAGAAAGGAGCTGGTAAAGAGCTGGTTAGCTGGAATTTTGGGAGTGAATTGTGAAAATAATGATACATACTGTGTATATTATTTGTGCATTCAGAGTATACTGCATTGGTTTAAACTTCCTGAGTAGCTTTTCAGTTCCTCAAAAACACAAGCATTTATATAAGCTATAAGCTATTTTTATACAAACAAAGTAGTTGCAATGTGTGCATTTAATTGTACTTCAAAAATATCATGCACAAAATACACTATAGATTATTCTCTCCAATCTCCCAAGATATTACAGTTTTGTATTTCAGAAAAGTAGCACTTGAACTTTATACTCAAAGCTGCTGTTGTCTACTGTCCCGGTTGCACAGAATTCAGTCAGGGACCAACTGGGGTCCGGCTTGAGGGTTCAGTTTGGGGACCACTGGATCTCATCTCTGTTGTTTGCAAATGATTATGTCCTGATCAAACCAGGACCTTCAATGTGTGTTGAGGTGATTTGCAGCTGACTGTAAAGCAGCTCCAAATCCAAGGCCATATGTCATTTCAACAGTGTTGTGTCAAGTGTCACACTTGTGTTCATTGAACTTAGTTCAAAGTTCAGTTTTGCATTTTCACAGACGTGATTTAAAGTTCATTCAGAACTAGTTCAAAGTTCAGTGTTCAAATGAAGTTCAGTTCAAAGCTGCTTTTATTTTTCAAACTGACTTCTAGTTTACAACAACTTTACAAGATACACTGTTGGACAAGTGACTTTAAAACTGTAATGTGTTATTTATGACTTGTTACTGTCATTTCAAAGTAATTTGTTACATTACAATATTACTGTATTTAAAATGTAAAACATTATATGACTATTGCAGCACTTTTAATTTACTCTCACCAAAAGAACTGTTAAGATGCTGAACTTTTGCGCCATATATGGACTGAACCAGGACTGAACCAGGACTAAACCAGGACTAAACCAGGTCTAAACCAGGTCTAAACCAGGACTAAACCAGAACTGAACCAGGTCCAAACCAGGAATAAACCAGGTCTATACCAGAACTGAACCAGGACTAAACCAGGTCTAAACCAGGACTAAACCAGGACTAAACCAGGACTAAACCAGAACTGAACCAGGACTGAACCAGGTCTAAACCAGGAATAAACCAAGTCTAAACCAGGACTGAACCAGAATTGAACCAGGTCTAAACCAGGACTGAACCAGGACTGAACCAGGTCTAAACCAGGAATAAACCAAGACTAAACCAGGACTGAACCAGAATTGAACCAGGTCTAAACCAGGATTGAACCACGACTGAACCAGGACTAAACCAGAACTGAACCAGGACTAAACCAGGACTAAACCAAGACTAAACCAGGACCAAACCAGGACTAATCCTGGACTAGAACTTGGAATCTAGGACCGCCCCTGAGAGAACCCCGAGTGCGATCGGGCGTCAGCTGCGTTTAGTTCGGTGGAGCGCGGACTTCTGCGTCGGTCCTTTCGCTCAGGATCACGGTCTACGCGGGCGCACCTCCGGCGTTTCACCGCTGCTGATATCGCGGTGATTTTAGTAAATTTGTATGAAGAAAAACGAAAAACCCACCATTTCAATCCAGGTTAAAAAAGCATTGTGACGCGCGTTACTGACATTTGTACCAAGTAAAATAATACGTGCGCGGAGCAGCACGTCCTGTGCGTGTAGATTTCAGAAAATAGGATCCATCCTATTTTTTGACGCTCTACACGAGCGTAGGCGCGTATCTCCGTCAAAATACACAGAGAGCATGTATCTATTGTTGTATTTGTGCATTTACCATCAGCACATTGTGCTCCCTGGGCAGTTCTGTACAAGCAGCTAAACGCGCCCAGTCAAGTTTGATTGACTTCCCATTGAGAGACACAAGAGCCCGTACGTTCCGCTAAAGCTGCCGGTGGAGTCGCCTTCGCGTTGACACGCGGCTGTGGTTTCGCGAGGTGAAGTGCGAGCAGATCGTCACTCGTCAGGTGAAAACACATTCCGACGTTTAACTGAACCCCAACAGTGACGTACGTCGTTCATTACACATAATTTGAACAAATTCACGTTCAAGTTCTTAATTTACAAAAGTGTTGTGTTCAGTTCAAAGTTCACTGAAAAATGAACGTGTTCAATGAACGCGTTCTTTTGAACTCGTTCATGCACAACACTGAGTCTCAACCAGGACAAATGTGGCTCACCCTATGAAAGGCAAATGTCTTAATTTATAATCACAGGGGAGGAACTCAGAATAGAGCTGCTGCTCCTCCACGCTGAGAGGAGCCTCTTGGATGTGTCCATGAGGAGGTGTTTCTGATGCCCCACTGGGAAGAGGCCTCGGGGAAGACTCATGGTAAAAATGCATGTTTTTCAAGGTATTTTTTGAGCAGTGAAAACTTCCATAAATAAAGCAATTTAAAAATAATTGTCAGATTAATCAATTAGCAAAGTAATGTTAGTAGCAACAAGTTGGAATGTGTTATAAAAAGTTTTGGTAACCCAATCTGAAATCAATGTTTACTTTGCATTTAAACCTTCATATTTTACACTGCAATCCCATGAGGAGCTTTGAATGTTTCTATATTCTATGACACAATAGAAATGAGGCAGTCACTGCAGGTCCTGACTTGAGCTTTTCCTGGATCCCTATTAGGAAGTGAAACACTATATTCGGAGGAGAGACATTTAGTGAATGGTGAAGTGTAGCAGAGGAATTGTTTTACTTGGAAATCTGGCAGAACTGCTGGAGTATAAAGATGAGGCTGGAGATGTCAGGGACATTACAAGCAACAAGTGGAGAAGAAGACAGCCATACCACACAGAAGTCTACTTACAAGACACTCAACAGTGCAAGATGAAGATCCACTTTGTCTTTCTTCTCATGTGTGCTGCAATTTGTGCATCACAACGTAAGTACCAAATATGTTGTACAAGTTTATTTTTTGTTTTATTTTGAATTGTAAATTATGCCCATTTATTTCAGCATTAAAACCACGTTGCAGATGTGCTAAAACAGACAAATCAGTGAAACTTAACCTAATATCATCCTATCTGAAGACAGATCCAACCATTTTCTGCAACAAAATTGAAGTCATGTAAGTACTCTGAGGAAAGTTGCCTATATGTAAAATAAAAATACCTAATAACACCAGTCATTGTTCTATTTTGCAGAGTGACCCTCAAAGACAAGAGAGAAGTGTGTATTGATCCCAATGGAAAATTCTTTCATTTTCTTGAGGATTTGAGGAAGTAAGATTATTTTAAGTTTTGTTTATTTTAACATTAAAATGTATAAATTTACTAGAGCTACTAAGTTACTTATCTTTATGAACTTGTACCACCATCACTTCTGTATGATACTATGACTAATACTATCTACTGTTACTTCTACTTCTGCTGCTGCTTGATAAAAATATACAAATATAATCACTATACTTATACAAAAACTACCACTACTACTACAAAAAACCTACTACTACTACTACAAAAAACTACTGCTACAACAAAAACTATTACTACTACTACTACTGCTACTACTGCTACTGCTACTACCACCACCACTACTACTACTACTACTACTACTACTACTACTACTACTACTACTACTACTACTACCACTACCGCTACCGCTACTGCTACTACTACTACTACTACTACTACCATTTCTACTACTATCATCAGCTACTACTACCACTACCACTACTACTACTACTATCATCATCGGTACTACTACTACAACTAGTACTAACACTACGACCACTGCCACCACTACTACTACTATCATCACTACTACTTCTACCACCACCACTACTACTGCTACTGCTGCTACTACTACTACTACTACTACTACTACTACTACTACTACTACTACTACTACTACCACTACCACTACTACTACTACTACTATTACCACTACTAACAGTACTAACCCTACTACCACTACTACTACTACTACTACTACTACTACTATTACTGCTGCTGCTGCTGCTATTCCTACTACTATTAACTATTACTGCTACTGGCACCTTTCTGAAATAATTTCATGTCATCCTCTCTAATTATTATTTAGTCATGTTTAGTCATGTACCACAAGGACTCATCAAATACTTTGTGATTGTTTAGGAAATTGTCACAGACTCGAGCCAAGAAAAACTCTGCAATAACAACAACTGAACCACCAGCAGAATATTCAACTGCATCTGGCAAAACTCTCCAGACCTCATCGCCTTTAATGTGAACTAATACTACTTCAAAACAGAAATAGCCACAGGAAAAATGGTTAAGACCTGATTTTCTTTTATCTTTGCAGTAATCAAAACATGCCACAGCTAGAAATCTTTAAGTTTTGTATTTTAAATATATATATATATATATATATATATATATTTTTTTTTTTTTTTTAATCAAAGGTACAGGTCATTTTCTACTGAATGAAGTATATATTTTTTTTTTATAATATTTATGAGAGATTTAAATTAAGTTTGCATTTTATATTGACTATACGAATGAAAAAGACTCTGACTTTTGAAGTGAATTTTGTTTACAACATTTTCATATATAAAAGAAGATTGACAATGTTATTTCTTGTTTGTTGACACCTTATAAAGCCAGTAAATTGTATGTAAGTTTTGTAATAAAAACTAGTTAAAAATAATTAATAGTTCACTCATTATTTTATTATATTTTTATGAGGGAATTATATAGACCAAAACAGAAAGGAGCTGGTAAAGAGCTGGTTAGCTGGAATTTTGGGAGTGAATTGTGAAAATAATGATACATACTGTGTATATTATTTGTGCATTCAGAGTATACTGCATTGGTTTAAACTTCCTGAGTAGCTTTTCAGTTCCTCAAAAACACAAGCATTTATATAAGCTATAAGCTATTTTTATACAAACAAAGCAGTTGCAATGTGTGCACTTAATTGTACTTCAAAAATATCATGCACAAAATACACTATAGATTATTCTCTCCAATCTCCCAAGATATTACAGTTTTGTATTTCAGAAAAGTAGCACTTGAACTTTATACTCAAAGCTGCTGTTGTCTACTGTCCCGGTTGCACAGAATTCAGTCAGGGACCAACTGGGGTCCGGCTTGAGGGTTCAGTTTGGGGACCACTGGATCTCATCTCTGTTGTTTGCAAATGATTATGTCCTGATCAAACCAGGACCTTCAATGTGTGTTGAGGTGATTTGCAGCTGACTGTAAAGCAGCTCCAAATCCAAGGCCTTAGTCTCAACCAGGACAAATGTGGCTCACCCTATGAAAGGCAAATGTCTTAATTTATAATCACAGGGGAGGAACTCAGAATAGAGCTGCTGCTCCTCCACGCTGAGAGGAGCCTCTTGGATGTGTCCATGAGGAGGTGTTCCTGATGCCCACTGGGAAGAGGCCTCGGGGAAGACTCATGGTAAAAATGCATGTTTTTCAAGGTATTTTTTGAGCAGTGAAAACTTCCATAAATAAAGCAATTTAAAAATAATTGTCAGATTAATCAATTAGCAAAGTAATGTTAGTAGCAACAAGTTGGAATGTGTTATAAAAAGTTTTGGTAACCCAATCTGAAATCAATGTTTACTTTGCATTTAAACCTTCATATTTTACACTGCAATCCCATGAGAAGCTTTGAATGTTTCTGCATTCTATATGACACAATAGAAATGAGGCAATCACTGCAGGTCCTGACTTGAGCTTTTCCTGGATCCCTATTAGGAAGTGCAAGATGAAGATCCACTTTGTCTTTCTTCTCATGTGTGCTGCAATGTGTGCATCACAACGTAAGTACCAAATATGTTGTACAAGTTTATTTTTTGTTTTATTTTGAATTGTAAATTATGCCCATTGATTTCAGCATTAAAACTACATTGCAGATGTGCTAAAACAGACAAATCAGTGAAACTTAATCTAATATTGTCCTATCGGAAGACAGCCCCAACCATTTTCTGCAACAAAATTGAAGTCATGTAAGTACTCTGAAGAAAGTTGCCTATATGTAAAATAAAAATATCTAATAACACCAGTCATTGTTCTATTTTGCAGAGTGACCCTCAAAGACAAGAGAGAAGTGTGTATTGATCCCAATGGAAAATTCTTTCATTTTCTTGTGGATTTGAGGAAGTAAGATTATTTGAAGTTTTGTTTATTTTAACATAATTACATTAAAATTTATAAATTTACTAGAGCTACTAAGTTACTTATCTTTATGAACTTGTACCACCATCATTACTGTATGATACTATGACTAAGACCATCTACTGTCACTTTTACCTCTGCTGCTGCTTGATAAAGATATACAAATATAATCACTATACTTATACAAAAACTATTAGTGCTACAAAAACTTTTACTACTGCTACTACTGCTACTACTACCACTACCACTACCACTACTACTACTACTACTACTACTATTACTACTACTACTACTACCACTACCACTACTACTACTATTACTACTACTACTACTATTACTATTACTACTACTACCACTACCACTACTACTACTATTACTACTACTACTATTGCCATCACTACTACTCCTATTATAATCACTACTACTACCACCACCAGTACTACTACAGCAACTACTACTACAACTACTACTACTATTACTATTTCTACCACTATTACTATGACTACTACTATCTACTGTCACTTCTACCTCTGCTGCTGCTTGATAAAGATATACAAATATAATCACTATACTACTACAAAAACAACAACTCTCCAGACGTCATCGCCTTTAATGCCAACTAATACTACTTCAAAACAGAAATAGCCCCAGGAAAAGAAATAAAGACCTCAATTTATTGTTGCCTTTACAGCAATCAAACATGTCACCGCTAGAAATCTTGAATACAGTTTTGTGTTTAAATTTGTTTAATCCCAGGCGCAGGGCTTTTCTACCGATACAAATAACAATAAGTATATTTTTGTAATAATATTTATTAGAGATTCAAGCTAAGTTTGCATTTTATATCACCATGTGAATGAAAAAGACTTTGACTTCAAGTGAATTTTGTTTTGTACAATATTTTTGGATATAAAAGAAGATTGACAAAGTTATTTCTTGTTTGCTGACATCTTACAAACTCAATAAACTGTATGTAATTTTTTGTAATAAATAATAATTAACAATAATCAGTAGTTCACTTTTTTTTTTTTTTATGAGGGAATTATATAGACCAAAACAGAAAGGAGCTGTTAAAGGAGCTAATTAGCTGGACTTTTGGGAGTGAATTATGAAAATAGTGATACATACCGTATATATTATTTGTGCCATCAAAGTATACTGCCCTGGTTTGAACTTCCTGTGTAATTTTTCAGTTCCTTAAAAACACAAGTCATTATATAAGCTAGTATGTTTATACAAACAAAGCAGCTGCAATGTGTGTACTTAATTGTACCTCAAAAATAATACTAAACCCCCAGCATCATAAGGATATAACATGACTTAAGCCACTGTAGGTGACTTCTTGTGCTTTGGACCACAAAAACAAAACAAAAAGTTATATTATTCATAGTATAATCATGTGCTTTGTGCATTGTGACCTATTCAAACCCAATCTATTTAAATCAATCTGCCAGAAAAACCTCTCATTTAAGTCACAAGATTTCGTTGTTTATGACTTGTATGCAGGGAGGTACAGTGTGCTACAGTAGCTGAGTTGTCTTATGTTCTGGGTCAAATAAAAAAGTACAGAAACTTCATCAACAGTAATAACTTTGGGGCTAAAGAAAAAACTGCTTACACAACTCAAAACTGCTGATGGGTTAATTCTGCATAAGGGCAAACAAAGGTGACTAGAGATAGCTGGGAAAAACTGTATGTGGGCTACTAACAGTCATACCAAGATTAAATTCAGAGGAAATGCACTCATAGTAACTCATAATAATAACTCATAATGACAAAGGGCATTATCTGGTTTTATTACTATCATTGTCATTATCTAGTTACAAATCATCACAAAACAGAAAACTATCCTGAAATTCTGATTGAAGGGCAGAAGATTAATAATGCTGATGAGTTAAAATATCTAGGAATTACTCTGGAACCAAATTATGTTTTAAAAAGCACATTAAAAAGTTAATGAACTATAAAATTCAACATGGCAAATTTCAGATACATCAGAAACTCCCTGACTACTGAAGACTCAGGTGCCTATCGAAATGCAATGATAATGCCACACTTTCTTTACAGCATAACACGTTGGTCACAAGCTTGTAAATCAACTCTGAGGCCTCTCGAATCATTATATAAAAGCGCTCTGAAGACCCATCCATCCATTCTCTTCTGCTTATTTGGGGCCGGGTTGCGGGGGCAGTGGTCTAAGCAAGGACTTCTAGACTTCCTTCACCCCAGACACGTCCTCCAGCTCCTCCGGGAGGACCCCAAGGTGTTGCAGGCCAGCAGAGAGACGAGAGACCCTCCTTACGGTGGGACATGCCCAGAACAGCTTCTGAGGGAGGCGCCCAGGAGGCATCCGGAACAGATGCCAGAGCGGCTCTACTCCGAGCTGAGTTTCCTCCTCCGAGTGACTGAGCTCCTCACCCTATCTCTAAGGGAGCGCCCAGCTACCCTGCAGAGGAAACTCATTTCGACCTCTTGTATCATCGATCGCGTCCTTTTGGTCATTACCCAGAGCTCATGGCCATACGTGAGGGTAGGAACAAAGAAGGTAAATCTTCGATTCGCTCTCAAGCCCCATGGCAAGAAAAGGTTGCTATTAAGCCACTTGTCATATATAAACACAGCATTTTAAGTTTTGGAAACCTGATGATGTATGCAAATGTTTGTCTGCTGTTTAAGATCATTCATGATACTGCTGCTCCTTTGCTGAAATAGTTTATGAATGGTGAATGTATATTGTGCACTGTCCCTGTCTCATTAAATAAATAAACTAAATAAACTAAACTAGTTCTGCCAGGTGTTTGATTGACAGACATTGTAACCAATAGTAAGTTAGGTTGAAGTGCTACGTGTTTTAGTTGTTTTCAGTGTGCCGTGCAAGTCTCTCAATACTTCTCACTTCTGTTATAGAGATTATCTTCTGGCCATGTGGTTTTGGGCCTTTTACGTGGGGAATTACTCTAGACAGCATCCATTTATCACCACATCTTAAAAGTATCCTTGAGTTTCAGAATGATGAAAAATTAAAACTGTTGCCATAGCAACTAACAAATTAAAACTAAATATCATACATTAAAGGAGCCATATTGTGCTATTTTCTGCTCTATGTTATAATGTTGTTTCCTCATCAAAAACAGACCTAGAGTTGTGTTTTGTTTCATTCACACATGTTTAACACAGAACTCCTGCATAGTTATTCTTTATATATTATTTATATTTATATTTATATATATATACACTCTGTTACACATTGTGATGTCATGCAATACAGGATATGCTCCACTGTGTTTTAAAACTCCATACACCTTCACTAGAAACTCAATTGAATTCAATGTAAAAAATGTGGCTGTGAACTTGAAAAGTAGGAGAAACAGAGCATTTTGAGTTTTGAAGATGTAAACAGATTAGTAATAAAGTGTTACTCAAACATGTGTGAATAAAACTAAACACTGGGTATGCTTTTGATGAGGTAACATAATTATAACATAGCTTAAAGCTCACAAGAATGCATTTTGTGTAGCTTGTACAAGGAAATAAGCAAGCAAAACCTAATAATACAATTTGCTAAAAGAAAGCACAAAATAGGGCTGCACAAACAAGAAAAATGCTCAGAGGAACAAATGTGTTCTTAAGTGAACAAAAAATAATGCTGCTCTTGCTAGAGAGGCCAGAGAAAACAAAAGAAAATACTATCTATATGGACAACCAGCTGCAAAATTTTTGTCAAGATAAATGGAACCCCTGAAGAGACAAAAGTTTAATTATAGTGTATAAATACCTACTTAAAATATCAACATGTCAGTCAACATGACTATAGAAGTTTATCAATTAGACACACATACAGTTGCATACAACGTTGGTAAGACACTGGGCACAGTTATAGTTTTGCTCTTTGTTAGTATAATAAATCGTGAGCTACTGTGTCCAAATGATTTCCCTTGTAGCTCAATAAAGTTTGTCTAAATCTACCATGGCCCAGTCCTTGTTCAGCTTTGCTGTGGTGTATGTAAGAGTGAACACACAATATTGTCATGTTGCGTGCAAACATGACATACTATTTTTCAATTATATCCTCAAATACTTTCATTTTCTTTTTGAATTAAGTAATATTGAAAAGTACCAATTTTCCTAATTCAGTTTTGTTATGAATTTTCTAGCTGTGACCCTGGTTAGTCACTTCTCAGCAGGCCCCTCTGTCCCATGACTGTCTGCTGCTGCTGCTGAACATGTGAACCAACCTGAAACCAGCGCACACCCACTACCACAATCACAGTATGTTTTCCTCAAATCCACAGTAAATCAACATCACATGACCCCCAGTACATGTATAAATACCCACAGTGTACCCTTATGGAACAGTAGCAGTTTTTGAGCCATAGAATTGTCACTAACTTTGAGTGGAAGAATCGGCTGAACAATGAAGCTGTGCGTTGCAGTGATGCTTGGGACCCTCTTTGTCCTCGCTAATGGTGAGTAATGATACAAAACATTTATCTGTTTGGGTATTTCTGTATAGGTGGGCAATATAAACAAAAGGATTATATGAAGAATGATCTCTTTTTAAAATGTCCTAAACGGTTGTGAAATGTTGGTATTGCTATTTGCCATTTTTCAAATCAACAGCAGACAGTATTTTTTAAAGTTTACATAACGTTCAAACCAACAGTTTCTATTTTACTGACAATGCTTTTTTGTGAGTTTATTGACAACATTTTGAGGATACCATTCAAAGTAGGGTTGGGCGATACCTAAATTTTTGGTAAGATGGATCAAATACTTTGGGGGGAGGGGGCGGGTCTAAAGTACAATCAGAACACCTGGGACAGATGCTGCTGCTAGAGGAGTTTTGACACAAAAGAAGGAAGAAATGTCCCTAATATGTCAATGTCTCGCCTTAACATTTGCATACACCAATTAGTATCATTATTTGTATAACAGTATTGATACCCACATTTGTAGTCAGTATATATCAATACTTCAATACTGATACTGCTGTCCTTAATTTAAAGATATATATTTTTTCTGTTTTTGTTTACAATTTTCACTCTGATACCAATTTTCCAACAACGTATTGGCTTCTAATTGCTGTTATTTCACAGTAAGGACACAAAAGGTAATTCCACAAGAAGGTAGAAGGTAATCACAATATTGTAACTGAGATTATTCTGATTTCACAATAACTTGATAACTGTGAATATGCTGTTGGCTATTGTCTTATTACATTATGTAAAAAAATAATTAAGGGTCCAAAACAAGTTAAAACTATCTATCATACACAGAAAATAAATGCAAACCCTTCTCTATTGTTCTACTGATATTCAGAACAAAAATACAGCTATGCAGTGTTTGCTTCCATTTGAGGCTATTCACTCCTCCCCATCAGGTCTAAATGTGTTACGTGGCTCACATGTTTGGATGTGCCCATAATCTCGACCCAGTGCATATACTGCATGCCACTGAGCATGAATGAAAGCATGAGATAGGTTGGTTTCACATGATATGACGACAATAATGCCTATATAATTTAAAACTGAGCAGGAGGGCAGATAAGAATTCTGTGTTGGGATTTGCTGTTTAACTGTCAGACTGCTTGTTGAACTGGTTTAGGTTAATATTTTTGCATAATACTATCTTTATTGGGCCTAGTTGAAAGAACTCAACATTTGTGAATCATAATTAAAGTAAAGTATCTTAATCTCCCATAGAGTTATAAAGGCCCCTGCCCTCCATCTGGAATTATGAGGTCATAAAAATTCTGAGATGTGAATGCAAGCTAATGTAAAGCTATAGGTTTATAAAAGAGCACACACAGCTTAAACACAATGAGAACCTCTAACACCACAGCTTTCAGATTTAAAACTCTGTAGCAATACATAGCTTTTTCTGAAAACTTTCACCTCCTCCAGTTTCCTTAAATGTTATTTCTGCACAGAGGAAGTTTCAAGAGGTTCACTTTTCTTAAGAACATGTCACAAGTGATACAATTGATGAGAAATGACATGAATAAATGATAAGTATGGCCACACATGCGTTGAAAATTGTAATGTACATATAAATAACCAGGTACCATGCAGTTTATCCTTTTTGGAACATTAAATTAAACATGTATTGTCTTTGTACACAAATTTCTATTTTATGCAAATGAATGCATGACTCCAAACTAAAACATAATAACAGCTACAGTACATGAAAAAAAATCAAGATAAAAGTCAATATATCAAGAGAAGAAAGCATTTTTATGTCTTATCTGGTATTTAAACATTTTGTATTGATTTGTTTTACAGGCATGTCTCCGATAAACAGGGAGTACAACAGCCACTGCCGCTGTGTGCAGGTGGAGTCCAGGATCATCCCCCCGCACAGTCTGAGGAGCATCAAACTGGTGCCAGAGGGACCACACTGCCCCAACACTGAAGTCATGTGAGTTATTTTAAAGTGCATATCACAGCTTAAACCACTTATCCACAGTCTTGGGTACTTTTTTCAAAAACTTTATATTCATTTATGCAACTATGTTAGCAACAAGGGCCAAAATCTGTCTAAAAATGTCAAACGTTTTTTTCTTTTGCATTTTCAGTGATTTCCAAGGTATTCTGTGCAACTTCCTATATTTTTCAACTCAACTTTTTTCCCACAAACTGATAACTGCTAACTAAACTTACAAACTAAACTAAAACTATGATAAATATTTACCACAGGTACTATCCCAATAAACCAAGGAATAGACTTAGAGTAATTAGAAGTCTAGAATTAGTATAATAATATAATAATTAGAGAAACAAATCATGCACATAAAGAAATATGACCTTAAAAAATGCAGAGATTACTTCTTATTATAGCACATTTGCACTTTGTAGGGAGGTCAATGTACCCCATAAAGTAAACATAACGTAATACTTAACACAAGTTTTCGGAATTATGAAGCCTGGATATTCTTGATTAACTATTTGTTCATTATCAATTAAGTCTTTGTTCATGCTTAGTTAAAGGTACCATCTTATGCAAAGTTGACCCTTGTGAGCTTTAAGTCATGGTAGAATGTTGTTTTCCGTCAAAAACATACATGAAATTGTGTTTTGTTTCATTCACACATGTTTGAGTAACCCTTTATTATTAGTCTGTCTACATCTACAAAGTTTAAAATGTTCTGTCAGTTCGAGGGCTGAAATCATGCACTGATTCTAGTGAAAGTCTATGCTGTTCAAAAACACAGTGGAGCACTTCCTGTATTACCATGTGACATCACAATAGAGTGGATGGAACAGAGTGTTTTCTGTTTGAGAGAAGAACTCAGCAATGCAGGTTTTGTGTGTTAAACATGTGTGAATGAAACTGAAAAAATGCATAGCACACTCAGATGGCCGATGTCCAAAAGCTTTTTTTATTTTTAAATAATGTTTCAGCATAAAAGCCTTCATCAGATCTTTTTTTGGTTTGTTTTGGACCACAGCATGAATGATCTGATGAAAGCTTTTTTGCTGAAACATTATTTAAAAATAAAAAAAGCTTTTAGACATCGGCCATCTGAATGTGCTATGGATTTTTTCGCTTGTATTTCACTGCTCCTTGCATTTGCACTTTGGTGTGCATTTTCTGTTTAATTTGAAACATGTGTGAATGAAACAAAATAGAACTCCAGGTATGTTTTTGATGAGGAAACAACATTATAACATAGATAAAAAGTAGCCTAAGATGAGCCCTTGAAGTCTAATTTGTCTTGATGTTCATGTCACACTACTACCTAAAAAATTATAAAGTTTGTAGATCGTACGTTTGGATATCTTGCAAAAACGTGTAGAAAAGTGAATCTATCAACAGACTTATAAAGACCTGTACCCTCTCCATATAAACAAATCAAATTCAAGAAAGTAAACGCAACCTATTTGTGCCTCTATTATGTTCTACTCACGTGTTCCTGTATTTTAATGTGATCTTGTCTTCTGTAGTGCTGGACTTGCCAATGGGGAGAAGGTGTGTCTGAATCCACAGTCATCCTGGGTCAAAAAACTGGTGAAATTTGTGCTTGAAAAACAGATGCAAGGATCCCCCAAAACCCAAGCGTGAAATCAACTCTTGGGACCACAATCTGTACTTTATACTTTCATGATGGACTTTCACATTAAACTTTGACACTTTTTGTAACTTTTTGGTTGGGCGTCCGTCACCTGCTTGTTCCTCTGGATATGTAACTACTCTGCCTGGAATGTTCCACAGTATGACATTAAACAGCTCTGCCTCACACATTCAATCACAGGTAGTTTTATAGCTCAAGATCTGAGCTGTAACTTGGTCTGGTTTGGTCTCCGTGATGATAGAAAGGTTTAATGCCATATTGTGAAATATTCCAGAGAAAGCAATAACACCTCCATGGAGAAAAGCATTTGATGCACCCTCCAACAGAAAAGTTCCACAATGCACCTTTAATCTTTATCGTATGTATTGTAAATATTGTCTTTTCTTGTAGATTGTTGTGTACTCTTGTTTTGAGAGACTGGGTGTCTGTGACTTTTAATAAACTGGTTGATTCATGACTTTGTGTAGTGTCAAAGGTGAATTTTATTATTGAATATCTGTAGCATTATTAACTGAAAATGAAATGTATAGGATAAATAAGACAAGCGCTAAAACAGATCATTATTTATATCTATCTATATACAGTGTTGTGCATGAACGAGTTCAAAAGAACGCGTTCATTGAACACGTTCATTTTTCAGTGAACTTTGAACTGAACGCAACACTTTTGTAAATCAAGAACTTGAACGTGAATTTGTTCAAATTATGTGTGATGAACGACGTACGTCACTGTTGGGCTTCAGTTAAACGTCGGAATTTGTTTTCACCTGACGAGTGACGATCTGCTCGCACTTCACCTCACGAAACCACAGCCGCGTGTCAACGCGAAGGCGACTCCACCGGCAGCTTTAACGGAACGTACGGGCTCTTGTGTCTCTCAATGAGAAGTCAAACTTGCACAAATTAAGAGTCTATGTGGATCTGGGCTCTTTCACATGATACACAACTGCCCAGGGAGCACAATGTGCTGATGGTAAATGCACAAATACAACAATAGATACATGCTCTCTGTGGATTTTGACGGGGATACGCGCCTACGTGTAGAGCGTCAAAAAATAGGATGGATCCTATTTTCTGAAATCTACACGCACAGGACGTGCTGCTCCGCGCGCGTATTATTTTACTTGGTACATATGTCAGTAACGCGCGTCACAATGCTTTTTTAACCTGGATTGAAATGGTGGCTTTTTCGTTTTTCTTCATACAAATTTGCTAAAATCACCGCCCGCGATATCAGCAGCGGTGAAAGGCCGGAGGTGCGCTCGTGTAGACCGTGATCCTGAGCGAAAGGACCGACGCAGAAGTCCGCGCTCCACCGAACTAAACGCAGCTGACGCCCGATCGCACTCGGGGGTTCTCTCAGGGTCCTAGATTCCAAGTTCTAGTCCAGGATTAGTCCTGGTTTAGTCCTGGTTCAGTTCTGGTTTAGTCTTGGTTTATTCCTGATTTAGACCTGGTTCAGTCCTGGTTCTGTTCTGGTTTAGTCCTGGTTAGTCCTGGTTCACAGTTCTGGTTTATTCCTGGTTCAGTTCTGGTTTAGACCTGGTTTAGACCTGGTTTAGTCCTGGTTTAGACCTGGTTCAGTTCTGGTTTAGTCCTGGTTCAGTTCTGGTTTAGACCTGGTTTAGTCCTGGTTTAGACCTGGTTCAGTCCTGGTTTAGTCCTGGTTCAGTTCTGGTATAGACCTGGTTTAGTCCTGGTTTAGACCTGGTTCAGTTCTGGTTTAGTCCTGGTTTAGACCTGGTTTAGACCTGGTTTAGTCCTGGTTTAGACCTGGTTCAGTTCTGGTTTAGTCCTGGTTTAGACCTGGTTTAGACCTGGTTCAGTTCTGGTTTAGTCCTGGTTTAGACCTGGTTTAGTCCTGGTTTAGTCTGGTTCAGTCCTGGTTCAGTCCATATACGGTGCAAAAGTTCAGCATCTTAACAGTTATTTTGGTGAGAGTAAATTAAAAGTGCTGCAATAGTCGTGTAATGTTTTACATTTTAAATACAGTAATATTGTAATGTAACAAATGACTTTGAAATGACAGTAACAAGTCATAAATAACACATTACAGTTTTAAAGTCACTTGTCCAACAGTGTATCTTGTAAAGTTGTTGTAAACTAGAAGTCAGTTTGAAAAATAAATGCAGCCTTTCATTTACAGATCTCATCTAAATATAAAATGAACTGAACTTTGAACTAGTTCAAAATTAAAATTGTGAACTATGAACGTGAACTATTCACTTTGAACAAGTGTGAACTGAACTTTGAACTAGTTCATGAAAAGTGTGAACTTGCACAACACTGTCTATATATGATAACATTATGTAACTTTCAGGAAGTGACACATCACCTGCACGATTCTATGGGAATTTAAAACCCCGTTCCCTGGAAACTGGGGGAGTCCCTGCAAGCCAGAGTCGGGTTTGTGACTCTTACTTTGAAAATATGTTTGGCTATTTGCATGATAATAAATACAGAAAATTAAATGCATGTCAAAGCCTGATCCCGCCAGACCTCAGAAGCTAATCAAGCCCAGGCCTGGTTAGGACTAGGTTGGGAGACTGCTGGGAAAACCAGGGTGACACCAGTGGCAAAAACTGTTGCTGTGTCCTTAGGCAAGACCCACATTGCCTGGTAAGAAAGTAGAGTGTGTGTGAGTGATGATGGTGGTCAGATGGACTGATGGCGCACATTGACGCCAATTTCTAAGAATTAACCAAATAAATATCTTAATATGAATGAGGTAGAGAATCTGGTTTGTGGTTATAATATGACGTAGTGAGAAATATTTTCTCTGAAAAGCTTCCATCCATTCCAAATCTTGAGGAAGTATGAAAGTTTTTTTTTTGTTTGTTACGGTTCTGTTTTCTGTTTCTATCTGTTATGCTGACAATTCAATATACAATTTAGTGAATTCAATACTTGAAACAAAGGATATGAGTAATCCTTATTATTAGTCTGTATACACTTCCAAAGCTCAGAATGCTTGTGATATCATGTAGTGGTAGTTTTCAGGGTAACAGTTTAGCTTTTACCTTTAGTTTAGTAGAGACTGGCAATTCCTGAGCTGAAATTATCCTCATGATTCTAGTGAAGGTGTGAGAAGTTTAAAAACTTCCTGTATCACCAGATGACATCACATGGTGGAACAGTGTATTTTCTGTTTGAGAGAAGCTCAGCCTAAATATTTTTGAGTTAAACATGTGTGAATGAAAGAAAACACAACTCCAGCAATGTTTTTGATGAGGAAACAACATTATAACATAGATCAGAGAATACTGTAAAAAATAAATACAATTATGTATAAAATAACAATTGCTTATACACAGTTTGGGTTCATTTGAGTTGTGAGAAGAAAATACATGTCTTTGCATTACACAATAATAATTATTATTTTAATAGGCATAGGGTTTAACGACAGATCTGACTTGTAATTTTGCCTGATTACATCTTTTACAACGCAATTTTGCAAATACAATAACATTGTCAAGTTCAAGTTACAGAGCGCACCAATCAATCAATTAAATGTGAAAGAGAGGATATAATCTCACACTAACTTTGAGATTTTGTAATATCTGGATCAACGGTGTACCCCTTCCCTAAAGGAAACCACAATCTGAAGGCCTCTGTCCAGCTGCCAGTGTCACAGAAAGTCAATAAGATGTCGAAAACTGGAGAAAACAGAATACAAAATAGATTAGAACAATAAACAGCGTGTAAATGTTACACTGTAGGTCAGTACTACTCACTCTGGTTAATAGCCAGTATTTTAGAGTGAAAGTTTTTTGAGTTGTTTTTCTTGATCATGTATTCGTCTATTGGGAGTCTGGCTGTGAGAACACTCAACTCACTGGCCCTGCCCAAGCTCAACTTCTATATAAACACATCACATTTGTTACATTATTTAAAGATTATTCATTACATTATTCATTACATTTTGAAAAAAAATTAAATAATAAAATTTAAAAAATACCGGCAGGAGCTAAAGTAAAACTGTACCTTTTGAATGCTTTCATCCACAAGTCCACCAAGAACATAAACTTTGTCAGGGTCCACACACTGTAAGGCTACAGAACTAAGAATTTCTATAAATTAAGTTAAAGATGCACTATGTCACTTTTCTGGTGGGGATTTGCCCTCTGCTTGTGTCCATGGAGATATTATTGCTTTCCCTGGAATGTTCCATAGTATGACATTAAACATATCCACCTTGGAAAACTTGCATTCATATTGTGAGATACTTGTCCATGGAGAAGATAAGTTTAACACCATACTGTGTAACTACAAATGTAACGAGGTGCACAACATAGCCAGAAAAGTTACACAGTGCACCTTTACTGAACTGACCAGTCTGAATATGAGAGAGATGATGAAAACACAGAGAATAAGAAATGTGAGAATTATTTATTGCTAAGGTTATAGCTCCCTCTGCTGGCTACAAGTACTTTTCATATTTGTACTTCACCTTGTTCAGCATCTGGTGTGAGGTAAACAATTGTCTCTGGTGGGAAAAGATCCAAACAGCTTTCCTCTGTTATGTCCATCTGACAAAATATACAGAATATCTTAATAAACCTGAAGTGGGCTGAAGGGTTTACTTAAGGGTTTAAGGGTGTGTTTCAGTCTCCTCTATTTATAACCTGTATCTACAAATCTACTCAATGATAAAAAATAATAATATATTCACAGAGTAGTTGAGGAAACCATCGTTCATTCGGACACACTCTCTGTACAGGCGGCTGTCCTCTCTCAGGTTTGTCAGAAACAGGTGAAATGGTTGAGACGCCTTTTTGTTTGAGCCATAGAGGCGTCTGATCTGCCCCGACAGTCTGCTGATCTCCTGAATACAAAAAAAAAAAAACTGTATTTAATTAGGGTTTCCCATAAATAATAATTCTCCTTTTACAAAGCCTGTGGGAAATGCAGGGTTTCAGTTCACATCACAACATTCTATTATATATTATTTAATAACACAGATGGGTTAATGTTAGTTAAAATGTTAGTAATTTGTTGTTGTAACATAATGAGGTCTTTATCTTTTGGATATTTTCATCCCAAAGTAAAATGTAATCAGTAAGAATCTCTGGCTCTTGCCTCCATCTGACAGTACTAATAATAGCTGTGTTAAAACTGTTGTCCACATAAAATTATATATGGTCATTAACAAGCATCTCAAAGTATGTAGACACTGTATTCATTATCCATTCACTCCCCACACATTTACTTCTAAGATACTTACTATACTCTATTGTCTTTTTTCTAATGTTTTGTTATTGTCTTCTGTGTTACCTGATGATAAGGACAACAAATGGATATAAGCATCATGCATCAAACTTGCTCAGGGCTAATATTAATCAGCCATGTGGTAGAGAACAATGCTTTTATTTAATATCTGTTTATGAAACTTTATGAACCTAAACTAAGACATGGATATTAGTTACCACATATCTGGTTAGTCTGAAAGGTGTTTTAATATTTTACTTTTTCAAAATCTATGGGGGGAAAAAAATCATTAAATGGAGAATTTACTTCCAAAACCAGAGGGGGGTCTCTATAATAAATGCTCATTAATACAAACTATCATCAAAATAATAAAATAAATTAACAAATATTAATTACCCGATTGGAGTTTAGCTTCCACTTCTGGTCCTGCTACAGCAAATATACAGTATGATGTGGGTCCACCCTTTGCAACTATAACAGCTTCGTGGCTGAGTTGTTCTCGTTCCCAGTTGCTTCCACGTTGTTCTATTACCACTGTGGAATATTTAGGAGCGAGGAAATTTCACGACTGGACTTGCTGCACAGGTGGTATCCTATCACAGTACCACGCTGGAATTCACTGAGCTCCTGAGAGAGACCCATTCTTTCACAAATGTTTGTAGAACCAGTCTGCAGGTTGAGGTGCTTGATTTTATCCACGTAGGAAGTGACTGGAACACCTGATTTTGCTTATTTGGATGGGTTCATACTTTCAACAATATAGTGAATATGTACTCGCTGGTTCTGTCGTGTCAACGTAGAATTACCAGAGCACGAGAAGAATAATGCGGCCTAACCTGCCTAATTCAAATCTAATTCATTTGCTAAAGGCTGAAGTTCATGTTGGTTAGAAAGGAAAACATTTCGTCCCTGGGTGGGCTCGAACCACCAACCTTTCGGTTAACAGCCGAACGCGCTAACCGATTGCGCCACAGAGACTCTGAGAACACAAATAAGTGTGTAACAAACTCAGTTGAACCATATTATTACAGCATTAAAGTTGGCAGGTCTAATCAGCTGCTAAACATTGACAACGAACACTTTTTTGTTTTGTTTTGTTGCAGTACCATCCAAGTCCATTAGATGTCCTACTTAAACTAAACATGATCAATGAACAAGTTGGATTTTTTCCTCTTTTCACAAACAATAGAAACGAATATGTCATTTCTGTATTAATTATCAGGCTTAAAAGATAATTGCGAATGCTACAGTAACCACCTATTATATAAATAATTAGGCTAAATAGCTACGATCAAATGTATTTGTTAATGTTTCTAATTATATTCTGATACCACACATCTATCTAAGTGGACATGGGCCTGATTTCCAAAACGCATATATATATACATACATATTTTATGATATTTTAAACTTTTACATTGAAATTGCATCGTGGTCACTTCACTTTTACCTCCAGTTGCCTCCATTCTAGAATTTCACTATATTTTGGCTATTTAATCGGTGTATTTAACAAGGACAGTGTATATTAATGTACCAGAATTAGCCAGATTTAGACTATTTTTAGTTTACAAACTTTTTATAGCGCAGCTTATCGTCCCTGGGTGGGCTCAAACCACTGTCCCTGAAAAGAAGTGTTTTTTTCTCTGGTGAACATAGATGAGGTAGGTAAATAAAAGCGTTAGTCTGCATTTGTTTACTTTTATATTCCAAATTGGCCATAATCGACTGCACTGCCCTAGGCCTACAGTACACTACACTAGAGTTATCTGGAAGCGGGCATCTCAAATAAGTTATTTCAGATTTGCTGTGCTAATTGACACTTAAACTCTTTTTATTGTTTTCGATGTAGTGCCGTGTAATAGAGCACCTGTTCTGCATCACTATTCTCTTCAATCTCGCAAGACAAGGTGTTATTGTATTTCAGAAAAGGAGCACTTGGACTTCATACTCAAAGCTGCTGTTGTCTATTGTCCCGGTTGCACAGAATTCCTAAATGCACTCAGGGACCAACTGGAGTCCGGTTTGAGGGTCCAGTTTGAGGGTCTGGTTTGGGGACCACAGGATCTCATCTCTGGTGTTTGCAGATGATGCCGTCCTGATCAAACCATGACCTGCAACGTATGCTGAGGTGATTTGTAGCTGACAGTGAAGCAGCTGGGTTGAAGATCATCTCCAAAGAAAGAAGCCCCGTTGAAGACCAAGGACACGGCACCTGCATGATCTCCTTTCACAATATGGCATGTATCTCCATGGAGACAGGCAAGTGACGCAACCAGATCTAAAAGGTCCAGTCTGTGAGAAACTCAGAGTAAAAATGCATGTATATTTGAGCAGTAAAAGCTTCCATAACTAAAGCAATTAAAAAAAAAAAAAAAAAAGTCAGATTAATCATTTAGAAAAGTAATGTTAGTAGCAACAAGTTGGAATGTGTTATAGAAAGTTTTGGTAACCCAATCTCAAAACAATGTTTACTTTGCATTTGAACATTAATATTTTACACTGCAATCCCACGAGGGGATTTTGAATGTTTCTATATTCTACAATAGAATAGAAATGAGGAAATCACTGCAGATCCTGACTTGAGCTTTTCCTGGAGCCCTATTAGGAAGTGAAAAACCATATTCGGAGGAGGGATCTTTAGTGAATGGTGAAGTATAGCAGAGAAATTGTTTTACCTCGAAATCTGGCAGAACTGTCAGGGACATTACAAGCAACAAGTGGAGAAAAAGACAGCCATACCACACAGAAGTCTACTTACAAGACACTCAACAGTGCAAGATGAAGATCCTCTTTGTCTTTCTTCTCATGTGTGCTGCAATGTGTGCATCAAATCGTAAGTATCAAGTAATATGTTTTACAAGTTTACTTTTTGTTTTATTTAGAATAGTAAATTATGCCTATTTATTTCAGCATTGGAACGACATTGCAGATGTCCTGCAACAGCCACATCAGTGAAACTTAACCTAATTTCATCCTATCAGAAGGCAGCCCCAACCATTTTCTGCACCAAAACTGAAGTCATGTAAGTACTCTGAAGAAAGTTGCCTAGATGTAAAATAAAAATACCTAATAACGCCAGTCATTGTACTATTTTGCAGAGTGACCCTCAAAGACAACAGAAAAGTGTGTATTGATCCCAATGGAAAATTCTTTCATTTTCTTGTGGATTTGAGGAAGTAAGATTATTTTAAGTTTTGTTTATTTTAACATTAAAATGTATAAATTTACTAGAGCTACTAAGTTACTTATCTTTATAAACTTGTACCACCATCACTACTGTATGATACTATGACTAATACTATACTGTCACTTTTACCTCTGCTGCTGCTTAATAAAGATATACAAATATAATCACTATACTTACACAAAAACTACTAGTGCTACAAAAACTTTTACTACTACTACTACTACTACTACTACTGCTACTGTTACTACTGCTACTACTGCTACTACTGCTACTACTACTGCAACTATTGCTACTACTACCACTTTTCTGGAGTCATTTTCAGGCCAAGCTTGTCATGTTTAGTCATGTACAACATGTGTTTGATCAAATGTTGTGTTTTGTTTAGGAAATTGGCCCAAACTCGAGACAAGAAAAACTCTATTACAACAACAGCTGAACCAACTGCATCTGTCAAAACTCTCCAGACGTCATCGCCTTTAATGTCAACTAATACTACTTCAAAACAGAAATAGCCACAGGAAAAAAGTTATGACCTGATTTACTTTTATCTTTACACCAATCAAAACATGTCAGAGCTAGAAATTTTGAAGTTTTGTGTTTCAAATATATTTATCTATCACAGGTACAGGGCTTTTCTGATTGAAGTATTTTTTTTTTTGTATATTTTTGACTTCAAGTGAATTTTGTTTTGTACAATATTTTTGGATATAAGAGAAGATTGACAATGTTATTTCTTGTTTGTTGACACCTTCAGTAAATTGTATGTCATTTTTGTAATAAATAGTAATTATAACAATAATCAATAGTTCACTCATTATTTTATTGTATTTTATGAGGGAATTATATAGACCAGGGGTTTTCAAACTGGGTGAATGTGAGCCTTACCCCCAAGGAAGGTTCAGAGGTTCCACCAAAGTGATTCATATTCAAGCCAATTATGAAGTGAAGCAGATCAGTGATTGTCACCATCATGTCTTGATCTGCCAAAAACATTTTTAACAATCCCTCTAGCAGACTGGGCTGATGATGCAGACTTTCAGAAGGCTACTAAAATTATGCATTCCTGGAAAGTTGTCAATGATGTTGCTGAAAGGGGGTGAAGCTTAGTCAAGGTTTTAACTGTATCCCGACAAAGAATGAACATCAGAAACAGTTTCTACTGCAGGTGTCAAAGAGCACAGGCACATCTTTTGTCATGTCAACAATGCTACAGTCGTTGCTGGATGGTCTAAATAACTTTTCATGGACTTTATGGACTTTCTAAGCAACTTTTATGGACTTTCTAAGCAATTTGTATGCAAGTTTCAGTTTATGTTTGCAGAATAAAATGACAAATTATTCAAATACACCTTATTTATTTGGTTCACTATGTTATAGTATAGGCCCTATATTTTTCACAGGTTCACTGTTTTTATACCAATTGAAGTAAACTTTTGTATGTTTTTGTCTTTGAGTGAATTTAGTTTTGTACAAAAGTTTTGGATATAAAAGAAGATTGACAATGTTATTTCTTGTTTGTTGACACCTTATAAAGCCAGTAAACTGTATGTAATTTTTTGTAATAAATAGTAATTAACAATAATCAATAGTTCACTCTTTATTTTATTGTATTTTTATGAGGGAATCATAGACCAAAGCAGAAAGGAGCTGGTAAAGAGCTAGTTAGCGGGAGTTTTGGGAGTGAATTATGAAACTAGTGATAGATACCATATATATTATTTGTGCCATTGTAGTATACTGAAGTGGTTTAAACTGGATAACCTTTGTATCACTTCCTCCCATGACCATTTACATAAGCTAGTATTTTTATACAAATGCAGTAGTTGTGTAACAGCCTGGATAGCAACTTTAGAGGAACAGAGTAAAGTTGTGCTGACCCAAAGTGCATTTACTCCACAACCACAAGAAAAATAAAATAATATTAACAAAAGGTACAAAAGTTAAAAACAAGCATGGTAGTAACCTGCAGACACACACAGCACCTCCCCTCCATAAAGGTGAGGCTGGCTCCTTTTGTAGGCCGCCTCCTTTAACTGGGTGAGCTCATTTCAAATTAGAGGTAAGATATCATTTGGTAATATGATCTTTATATTTCATTATTTGTATCTATGCATCTATCTACAATAAAAAACACCATAAGTGGCACAAACAATATAAAATAAGTAATGCATAAATCTAAAACTATAAAACAATAAAAAAAAAAAAACATAATTTCTAAGAACAAACCAAATAAATATCTTAATATGAATGAGGTAGAGAATATGGTTTGTGGTTATAATATGATGACATAGAGAGAAACATTTTCTCAGAAAAGCTTCCATTTAATTCTATAAATCTCAGGATATCCTGAGGAAGTATGAAAGTTTTTTTTTTGGTTTGTTTTTTTGTTACTGTTCTGTTTTCTGTTTCTATCTGTTACACTGACAATTCAATACACAATTTAGCAATCCAATACTTGAAACAAAGGATATGAGATTTGTACTTGCCTAATAGAATATAGTGTTTTGTCAGTTTTGTATTAAACATTATGGTTCTCATTCAGACAGTCTTAACAAGTTGTATTTTAATCGCAAAAAATAATTTTATTATTTACAGAACATCAAGAAATATTTAAAGGTCCAATATTACCCAAAACTGACTCCTGCCATGTTACAATGCTGTTACCTCCTCAAAAACACCTGAAGTTGTATGTTGTTTCATTCGCACATGTTTGAGTAACACTTTATTATTAGTCTGTCTACACCTCCAAAGCTCAGAATGCTCAATTCCACCTTGTGATATCATGTAGTTGTAGTTTTCAGGGTAATAGTTTAGCTTTTGCCTTTAGTTTAGTAGAGACTGGCAATTCCTGAGCTGAAATTATCCTCCTGATTCTAGTGAAGGTGTGAGAAGTTTAAAAACACAGTGGAGCACTTCCTGTATTACTAGATGACATCACATGGTGGAACAGTGTATTTTCTGTTTGAGAGAAAAGCTCAGCCTAAATATTCTTGTGTTAAACATGTGCGAATGAAAGAAAACACAACTCCAGCAATGTTTTTGATGAGGAAACAACATTATAACATAGATCAGAGAATACTGTAGTAGTAAAAAATAAATACAATTATGTTTAAGAGTAAGAATTGCTTGTACACAGTTTGGCTTCACTTGAGCTGTTGATAATAATTAATGGAGCATTGTATTTTAATAGGCATAGGATTTAACAACGGTCTGACCTGTAATTTTGCCTGGTTGCATCTTTTACAACGCAATTCTGCCAACGCAATAACATCTTCAAGTTCAAGTTACAGAGCGCACCAATCAGTCAATTAAATGTGAAAGAAAGGATTTAATCTCGCACTAACTTTGAGATTTTGTAATATCTGGATCAACGGTGTACCCCTTCCCTAAAGGAAACCACAATCTGAAGGCCTCTGTCCAGCTGCCAGTGTCACAGAAAGTCAATAAGATGTCGAAAACTGGAGAAAATAAAATACAAAATAGATTAGAACAATAAACAGCGTGTAAATGTTACACTGTGGGTCAGTACTACTCACCCTGGTTAATAGCCAGTATTTTAGAGTGAAAGTTTTTTGAGTTGTTTTTCTTGATCATGTATTCGTCTATTGGGAGTCTGGCTGTGAGAACACTCAACTCACTGGCCCTGCCCAAGCTCAACTTCTATATAAACACATCACATTTTTACATTATTTAAAGATTATTCATTATAATTTGAAACAAATAAAAAATAAAATAAATAAATACAAGCAGGAGCTAAAGTAAAACTGTACCTTTTGAATGCTTTCATCCACAAGTCCACCAAGAACATAGACTTTGTCAGGGTCCACACACTGTAAGGCTACAGAACTAAGAATTAGTATAAATTAAGTTAAAGGTGCATTATGTCACTTTTCTGGTGGGGATTTGCCCTCTGCTTTTGTCCATGGAGATGTAATTGCTTTCCTTGAAATGTTCCATAGTATGACATTAAACATATCCACCTTGGAAAACTTGCATTTATATTGTGAGATACTTGTCCATGGAGAAGATAAGTTTAACACCATACTGTGTAACTACAAATGTAACGAGGTGCACAACATAGCCAGAAAAGTTACACAGTGCACCTTTACTGAACTGACCAGTCTGAATATGAGAGAGATGATGAAAACACAGAGAATAAGAAATGTGAGATTATTTATTGCTATGGTTATAGCTCCCTCTGCTGGCTAAAAGTACCTTTCATATCTGTACTTCACCTTGTTCAGCATCTGGTGTGAGGTAAACAATTGTCTCTGGTGGGAAAAGATCCAAACAGCTTTCCTCTGTTATGTCCATCTGACAAAATATACAGAATATCTTAATAAACCTGAAGTGGGCTGAAGGGTTTACTTAAGGCAGGGGTGTCAAACTAATTTTGGTCCGGGGGCCGTATCCAGCCTACTTTAATCCCAAAGGGGCCGGATCAGAAAACTCATGGCATATAAACCCCAAAAATAACAATAAGTTCAAATATTTGTGCAGAGAAACGCAAATCTACTACAGAAATCTTTTTAAATTACCGTAATGAACTCTTTCTTTTACAAAATACTATAATATTATGAACAACCTGAGACTTTAAGAAAAATTCAATTTCAACACAATGTTTTAACATGAACTTGTATGCAAATAGGAATAAGTCAATTTTTCTTGGAAAATCCTGCACTCGGCTCCACTTTTCTCATGTTTGACATTTTGCTGATGAGGGTGTCACGGTCAACAGTCAAAACGATCGTCCTTTAAGAGCGTTTGGAAAGAGACAAGTCTTCATTTGTGCTGCTCTGGTGGGAGGGGCCACGCACAGAGGCGCTGGAGACTCTGCTCTACTAAGCACCGCAGAAAATTACCAATATTTTAATAGAAAATATAATTAAAATATTTTAGTAGAAAATCACACAAGGGCCACATTAAAGGCATTGGAGGGCCGGATCTGACCCCCGGGCCTTATGTTTGACAACTGTGACTTAAGGGTTTAAGGGTGCATTTCAGTCTCCTCTATTTATAACCTCTATTTATAAATCTACTCAATGATAAAAAATAAAAATATATTCACAGAGTAGTTGAGGAAACCATCGTTCATTCGGACACACTCTCTGTACAGGCGGCTGTCCTCTCTCAGGTTTGTCAGAAACAGGTGAAATGGTTGAGACGCCTTTTTGTTTGAGCCATAAAGGCGTCTGAGCTGCCCGGACAGTCTGCTGATCTCCTGAATACAAAAAAAAACAGTATTTAATTACGGTTTCCCATAAATAATAATTCTCTTTTACAAAGCCTATGGGAAATGCAGGGTTTCAGTTCACATCACAACATTCTGTAGGTCAATATTGTTTAATAATACAGATGGAGGGTTAATGTTAGTTAAAATGTTAGTAATTTGTGGTTGTAACATAATGAGGTCTTTACCTTTTGATATTTTCATCCCAAAGTAAAATGTAATCAATAACAGTCTCTGGCTCTTGCCTCCATCTGACAGTACTAATAATAGCAGTGTTACAACTGTCGCCCACATAAGATTATATATGGTCATTAACAAGCATCTCAAAGTATGTAGACACTGCATTCATTATTCATTCACTCCCCACACATTTACTTCTAAACTACTTATTATACTCTATTGTCTTTTTTCTCATGTTTTGTTATTGGTGGTCTTGTTTGTATACATTATAACATGCATTGTATTTAAATTTTTGTATTCTTACTATTTTCTTTTTAATACTATAAACCAGATATTACATGTTCTTAATAAAAATTGAATTGAATTGTCAACAAAAAGGACAACAAATGGATATCAGCCATGTGGCAGACAACAATACTTTTATTCAATATCTGTTTATGAAACTTTATGAACCTAAACTAAGGTATGGATATTAGTTCCCACATAGCTGGTTAGCCTCCATTGTGTTTTAATATGTGAATTTTCTAAAATCTTTGGGAAAAATCAATGGAAAATGTACTTCCAAAACCAGAGAGGGCAAGAATGTTGAGCTCTATAATAGATGCTTATTAATTAATAAAATCATCAAAATCAAATAAATGAATAACAAATAACTAGAGGAGTAGCTCTGAGGTGCAAATATTCAAATCTGCACGACTGGTCCTTTGTTTCTATTTCCTAAACTTGGAAATATGTTGCAGTAAATGAGTTGTACCTTGTCAGACATGCAGTCCGTCATACTGAGGTCCACACACAGTCGGCGACCTGTGGACTGAGCTTCTGCCAAACGCTCTTTGGTGATGGCCTTCAACACCCTTTTGGTGAACCGAGGAGCGTCACCATCAGCTTCTAAACAAACAGAACGAAAGAAAAAAGATTTAATTTGCTCTTTCAACTTATAAATCATAGCCATGCTGAAGTTTACCAGATTGCACTCGGTTAAGCTTTCTCCGTTGTTTCTCCTCTTTTCGTTTGCTCTTTTTTGCAGCCAGTTGCTTCTCCCAGTGTCGCTGCTTCCTCAAGACATTCTTCTGTAAATAGACACCAGAAAATGTGACTTAGACAGAAGCCTATCTACACATATTGAACAACACATTTAATTGATATCAGTGCTTGTGTGTGCATTATAATCATACATGTCCTTTATGAACTGCAAAATTAATTCCTCCACTGTAAAATAATATCTCAACTTATGACTAGACTGTACAATAAACTGTTATTTTCACCTTGTAAAAAATAAATGAACTTACAGAACAAACAGAATCGTCTCTGTCGGATCTATTCTCAGTCAAATCTGTGTCCACCTCAATGTGAAGCAAGTCCAAATCCTCCGAGATCCCATTCATACTGTTTTCAAAAGAAGAATGAGCCATTTTTTTTCTCTTCATTGATCACCTAGAACAAGAAATCACGAGTTTAAAGATTAACATTTTTCCTACACGCGTCCAATTAATGTCGTTGGGCAACTGGGCTAAACTGATTAAGTTTTGGTGGTTTAAAAATGATTCAACTAAGAAAAGTAAACACAAGTGGACTTTTTCACGTGTGTGTCGCATGCTGATGACGTCACAGTAACAAAACGTCAAGAGCTGCAGTGTTTAATGTGGCCAGTGGACGGCGCTATCAAATAACAATAAATCATTTTGTAACGCAAATGTAGTTACGAGCATAACAATTAAAGAGGTTTCATTCTTTCATGTCATGCAACTACGATTATAGTTTTAACTTTCCATAACAAATGCACTGCGCAAGTGGGTATGCAGCAAATAAAACTAAAACTACGAAATGTCGCCTACTTCACGAACTTAATTGAACAAGCCGCTCTGACATGTCTGCGTCTATGTGACAACACTTACAACGCAAGTGCATGAACAGCTAAGAAGAAACATACCGTCCAGTCCTCGGGTAAGAGCATTTTAATTCTCATTTAATGTATTTGTAGTGGTGTCTAATCTTAGTAATAACAGGGGAATATTTTGGACAATTAAAGGTAAGTTTGCTCAAAATGTGTCAAGGTTAGCTATCACTTTGCTAAGACAATCACCTTGATAATCAAGTTTGAACTTGTTGGTCTTATTATAAGAAGATGAAACTTTATTTCAAATTCTATGTATAATACACAGATTTGGATAAATTATAGTTACATCGTTTTTTTTCATTAACATTACATCTGAGTGAATGTGAAAGCAAACACATTTTTTAAACAATTTAACTCCAAATTACATGTATATAATGCTTTAATTACTTGACGTTAATTATCAGCGTTAACTTTAAATATTAGTTATTTACAGATTATTTATTTGCCAACAACGCTATGTGGGAGTGCGAAATAGGAACTCAAGTGTTGTTTATGTTTTTTACCGGTCGGTTTTAGGAGGTGCACATCCAAGGCTAATTAGCATTTTTACAGTTTTTTGTTTTATTTACGTTTTATTTCCACATGACATGTGCTTTTAACGTCTCGGGCAGTACATCGTAAAACTATAGTGCGCGATATCTACGGATTTTAATGGTTACTCATCAAATTAATCTTAATAAACGTGTTAAAACGGTTTTGTTTTTAGCATAGGGCGACACGTGTTTGTGAACCACCAATTACACGGCGGGAGGCTCTCGCAATAACGGAGGCATTATGACTTTTGTCGTAAATGTTGTTAAATAATGTCATTTTGCAGTGAATTTGTAGTGAATTTGGATTGAAATAACCAATTTATAGTTTTATAGTAAGTTACATTTTGTCGTAAACATTTCACAAATACTAAAGTAATATGTTTTATATTTTGTATTAAAAGCCAAGTCGGTCTCCAAAAGTCGTATTCTTTTACTTGTACTTATTTACGGAGAGTTTTGTTTTGTTTTAGTTTCGGTGAAATACGTGTTGTGATTATTTTGTAACAGATTATGATTCCGCTTGAATATTCACCGTAACCCAGACCCGCATGCTCGGAGTATGAGAGTTTACAGAGTTGCGATTAAACGTTAAGACTATACTTTCAGGGATCATTTCTATAGTTCTTAACTTGAGAGATGTGTTTCTAAAGTGTTGGTCTCGCTAACTACGATGATGAGTTGGTGACATTCCTCCTTGAGCGCGAAACAGGCGGAGAGACTTGGATTTATCCTCATGCTCTTCGCTCTTGATGACCGTTCACTGTTTCCTTTGGAAGTAGCGAGGGGAGGAGTGTGATCAGAGTAGTTGCGGAATCATGTGAAAAATTAAATGTATGTCAATGGACCAATTGCCGTCTCATTCGTTTTGCCGGCCTTTTATTATTGTAGTTAATAAGCTCCTTTGACACTTGTTTTATTTTGATTTGAGATTAGAAAGTCCAGACGTTCTCATTTCTCCTGGACAGTCTCAGTTTTGAGCCGTGTCCGCTGTAGCATCAGATTTACCCAAAAGCGTTGGTGAGATGAAACCACTTGTCACTTGCGGTTAGTTCGACAAAGTGTTCATTTCTCGAAGCTTCACGTGCGCACGAAACCACCTAATGGCCAAGCGGTGTAATCACAGGCAGATGTATCTGAACCACATCACGTGTGATGCATTGAATCTTAGTGTCTGTTATGTCTATTGGGAATAACTATGAATTACAAAAAATTTATGACCAAATAATTTCTCTACATATATGATCACACATGTGTATAATACATTTTGTATTCTGTGTGTGAAAATTTTCCCAAAATGGTAAATCATAATATGGCAGGTTAAGCTGTTTTTCTGAAAATGGCAAGGGTGTGTTCAGGCAGAGGACTGTGAAAGTGCTTGTGGAACTAGGAAAGGGGCACAGATTATGCTTGTGTAACTTGCACAATGATGTACAGGACAGAGAAAAGTTTATTTATTTTTATTCAGAAACAATAGTTTCTCAATAGTTTCGCCTTTCGGCTCAGCTCCCTCTTCACCACAATGGTGAAGAGGGAGCTGAGCCGAAAGGCGAAGCTCTCAATTTACCGGTCAGTCTTCGTTCCTACTCTCACCTATGGTCATGAGCTCTGGGTAGTGACCGAAAGGACGAGATCGCGGATACAAGCGCTCGAAATGAGTTTCCTCCGCAGGGTGGCTGGGCGCTCCCTTAGAGATAGGGTGAGGAGCTCAGTCACACGGGAGGAGCTCGGAGTAGAGCCGCTGCTCCTCCACGTCGAGAGGAGCCAGTTGAGGTGGCTCGGGCATCTGTTTCGGATGCCCCCTGGGCGCCTCCCTCGGGAGGTGTTCCGGGCATGTCCCACCGGGAGGAGGCCCCGGGGAAGACCCAGGACACGCTGGAGGGACTATGTCTCTCGGCTGGCATGGGAACGCCTCGGGGTTCCCCCGGAGGAGCTGGAGGACGTGTCTGGGGTGAAGGAAGTCTGGGAGTCCCTGCTTAGGCTGCTGCCCCCGCAACCCGGCCCCGGATAAGCGGATGAAAATGGATGGATGGATGGATAGTTTTTGGTTTTAAATGATTTCTTGTTGTTTTGGGGGTTTTTTGACACAAGCTCTCCGGCCTTAGATATAAACTCTAGTATCCAAACTCTAGTATCCAAATTCTAGTATACAAACTCTAGTATCCAAACTTTATCCAAACTCTCACCTGACCGCAGCTCTCCTACAAACAACCACATTTTGAATGGAGCCTGAGAGGTCTATATCGCTGTAATAGCTCGCAGCAAAATCTGAACCACTTCTCGAAGTAATCACGTGGTACAGCCGGGCAGCAAGGCTTCGGATGTCATTATTTTTGGTTCCTCCCCCAAATGAAGCAAGCCTCGATACACGCTTCACGGAAGCACCCCCTTCATTACTCCACACACGCTTCGAAGCCTCGGTACATCTTGTAACATCACTACCTCTAGGGTGACCAGATTTTCAAAATAAAAAACTGTGGCTCGCCGGGTTTGTGGTGGTTGGTAATAATAAAATTGTGAATCGAGTGCATAATTAAGTAAAATTGTTCTGCACTTGGTCGATTCACGACAAACATGTGAGTCAGTATAGTCACATTTTCTTTGTGTTTTGGTTGTTTTTAAGCACCTTTTCTACATTTTATCTAAACAAGTGACAATGTATGCCTCTCTTTACTGTTGGCATTGATCAAAAATACTAAACCAGGTCTAGACCGGGACTGAGACCGGGACCAGACCAGAACTAAGACTGGGATTGAGACCAGTTTAATCTTGATTTAGTCCTGGTTTAGTCTTGGTTTATTCTGGTATCACAGTTAAAGTCACAGAAACGGGAACGGCCGTAATCCGTTTTTTCCATTATTCATTTAAACATAAAATCAAAAACTGAAATAATGAATTCTTATCTGTTTTTTCATTTTGGTTTTGGAGACAAATCTTATTTTTGGTTTTATATTGAAAAATTAATGAACAAATGATACATGGACTCTCGCCCCAGTGTGAGGTTTCAGTCGCCCGCATTCACCTCATAACACAGAGTCACAGTGTGGCGGCTCTAGTGTCTGTTGTGGATCTCTCACTTTAAGACTTTACTTTCAGGGATCATTTCTATAGTTTCTGACTTGAGAAATGTGTTTCTAAAGTGTTTGGTGTCGCTGATCACGATGAGGAATTGGTGATGCTCCTTCCTGAACATGAAGCAGACAGAGACCTGGTTTACTCCTCATGCTCTCTGTGGCTGACGACTGTTCACTGTTTCCTCTGGAGACTGTGAGGGGAGGAGTATGATCTGAATGATTTATGTTGTGGTTAAAATCAATTTTCTGAAATGTGATGTGAAGTAAGTATGCTATAAAATATCTGTAAAGTTACAAAAAAAAAAAGAAGCTGTGGTGTTTAAGCCCAAGTGGAGTTGTTAGTGGTTGTTGGAATTATTTTGCAATTCTACAGTTTTGGTGTAAATTAGAATCAGCAAAGCAATGCTCCCAATTGTACTTATGCAACCTGTTTTATCAGAGGTGGGTGGAGTAGACAAAAACTATATTTGAGTAAGAGTACTGTTACTTCAAAACAGTATTACTCAAGTAGAAGTACAAGTAGTGGTCCAAGAAATTACTCAAGTAAGAGTAAAGAGGTTTTTGTGGAAACCATAAGAGTAATTATTTGTCTGGACATAACACCTGAATTATAACTGGAAGGTTAAAATGATAGACACAAAAATGAGAAAACTTTAAATCATATCTAACGAAGCGCTGCAAGAAACACAAATGTTCAAATCATTGAAAATTGTCAACATAAAGCTTTTGTCACTTGAGGGCTTACAGTGGGAAGAGTAAAAACCTTTGCTCAAGTAAAAGTACTCGAGTAAACTTAACTACTACCCATTTTTGTATTCTTTTTATTTTTTTCATCTGAACATATGAATTTCTTGAATTGTAAATAAACTCAGCGGATCATGTGAATATTTTTGGATTGTAAAGAATTGTAGAGCAGAGCTGTTATCTCCCTCTTGTGGCCAGTCCATGTAACAGCAGTGAAACGTGTTAAACTATAATGTTTTGATTTGTTTAGTTTACTGTGGCCGTCGTAATGGTTTGTACATATACTGTGGAAAAATAATACAAAAAAATCACCACCTCAACTGACTGAAATGTGTCATTATTTATTTATTCTTCCACTCCTCGTGTCTCCTTCTTGCTCCCCTTGTCTCGCACCGGGGAGGCCCAGGGGCCCGGGGGATCAGTCAGTGTCCTCTTGGCGGGGAGGGACACGACCGCTTAGAAGCAGGTTCTTCATCATCGCTGTCTTCTTCTATTGGCCTCTTCCGGCTCATTCCTAAATAAATGTATAAAATATAAATGTATTATTTACCAATATCTATAATGGTTTTGGACACATTCTACAATTTGAAGGTGTATTTAGATTTGTAAAATTGAGATTAAAACAAACCTTGAGCTGCAGAGGGCTCTACTGGAGCCTCATCAGCCTCTTCTGGACCACTCTCATCCCCGGTGTCTGAATGATTTTGCCACCGACTCCATTCCTCTTCCAGCAGCTCCAGCCATGCTGGTACTAAGTGGTCAATCACTACAGAAATACAATATGCAAAATTAGTATCACTGCTACAATCAGTACAGGGAAAAAATTAAATGGATCTATTTTTTGTAAAATGTATTTCTTTCACACATTCAACATTGGTCAGTATTTAAGTCGAGGCCCCAGTGCAACATAGCATGACGTGTGACTTCATGTAAACAACTATTATCTGTCATTTTCAATAAATCCCTTGCGTGGATTTTATTAACAATATCACACACAATCCATTGTAGTCAGTTTGTACAAACTGCTTGTTCTTTCAGTTTCTACTATAACTTTATAAACTCAAAAAAACTTCAGCCAGAAATACTTTTGCTGTGCTTTTCGAGAAGTGATTTGAAGATTTGTCTGAGTTTCTAAGAGTATATGAAGTTCGCACAGAGGAGTCTCAAGAACCAAATGGGCTGAGACTGGACTGTCCTGGACCCACAGTGGAACTAGACTACTGGCACGTCTATTGCCAAGACACAGACAAGTATGTCAGTTGCTCAAACTAGAACATCAAAGAGTGGGAGGAACTTACACAGTGCTGGAGAGGGGTCAGCTGGGGGCTCTGGTCCGGGCTCTGGTGGAGGGTCTGCTGGGAGTTCTGCTGGCAACTCCACCGGAGCTTCAGCATGAAACTCCACAGAACCATCCTCGTCTTCATTGTCCTCAGCAGCACCAACCTGGGGCACAGGCGGCCCGAAAGGAGGATGTAAATCGCCAAGGGCATCAGCCAGAAGTGGAGCCCGCAGAACCGTTGGAAACATCATCTCCCTTGCGTAGTCACCTGAGAATAAACAGAATATGCAAAATTAGTATCACTGCTACAGTCAGGATGAGGAAAACTGAAATGAATATTTTTTGCAAAACTAATGGCAAATTATTTGTTTCACACGTTCAACATTGTTCAATGTTTAGGTCAAGGCCTCAGTGCAACATAACATGACGTGTGACTTCATGGTTAAATACTATCCTTTGTATTTTTTCAGGCTAAGGTTTAGAATATGGTTAAGTTTATTTTATTTACGTATTTATTTATTTGATTTATGAGACAGGGACAGTGCACAATATACATTAACCTTAACGGGAGAGATTGTGCCCGGTTGTAGCACTAGAGTTTATTTCCCTGGTTCATGCTTTTTAGGTTTTTTTTGATGGGGGAAACTGGAGTGCCCGGAGGAAAGCCACCCAGACACGGGGAGAACATGTAAACTCCACACAGAAAGGCCCGGGAAACACGGGAACAAACCACAGAAACACTAAAACAGACTGACAGTTTGCTAGTCTCAAACAAAATGAATATGAATGTTTTCATTTTTGAGAGATATTTCCTTGTTGCTTTTGTCTTAAAGGATTTTGGTGATGAGTGGGAAAGAAAAAAAATGTTTATACTACAGTACGACAAACTAACTTACCTGCTGCGGCATTTTGAAGCTGCACCTGCAGGACGACCTCCCCGTCAATGTCCATTTCTGTAACTCACTCTCAACTCACAAACTTCAACTATAAATACAGAAATGCTTCTTCTTTCCAAAGCGAGATGAAGTTTTGTAGATTTCGTCCGAGTCAAGACACAAATGAGCTGAAGACTGAATCTTCCAGGCTTTAAAACCACAGTGACTACGGCACGTTCTAGAATTCACTGTTCTGTCCTTTATTTAAAGGTCCCATGATGTAGCATGTTTTTTTTTTTTTAATGTCAAATCACATATTTAATGGGGTTACTAGAAAACACGTCTATTCAGGGTTAGTTACAGATTTGACCATTTCTTTACATAATAATCCACATCTCCTTTCACTCCCTACTCTCTGACATAGCTTCCACAACTTTTCCTAGATATCTGTTGAAGGCTTTCCTTACATCTTCAGGCTCATCCTCCAAATTGGACTTTATCAGTGGAAATCTGTTCAGAGGCGAGGCTAAGGAAATGTGTCCCCTCTCTGCTCCACTGCCTACTTTGTTGTGAGCTATGAGCAGACACTGATTTTTCTGTAAATTATGGGTGGAGATGAACATTGAATGCCATGTTTCAATTTCCTTGAGGTGGCTTGGGACGTCAGGATTGAACACAATTACCACACCACTGCAGTCTTTCATGAATGTAGGCCAGTATGATTCAAATTTGAAATCTCCAGAACAATCCCAGAGCTCGACCTTGCAGTCTCTGTTATCACTACCTCCTTCTAAAGGGCACTCAAACTCCAGGATCCTTACTCCTCCTGTAGGTTTATATTCGCCTCCCACGTTTTCTGATATGTCTGATAGGAAGTTAGCCAGAACTGTTTTTCCACTCTCGGTCGGGCCAATTAAGACTATTTTGACATGCATTTCTCGCCAGGGACCGCTGCTATCGGTCAGTCCACCTTTAACGCAATGTTGAATCCAGTAATACACGTGTATACGCTAGCTACTTTTATTTGTACATGTACTGTGTAGTTGGTAATGTGCATTTCCTTTTCTGTATGTTTCAGTTACTATATTAATGTATCACCACATGCAAGAGACCTCCATAAAAACATGAAAAGTACGCCTTGTGTACGGAGCTTTCTTTATTAGTTCGCTGGCTGTCTAGCTTCACCCAGTCACGTGTCGTGAGGAGGGCACATCCATGATATTTATTCGCAGGGAGTTTGTCTGACTGTGTAATAAACCTGTTCACTCTGTGGGACTTCTTCCCTGTGCTTTTAAAGTTTCATTCATATGTTAATTCGCCCTGTAATGAATCCCTGTGTACCATAGCATGTTGTGTATGTTTTTGGACTGTGGAGTGTCAATGGGGTTGGGATATGTTGTCATATGGACTGTGGATGTATATGGGACAGATAAGGGGTGTGTCTCCAACCTTTAGCATATGCCAGTCTGTTATGGGACACGTGTTGGGACAAAACTGCTGTGTATGTTTCCATGAAGATGTTAACTCAACAGTTATGCTGGTATTTATTTTTTTTTTTTTTCACTGACAGTCTCAGTTTATTATAATGTTTGAGTTGAGCCTCATGTCAAATACAGTCAAATAAATCCAACATGAGATGTGCAGACCTAAAGAGCCAGGGTCATGTCGTCTACAGCATGAAGCACAGAAAGAACATCATAATGTTACAGAGACACCTACAGTAAAAACACAAATATCAGATTGACAAGAGCTCAGACACTGTTTACACAATACTTTGTAAACTTGTTCAAGTAAAGTTGTGGACTGCTGGTCCGTAAGTGTAAGCTGTCTGCAGCTTTAGCACTCGCTGTGGAAGTTATTAGCACAGACTCTAGACCTCAGGACTTAACTCAGTGCAGTGAAATGTGCCAATCTATTCCTTTTATTAACAAAAAGAGCAAAGTACAGGTAAAGCAGGGAATGACAACATTGCACAAATCTCAATAAAAAGGGAAGTGCTGAATATGGGCTGAACAATCAAAACGCAACCAAACCTCCAACATTATTATAACCGTTTTTTATGCCTTTGCGTTAATGATGTCGATGAACTCTGGCTTCAGAGAGGCTCTGCCCACCCGTCCACATCCTTCTGCGACGCCAGCTCTTTGCAGGTGCCTCCAGTCACAGAACCTCCATAGATGATCCTCACAGAGTTGGCCACTGCCTCGGACACGTTGGCCTTGAGCCATTCCCTCAGTTTCTCGTGAACTTCCTGAGCCTGCTGTGGGGAGGCGGTCTTTCCTGTGCCAATGGCCCACACTGGCTCGTAAGCAAGCACCACTTTGCTCCAGTCTTTTACATTGTCTGCGATGACTTTTTGGTCTGGGCAAACACAACCTGCTCGGTGATGCCCCCCTCCCTCTCGTCCAGCTTCTCCCCGATGCAGGCGATGACCCCCAGTCCACTCTCCAGAGCATGGGCCGTCTTCTGACCAATCAGTTCATCGCTCTCTCCAAACACATGGCGTCTCTCAGAGTGTCCCAGGATCACCCAGTTGATCCCACAGTCCTTGATCATCGCAGGGCTGATCTCTCCAGTGAAGGCACCCTTGGGAACCTTGTAGCAGTTTTGAGCAGCAATACCGAATTTGGCGTCGAGCTTAGACCTGACAAAGTCCAGGTAGATTGAAGGAGCACCGCACACGACCTCAACATTGGGGTCCACACTGGCTCCGTTCATAGTCTGAATGAGGTCCCCAAGGCTTTTCTTGTCGCCGTTCATCTTCCAGTTTCCTCCGACGAAGAATTTTCTGGTCATGATTGCGGTGCGCGGGTAGTTTTTAATTTGCTTAGAAATAAAGTCGTAACCTTCAAAAGCCACCACCGGGGTTAATTCATTGGTAATTAAATATGTTTATTACTAACTAACTACTAACCAAAAACAGAGTATAACAAATGACAACAGAAAAACAAAACCAGTGAGTGCGTATACATGCACATCAATAACCCGGTTATGATCGGTGTGGTGTATTAAAAACGAGTCGGCTGCACGCATTTAACAACTTTACTGGGGCTTCGGTATAACACGTTACCATTACAAATCAATGCTTGAGAGCTCGCACTCTGGCATGCGCAATTCACTACAACTACAACTACGGTGGCCCTGAAAATTCAATATACCACATCACCTCCCCTTTATTTTTTTAACAACCCAAAGTATTGTTCTAGCCCAACACTTTCACATAAAAATATATATAATATCATTACTGTGCCTTAAGCTTAGAAATATCAACATTATACACACTGTATAATAAACTCAATTGAACTAAATGCTTGAACTGTAACTTTAACTAAACATCAGCACTCTCTGAGTCTCTCATCACTACAGTCAGTCCTGGTAACATTGAGGCACTTTTATGGTACGTTGGGAGCGCCTCAGGGTAACCTCAAAAGGATCAGGCGGCTCAGCTGGCCTTGACAGTTCAGATGCTGGGGTCGTTCGGTCCTCTGTCGGCTCAAACCTTTCAGCTACTCCCTCAGGTTGCTCATCTGGAAGCTCTGGGGAACGGCGAGATGTCAGCTGGTCTCCATGACGTCGATATTCTCGATCTGTCGCTTCTCCCCGCACTTTGTACGACACAGGTCCTGACTGCTGGGTAACTACTCCAGGAATCCACCTTGGGGTTTCTCCCGCAGTGTTTCGCAGATAAACCTGCTCATCCATGTCAGACTGTCTGTCCAATGCCCGTCTGTCGTGTCCTTCCTTCTGGAGATATTGCTTTCTCCTCACTGTTTCTTGGATACTTGGTTTCAGGAAATCCACTCTGGTTCTGACATGCCTTTTTAAAAACACATCAGCAGGTGACTCGCCTGTTGTGCTGTTAGGAGTTGTGCAATACCGTAGCAAAAAGTGAGAAATCAATACCCTTTAAGTGAGAAATCAATACCCTTTACGTGCTTTCTCGCGCCGTCCGTCATGTTGAATTAGTGTTTATTGCCGCCGACCAAAATAATTCCCAGCATGCAACGCTGTTTGTCAACAATGAAACTCGCCTATACAGTGAATAATTGAAATATGTGCATATTTAACACATTAGAATGAGCCATCAGTCCTTTATTCATGCTAAAATCCTTAAAACCACACACTAAATATTAAATGCCGGCTTTATCAAGGTAGTAGACAGTTTGTTTTTAATTGATGCAAGGTAATTTGGGCTAATTAACCTGAATGCCCGAGGGCCAAGAAAAATTTGTCTGAGGGCCGCATTTAGCCCACGGGCCATAGTTTGGGCATGCCTGTGTGCTCTGGTAGTTTGGTGGTTTGGAGGGGGCAGGCCCTTGACGTGTTTAGTGACGCCACCTGCCGAGAAGAGAAAACCACATGGGCAGAGACACGGAGAAAACACAACACTCAACACTGAAGGAACTCATTTCTTCCTCTAGCCCAAACCTTTAAGAGGAGAGAAACATAATTATTTAGACTACGTTATATCTTCTTCTTGAGCTTGGACAATCTGGAGAAGCCATGAATCACAAACCATGTGCAACCTTTACATAGATGGAAGCTCATTTTCTAAAAACTTCGATGACTTTGACTCTATTCGCAGCGTTCTCCTGCACAGGTCAGTAAAGTTGCATGCGTTTCAGACACATAGCAACCTTAGTAAGTATTGTATAGTCTTGTATTGTTATCACGTGAGGTTTTGAGGTAATCGCTGAATACCTGAGAGGATTTACAACGATGCCAATATATATTTTCAGATAGAGAAAGCTTTTGTCGGGAGCGCTCTGTGCTCTTATTGCGAATTTATCTGTAGTTTTGCGGCATAGCATTATTATTCTCATCTAAATGGCATTGGATATTGTAGTAAACAACACTTGACAAGTTTTGTAAGCGGAATTGTGTCACTGTTCATAAATCATGCATTTTTAGCGACTCTGAAAGATAAACCTTCATTTCTAGGCATTTCGTTCTGTTAGCTATAAAGCAGTCAGTTAAAAGTGTTTCTTTAGTATTTCAAGGTAGAGAGTGATTGTAATTTTATTTTTGCTTCATCAAATGTGAAAACAATGTAATTGTCATCCCAATCGGACGAAATGCCTGATATATTAACCAGACTCTCGCCTCTGCTCGTAAAGCTTCAGTGTTGTCAAGGGCAACCGCGCGTTCAACCAATCACAGTGCGTCATTTTAATCACGTGGTGCAGGTATGGCGCTACTGCTGAAAACATGGCGAAGACGTTTCATCGCACATTTAGGCGCTAGATGAGGATTTAAAGTCACTGTTTGCGGATATTATGGAGCCTACAGTGTCAGGAAGGTCGTCGCAACGTCCTGTAATCGGCAGACAACAGGAAGAAGAAAGTGGGAGTGAAAACGAAGACGGAAAAAGCGATGGAGAGTCAAGTTACTGTAGCTCCAAGTAAGAAGAATTGCTCTCTGTGCTCTTTCTGCGCAAGATTTGAGCTGAAATACACGCTGCTTAATGAAATTTAATGAAGAATCTTGAATTACAGCGAGGAATACGCTTTTCTCTTCGTCAAATGCTGGTGTTGGGCCTGGCGTGGTGTTGGAGAGAGCTAAAACCACAGAGGGAGTGTCTTAACCATTGAATAACCACAACCTTCACTTAACTTAGCTTTAGGGCATGTTTTCAATTTGGGAGGTATAGCAGTCCTTCATCTGTAAATAATTGCACGCTTTCTACCCTCTTATGTAATATGATAGATCTGCAGTTTGGCATTGCACAATTAGAGGGGAGTTTTTCCACTACTGAAAGAAATAAACACTTTAAAAAGTCTTCTTGTATAAAAGGATTTGGAAATATTAATATTCACTAAGATGCGGAGGAAGTAACATTAATTCTATCTTTTATTTTTTGTCGACCCTACCCCACATTACTACACAGCAAAAAGTCAAGTGTTAAAATTGACTCTCACAGAATCAATTTTAACATTTTCTCAGGATTTATATGAGTCCAGTCTGTTCTAGAGTTAACTTAACATTTTTGGAAATGTTAATTAAGTAACACTGGACCAAAGTTCCTGTTTAACCCTGAAATCAAGAGTTATATTAATGGATAACACTTGGTAGATTTATCCTGATTTATCTAAACAACACACAGACATATTTTATTTTTACACTTTATTTTAGTTTGTTTAAAATGAAATTATGTACAAAACTGGTTCAAACTAGTTTTCTCTCCCGGGAGTTTGAAGTGGTGAGTGGGAGGTGCCAAATTAACACTAAGAGAAGTTGAATTACCTTCAACCAGATCAACTCTGGTAAATAACCCCAACTCAAACCCTCATTTAACTTTCAAATCGTTAGAATAACACTTTTTCACATATTTTACACTTTATTTTAGTTAATTTAACTGGTTCAAACTGGTTTTCTCTCATGGGAGTTTGAAGGGATGGATGGAAGGTGACAAATTAACACTAAGAATTTGAATTTATTTGTTTGGAGGATAAGCCCCTTGAGATGTGTCACCATCTCGTCTTCGAGGGGGTCCTCAACACTAAGAAAAGTTGAATTAACACAAGTTAAATTTACTTCAGCCATATCAACCAACCAACTTGAAACCCCATTTAACTTCTAAATAGTTAAAATAACACTTTTGTGTTAAAAACAACTCTTGAAATATTTTACCCTGAACTTTTACCCTCCAGTTTTTGCAGTGTACGCTCTCTATAACAAGGTGCAAAAGTAATTTATTCAACACAAAAAAGAAAAATAGGCAAAAGAGTAATTAATAAAATATGTATAACAAAATGTTAAACTAGTTCCAAGTGATTTACTCTGGAACATACTGAGATAGTTTGTTCAGATAACTTGTTTTTCTGCCAGTCACATTTTTGAGCTATGGTGTCACCTTTTTGAGTAATTTCTCACATGGATCAAACAAGTAATCATGTACACGAGGTATAAATAAAAAATAAGAAAAAATACATCAATAAATAAATGATGCTTCACTGTGAAAAATCTTAAAGTAAGTTTATTTCAATTTGAAAGCTGGAAAGAAATCATGACTAAATGTTTACAATGGAGAAATTAATTAACTTTTGTAATTAAGTGTTTATTTTATTTACATATTTTTAGCTCTTAATGTACTGATATGTTAAAAGATTGGCTCAATCAGCAGTATCGATAAGAGAAGTAGTACTGATAAGTCCTTTGTTATGTTTTGCATGTCACATATTTGATGCTTTTTTTCTGTGCAGTGATTTGGAGCCTGAATGGCTTGATGACATCCAGAAGAACGGAGAGCTTTTCTATCTGGAGCTGAGCGAAGGAGAAGAAGATTTAGCACTGACCCGGGCTAACGCTCATCAACAAGTGTCCACTAACCATGTCCGATTCAGTGACAAGGAAGCTGAAATCCTCACGGAGCAACACAAAAAACAACACAGCAGTTCTCGAGCTAAAGGGACTGCGACGCTTAAGAGACTGGCTAAAATACTGAGGAGGAAGCGCAGGTCCACTCTCCGAAAAGGCAAAGATGTACCAGCGTCTATTCTGAAAAACCAGTCTGGGCACCGACAAGGAGGGACTGTCCAGAAGCAGCTTAAAGAAGTTTGTGTTTACCTCAATCCAAAACGCCTCTCCGCTTCATCAGTGCCCCTGTTTGAAGATGGGGGGCTGTTGGAGGCCTTGCTGGGGGTCATCCATCGCCCGTCCTGGGACTCTGAGGGCATGAGACGAGAGGACAGGCTCACGGTACACGGGCTGGTCCCAAACACTCCTGCAGCCAAGTGTGGAGATATACTCATAGGTGAGAATTTGTCTTTTAGGGGCTTCTTACTGTTACTTTTCAGGAGGAGGTTGCGCCACTTTGTTGTCTCTCTGGAAATGTTTTTGCTTGTCTGGAGTGTTATTTGTCTCCTGATTTGTGGAGAAGGACATCGCTCTAAATAAGAATGCACATTTTGAATATTATTTTACATAATAAGCCACATAATGTACCTTTAAACCAAGTATGATCAAGATTACCTATCAGTTTTGTCTTTTTCTTACTGTCTTTAAACTGATTTACCAACAATTCAGAGACAGTTTACACAGAGACCAACAAGGGAGTAAATTCTCTTTTGAAATATCTGATTTGGCATGATTCACAATAGTAAATAATACATTACACTTCCCTTCATCAGCTGAATTTACATAAGATATTTTTAGTACAGTAAAATGCAGACTTGACTTTATTTCTGCACCCACCTGCAAAGCTTCTCTCACAAAACTGAAAGGTGATTTAGACCAGGTCTCGTTCTGTCTGCACTTTCTGAACCTGGAATTTACAGATGTCACAGTTTTAACTTTTTTGTTGAAACTGTTGACAGATGTTTGGCTACTCAGTAAATCGTCCGGTAAAAAATATGCTTTTAAAGTTTGGCAAAGCTAGACCAGTAGCATCTGTCAGTCAGTTATATTCACAGCTTTAACGGTATATAAAAAATAAATACAGATACTACTTAAAACTGTGTTAGTACTATGAATGATTGTAAGCTTAATCATTTTCTTAAAGCTGTATGATGACCACAATAAGAAAATAATCCACTGATACACATAATTCCGTGTGCATTCACAGCAAAACCTGGAGGGTTAAAATTTCAGGGTAAAATATTTCAGAGTTGTTTTTAACACAACAAGTGTTATTTTAACTATCTGAAATTTAAATGGGTTTTTGAGTTGGGATTATAGTTGATATGGTTGAAGTTAATTCAGCTTCCCTTAGCGTTAATTCAACTTCCCCTTGTGTTCATTCAACTTTTCTTATTTTCTTGTTATTTTGGCACCTCTGACCCACCACTTCAAACTCCCATGAGAGAAAACAGTTTGAACTAGTTTTGTACATAATTTCATCTTAAATTAACTAAAATAAAGTGTAAAAATAAAACACCTCTGTGAGTTGTTTAGCTAAATCAATATAACTCTACAAAGTGTTATCTGTTTACTCTCAGAACATTAATATAACTCTTGATTTCAGGGTTAAACAGAACTTTGGTCTGGTGTTACTTCCTTAACCTTTTCAAAAATGTAAAATGAACTCTAAAACAGACTGGACTCACATAAACCCTGATAAAATGTAAAATTTTATTTTGTGAGAGTCAATTTTAACTCTCCACTTTTTGCTGTGTTTTACTGTATACATTTAAGATTACAAAAGAGAGATGATAAGCCTGGAATATTCCACAGTATAGTATTAAATTCATCTAGCTCGATGGAGACAAGAACGTAACATTATAAGGCCAAGTTACGTGGTACAATTTTAAGTCCTTAGGTTTAGTGTTTAGTATTTTAATACTGTAAGCACACAATGTAATCATAATAATAATCAATTTTATTTAAATATATTGCTTGTCTAAACACTCAAAAACAACAGACAAATAACACAATTAAAACCAGTACATTTTCTTAGCCCGTTGTAGGTGATTGTTTTCCAGCTGACACAGGAATGCCCATTGAGCTTTACCACAAATGACTAAAAATGCTGTTCACATAAGTTACTGTTTAAAGACGCATTTGAGGAAGACCGCATGCTCCAACAATTAAAGTCGTTAAATACCAAAAATAGCAGGGTTTTAGATGGAGAATAGGCAAAGATAGACATTTAGTAGTTTACCTATGGAGTACCTTTTAAATCAGGGGTGGGCCATTATTTTTTCCATGGGGCCACATGAGAAACAGGAAATATGGTGGAAAATCAGGCCAACATGCTTAACTCAATTCTACATGATATTAATTGTATTTCTTTCCAAAAAGCCGTAAATAGCATTGTTTTGACAAGCTGGTAAGACTGGTACGAGTTTATGTTATGACTAAGCAATGAAAAAGTGAGGTTTCCTTTAAAAAAAACACCTCTAAAAGAAAAGCAATGCAGCATTAGTCTATGTATGAGGTAAAATTATAAAACATGTTTATTTTGTAATACCAAATTATCTTAAACAGGCCAGTCAGAGTCAACCAAAGGGCTGTATGTGGCCCCGGAGTTGTACAATGCCCAGGTCTGTTTTTAATGATATATTTGTAATGTACTGACAACTATCTTAATAGCTGTGAAAGAAAATAGTAATGAAAGAAAATCTTGTAACAGTGAATACTAACTACACCTTAATTAGCCTTAATGTAGTACAGTTACTTAATTCATACTCTTAAGTAGATACTGAACTCTTTTTTCACTATGAATTATTTCTTTCTAAAGTAGTACTCGAAAGAAATCATGCCTAAATGTTTAGAATAGAGAAACTGATTAACTATTGTAATTAAGATTTTATTTTATTTAAATATTTTTAGCTCTAAAAGTACTGAGATGTTAAAAGACTAAATTGAAAGATGTTAAAGACTTCTGAAGTGGTACTCAAAAGTTTTATCTTACATCCAAGTTTCCCTACTTTTGATATCAGTTTGGAGTTTGCTCTGCCATGAGGTAACAATCACTATTACTATGACGTTTTGTTTATGTGTCAGTATTGAAATCTTTACTCGAATATTTCACAATATTGCTGAGTCATCTAATCTAATCTGTTTTTTTGCAGGGGATGTGCTCGTTGCCATGGACGATGTTGATGTGAACTCTGAAAACATTGAGAGGGTTTTGTCCTGTATTCCTGGACCCACACAGGTCAGTGGAAATAATCTATACTCATATTTGTTACTCTGTTTTTTGTTATATTAATTTACACTATGGCACTGGTGTCCTGTCGAGTTGAGCTACCTAGTGCTGCTGTGTACGCCCACTAGCACTGTTACGCCTTAAATATTCATCGATTTGAGCTACCTGAGGCACATATGGGGTAAATTTCCGTATAAATAAAATTGAATTGCATGGAATTGTTCCATCTTCAATGTCCGTAGTATCACAAAGTCGAGATATGCTACTTCTAGTGGACACATTATTTGGGAGAAGATATAGGCCTGTCAAGATTTGCTACTTCTACCCGTATTCATATAAATGAGTAAATAATGGCGATTCTACAGTGGGAGCATTATTCGATGGCTAAATTGGCCTGTCGATATGTGCTTTGCTCTTTAGTCGCAGTCGATAGCAGAATATGGCTGTCAAAATTAACTACGCATATTCATATATATTTGTTGAAATTTTACATAACTAAGGTATAAAGTCTGACCAACGAGTGCTAACAGCATCAAACCCACTGTCTCTAATCCAAAGAAATATGTTGTAAAACTGGGGAGGTTTGCTTTATTGGAACTGTACAACTGTAAAAGGAAAAACGTAAGGTAGCTTATTTTGACAGGATAACGTGAATTGATAGACGTCACTGTCGATTTACGCTGCTGGTAGCTCATTTCGAAAGGGCAGCCTATTTCGACAATACACCGGGCTGCCATGTGCTCGTTGTCATGCTGTGAAAATAGCTTTGGTTATTGATTTGTTAAGATTCTAAAATGTTCGGTAGTGTGACATTAAATCTGTCTATGTAGTTAGTTTTTTTGAGGAATAAAAATACCTTAATAAAATAAAATAAATGCTAGATAGATACAGTATGTTTAACACCAGTCTGTGAAACATTCTCCTCGGAGACATGAAGGTGGAAGACGCTGTACCAGAAAAATTACGCAGGACACCTTCAAACTTGAAATATGACCTGGTCCAAGTTACCTCTTAAAAACTCATTTGGTTTTTGTTGCTATAATGCGTAAATAGAAAGCAGGAGTTTGTGTTGTCTAACTTTACAAAACCTGCAATTACTGAAAACTGATTCTTTCATCGGCAGCACAAATAGCCTTGGACTTTTCTTAGGCTGAGAGGTTTCACCAAAAACTCGCCCATCAAAAGTAGGAATTTGCAAATGATAGGGAACCGTTAGGGTTGATGGGGAGGACTACAGTGCCACAGGAAACAGACTGGTTTATTTGTGAGGTTGGACGCTCAGCTGATTGAAAGATGCAGTCGGAAACTAAAGAACCATTCTGGAAATCGAGACGTTTGGGGAAATATACAAAGTTTTGTAAGCTAGGTTTGACTTTCCAAATCCTGAAATAGCATTGTTTCGCTGACAGAATACTTGTGTTGTATGTAACTGCTGACACAAAATGGTCCTGTACAGTTGAGAAGATATCTACAGATTAGGAAAACTAATTTGAACTAAACAAATAACTTCTTTCTACTGTTTACTGTAACTTTGGAGGTACCAAAAAAAAAAGATTATTCCTGTGTGATGTATGGGCAATGGCACTCCAGTCAGACCAGTTTTATCACTGTAACAATATGTTTTGTACCAATGTATCTTAAACATTTTCTTATCTAGAAGCCTTCAGCCTTTATATTACATCTTTATTTGGGGAAAAGTTGAAAAAAGTGAGAAAAAAAAATCATTGTAGAATAGAAATGATCGTTTGACTGGTTGACTAAACAAAAGCGTACTCACTGACTAGCTGACCACTAAATTAACTGTAAGATGCAGTGTCAGGCATATTGACTGAAATGTGTGGCCCAGGGCCGTTTTCCTTCTCTCCAGATCCTCTTTAATAATAGCCCTGAAATGATCCAAAATGGTGCAGAGCCCAAATGGAGGCGCCTGGTTCAGAGGTTGGTGGACTGTGGTTAGAGCCGACAGTCTTTCCTCAGACCCACAAGATCAGAAATGTACAGCTTCAGCTCTCCACAGATTACAGCTGTCAGTGAGATCTACCCACAACTCACTGTCCACTGCGTGAGCTTTAGGTGTTTAGGCACCACAGTGGCTGAGTGGTAAGCACTCACGCCTCACAGCAGCTTCCGGGTTCAATTCCTGGGTCTTTTTGTGTGAAGTTTGCATGTTTCTCCCTGTATCTGGGTGGGTTTCCTCCAGTTTCCCCCATCAACCCAAAACATTATAATCCTCTAACTATGGGAGTCCTGACTAGCACATCTGCTCCTGATGAGATTCCTCAGTGACGTTTAAGGATGGGTCAAATGCAGAGGACAGATTTCCCTACGAGGACAATAAAGTAACTTAAAAAGGACTTGCCTAGTATTACAATTAATCCATTTAAGTGGCAGTATATTATTTGCTGAATAGTATAATTCAATATTTCAAAGGTAGACTATGTAACTTAGGGGTCTCCAACCATTTTCCTCTGGTGAACTACTTTTACAAAATGAAAATGCCAGAGAGCTTCTAATTTTAGCGGCCACAAGAAATGGAGTAAATTTTAGAGCGAGCCTAAGATGAGGTAGAGTTAGATGCCTATAAAACATAAACCATCATTTATTAGTGCACAAAGTTAGACATCAAAATTTCATTAATAACATTTGACAGCACAATAAATGTAATTCAGAAATCCCTTAGCGAGCTACTTGGAATGGGTGAAGAGCTACAGGTTGGAGACTCCTAATGTAACTTTTACTGGTGGAGGGTTTCACATCTGCTTGTTAACATGAAACTCTATGATGTTAATGTTATATATATTTTTATTGCTAATGAATGCCTTGAAAACATTTATCACAAACTCAGACAATCTGATGGTGGTCCTCTGTACCAAAAAAGTTACACAGTGCACCTTTACTGTACAATGCATAACAAATTGGCTGTATCTGTGTTAAATGAAAGTGGATTTGACTCCAGTAAAGCCACAGTCCTCTTGGGTCTGCTCCGGTCTGGTGTGGCCTGGTTCACATTAAGTTAACACAGATCTGCTGTTTGTTACTTTATAGTTGTGGTTTTGGACACCAGTTTCTCGTCTCTGCTCTCCCTGGGTCTCCTATGATTTCAGAATGAGTAAAGTTGCCTTCCATTTGTTGACACACCATGTTTTACAATCCACAAAAACGCTCTTAGTCTGACCCAGGGCCAAGTAGCTTCCCAGAACTTAATTTTCAATAAAACCGTGAAAAATAGCGATATTCTTAATAATAGTTTCTTTCTGCTCTCTTTGCTTTTCTTTTATATGTTGGTTTAAGCATAACCATTACCTAACATTACATATTTAATTGTATTTCAAACATTTAACACTATAATAATGCGTCTACTCCTTGTGTTCTTTAAAACCACAGAGAATCTATACTTGCATAGTACACTTCTAACTTAATTTTCCTGTCCTTGTAGGTGAGGTTGACACTGGAGACCTTGATTCCTGTGGACAGTGCTGGAGCTGACGAGGCGTTCGTGGCCCGTAGGATGAAATCGTCTCCTCCGGTCAGTCAGCTGGTGCGTCTGCTGTGGGGGGAGGACACAGCAGAGTTACAGATGTCCATTGAACACATCCCTCACATCGTCATGTACCTGTCGCTCAAACTGGACTCTGCATCTCCACAGGATGAGGTCAGTCACAACTCGCGAAACATTCATGCGTTTTGTTAATCTCATCATGATTATTTTGTAAGATATGGTTCAAAATCCAAAGCAAATATACTTCATACTGCATTATATAGGTTTTTTTTGACATTTTGATTTAATAATGCCATTGTCTTTGTTACGAAACGTCTTTTGGCATGTTTAGAGTTTGTCTAGTCTAGATAATAATTGTCAAAATACAATTACAGGTACGATTATTTATTGGTTGACTTGTCACTTTTATTTCAATCAATTGTAGGTATATTTTAGTCATATTTTAGTTTTAAGTGTTTTAAAAGAAACTGGATTGTAATTGGAAATTTCATTTGCACAGATTCAACCACTTTGCTGCTTGCCAGTTTTCTTTTAGTAATTGATTCGTCTACATACATATTTTGACATTAATTGTATTTGTGGTTAATTAAAGTTTTAATTTTTTTCTAAAATTCTAAAATCCTTCAGCCGTTTTTGCCATCTTTTCTAAACCTAGACAAAACAGGAAAACCCCAACTGCCATGATAAAATCTTTACTTGTGCAGTAAAAGCTGGGTAAAAATGCCCTTACATAAGAAATAAGAAGACCTAATGAAAGTGTATAGCTCAAAAAATGAGATATAGACCAGACTAAAAGCTGCTGGAGACCATATATTTTTCCATACACTTTGGAAACTAAAGTGGTTTTGGTGAAACTCGATCGTTTTGTGGTTCGAGGATTCATGGCCAAAAAGCCTCATAAAACTTTATTTAAAAAGGGAAGTACAAGAAGGAGAAATGTAGGGGTCTATAAGTATTAGCAATACAGTAAATAGTAAAACTAAAACTCCCTGAAGAGGCTGTAAAATAATATGAGGCAAAATACATTATTGGGAGACCATTTTGGACAGTGACCATTGAATGAACTGCTTCTGAAAGAAAACAGAAATCATTTTATCCTTCGTTCTGATTTTCTTGGCTTCAGAAACCTTGAGGTTGTGTGATGTAAAGTGCAGACTGAGGAGGAACTGGAAAACTGCAAAAGGAAATCTGTATTGGATTGATTTCCTTCTAAGACATCAACAGAGAATTATGGTTTTATATCTTTAACATTGCAGAGCTGTTTAGTATTTACTTCAGAGCTTTAATTTCAGTTTTTATGTAAATAATTCCTGAATAATGAGTAAGAATTCTTGCATATTTTCAGCTTCTAATTGAAATTGAAGAGCAAAGATCATCACAGAATATACTGCAATAAATAATATCAAATTTCAATACATTTATACTTTACAATATTATTTACACATTGTCACACACTTATTTGCAAAAGGTGAGAATTTCTTATTAATTTAAAGTGTAGATATTAGTAAATTGGCTGAAACAAATCAATTTCACATCCATCCATATGTAATTGTGTGTTTTCTGTATTTGATGATCTCCTATACTGTAAATATAACTTCACTTTTTGGGACTGAGCTGTTTTTTTTTTTTTCTTGTTTTGTTTTTTTTGCTTCATTGGTTCATTTTTCAGCCGAGATGGAGAGCAGATTGTGGGATTCCTTGTGGTTGTTTCTTTAAATTACTGTGCGTGCATGAAGCCACTGGACTTTGATTTCTTAGTCCTTTGATTGTAGGGAGCTGCAGACATGGGAGGCTCAGTCTGTGGTGGTATTTTTGCAACATGATGCTTTTGACATTTGAGATTAGTTTTGAACATTCTTGCAGATTCCTAATAAATATAGATTTGAAATGCGAACAGCCACATTAAAGACAAATCTGTGTTTTAGATTCAAGACTGTTTGGTCTCTACATTTTGAAAGAAGCAAACTTTCTTCCTGGCTGGATGTACAAGCCAATTTCCCCAGTGTGGGTCAAGTAAAGGCTTTCGGATATTATACCAAAAATACAAATTTCACTCACTAATAGAACAAATAATTAGTTTGAACATATGTTTTTGGGTAAATGGAAACAGCATTTACCCCTAAAGTAAAAGACCTGGTTGAGAACTGTATCTTTACTAGGGCTGTGCAAAAATGTCAAAATATCAATATATCGCATTGTTTAATCTGATGATACAGTATTGATATCATGGGCTGCTGTATCGATATATCACCAAGAGTATTTTTTGGTATATTTTATTTTGTATAAAGGCCTAGTGCCGAAACATTGCACTCTTTGTCCTAATAAATCTCACATTTTTTAAGTAAGATGGTGTGTGGGATTTTTCTCTGTGTTTATGGGCTGCTCCCTCTCCTCCAACTCACCCGTCTCAAGTAATTGATGTGCAAAGCTGTCATTCCTTTCTGGTGTATTTTATCAGATTATTTAGTTACAGTGCTACAGTTTTGTTGCTTGTTTAGAGGAAGAAATATTGTTTATGCAACACATTTGACATTTTCACTGTTTTGCTGATTTAAACGGGCATGTTTTATATTAAATTTGCACAAGAAGTGATTTAACAAAGACTTTTAGTGTCACAGCCATGTTTTATTTGCCTTTTTTTCTTATTGAACTGTATCGAATCAATGTGAAATATTTCTTATCGAATCATATTGAATCGAAAGCTCACTGTATGGATATGTGACCTGTGTATTGAGGTATGTATTATATCAGCAACTTCTTAATGATATCCAGCCCTGATCTTTACTGTATTTGAGCTGTATCTTTGCGAGGTGTAACTAGCACCTTGGCAGATGTCTACTTCTCATATATATATATTTTTTAATCCTTATATCTTAGTCTTATCTTTAGTTTTTCTTCATACTCTTCTTAAAATCTTGCACAGCATTGTAGACACTGGCAGCAGACCAGATCGACAGGCCACAGTGTGCTATTTCTTGGTCATTTATTTTCCTTTATTGTCACTGCCAAGACTTCATTCAAGTTTTTATCCCACCGCCGAGTGCTTTGCCCTCTGGCTCTCAACTTCTCTCCCCTCTGCTGCCAGTCGCTGTGTTGAATACAGATTTTATGAAGAATAGTTTGGGTTCATGTGACTTCACAACACTGTACAATTCCTATCATTTAAAACTGAATAGGGTTACTACTTTTTACTTCATCTTAACCTCTTTCGATCATGATTTATGACGTTGTAGTTTATGTTTTGTTTTGTTTTGTTTTGTAGAGCTGCAAAATGACCAAATAAACTACTACTACTATTATCTGGAGAGCAGGTCAGAATGCTATTAGGGTTGTAACAATAACCAAAATATCGTGATATTGTATCGTCAAGAGTCTCACAATAATATCGAGAGCCATCACAATATATCGAATTACAAGTTCCTTTGCTTAAATGCATGATTTATAGTAGCAACTGCTAAAAACATAGGGAACTACATATTCCATGATTCATTTCAGCACAGACAACATGAAGAAATATGTTTTTTACTTGAATTCTTGGGATTATGACAGTAATGATTCACACATCAAGTCTTGTCAAGGTATTTTAAATGCAAAAAGTATCCTGTCTACATCCAAAATCCAAAATATCGCAATAAATATCGTACCGTGAAATCAATATTGTGATAATATCTTACTGTGAGATTTGGATATTGTTATATCTCTAAATGCTCTGATAGAATCTGTTGCTAAATTGCAGATTGACCTGGATTATTAATAATATTATTAATATTTATGTAATTACTGGGCCTGCATGAGAGAAAAACTGATGCAAAGCTCTACATTTTCTCTGTCAGTAAAAATAAACAGAGAACTTCAAGCTTTGCCTAAAACTGTGAACGCAGCCTGAACTAGCCTTTCTATTTCATGGGATATTATATTACTAGACCAAACTACTCAAAAACAACATACAAGCACATTTTTTGGTTTTTAATTTAGTTTTTTCTTGCTGTTTGTCCACCACAGTTATTTTGTTTATCCCAGATCATTTTGACACAAGCTTGAGGTAACAAAACATTGGTTCATTCATTCCTGTGTGCTGTCCATAATTACACTTAACATAAATCTTGGTTGGAGTCTCTTCCAACCAACACATTTTTCAGTGAATGGATTCAACCAGATGTTTTCTTGCCTCTGCTCTGAATATGTTTGCCACAGTGTCACCCTTTTTGTTTCACAATTATTTTGATAAGTAATAATTGAAATTTTTTGCAGATGGCCAAACTTTTTTATGTGTTTCTGTATTGATTTGCTTGAATTCTGTTGCAAACATCGAAAAAACTGCAATGAAACGCTTCTAATCTGCAGTACCTTCATGTTGACTGAGTAATGTGTAAAAATCATTCTTCTTTTATGGTTTGTAGGAGGAGATTTTGTACCAGTACCCAGTGTCTGAAGCATCCCGCCAGCTCAAAGGAGTCAGGGGAATCTTTCTGACGCTGTGTGACATGTTGGAAAATGTCACGGGAGGACAAATACTCAGGTACTACACAGAGGCGAAGAAACAGTTGGAATGAGACACGGCCCAATCATTTGTGTCCTTCATAGAGGACATTGAGTTAACCAGCTTCTTTTAAATGTTTTGAGACAGACTCTTAATGGGGGGACTAGGTTCCTCTTCTTAAATAGGGCTGGGGTATTATAAGGTATTGTCATGTCCAGGATAAAAAATGAATTCAATAGGAGTTAGTTTGTGGCTGCAATATGACAAAAAAAAATAAATAAAAAATTAAAAGTGAGTCTAAAAACTGACTGTAGAAGCTTATCAGAGATGTTGGTCATCAAAAAAGTTGTTTTTGTTTTTAACTTCTTGTGAATTTAACTCAAAAATGTCCCCGGTGACTACTACAGAGGATATGTTACAAAATTATAAATAAAAATAGAATCAACAAAGTCTAAGACTGCGTTTACTCTGAAAGGAATCACCGTATCACTGTATCGGGAAAGATTTGCATCCAGACACATCGCAAGTCTTCTCTATCCACACAGCTTTGAGCATATTTGTTTACGTTTTACAGAAATGAAACTTAAAACCACATGCCTCATTTGCATAAACTGAGCGCTCAAAAAACAGCTTGCTATTGTGCGCTGATGTGGTTCAGCTTCTGTCGGACTAAAGGACACGACTCAATCGAATATGTGTGTTCTTTCTGTGACAGAGGGATGTTCTGCTGATGGTGAGTCTGTTCTGTGCGTCTATCGCGTAGGAGATGGTTCATGTGAAACTTTTCAGAGATTATACATCTGCAGGTCATACGCATAGACTGTATTTATGAATGGACATATATTCGAGTCTCTTAGCGTTTTGACGGTGAATACTTCGTGGCGCATAGACTTACAACAGTGTATCAGCGTTTTCAGGCGTCCACACAGTGCCAGATCAGATCCATACTCAGATGAATTTGTGGGAGCTGGTGGCACCAGATCGTTCTATCTCTGAAGCCGTTTTCCATCGGTGCTTTATTCATTTACCTCCAAATAGAAAATCACAAAAAATAAATATTGCAATAGACTTTTTTTCTTCAGGTCCCAGGAGGATATGCTGAGGCTGTCAGATTAATCACAGTTAGTTGAATGGACACAATCTACGTCTAAGTCTAATTAGCTAATCACAATATCAGCATTTTGGATGTAGCACATTTTCACCATAATGCCACAAAAAACAAAAAATCCAGTCCAGTCTTATTCTTCATAAAAACAGTCTGTATAAACACTCCTGAAATATGATTCTTGCATTGTCCATTCATATTTCAGTCTTTTGGCCATTTCCTCTGATAGATAGAACTTTGGACAGAATCATTTTTTTAACATTATTTATTAAGTCTTGCTTTGTTTTATTCCATTTATTTGTCTGTCTCCAGTTCGTCTCTGCTCCTCGGGAAACATCTGGTGCATGTGGGCTACTGGAAGGAGAACAACAACCTGCTGGTGATCGGGCTGCCTGCTGAGAGGTAGACTTACTTACTTTGTGCAATTTCTATCTTTGAATGTCCCACAGTATGGATTTAAGCATATGTATTTCCATGGAGACGACTATCAGGCCAAGTTACCTATTAAAACACCTCCAGATGAAAAAATGCGCAACATACCATACTGTCGTATTCCAGGTGAAGGAATAATCATGGAGACAAGAAGGTGACAGGAGAAAGGAGGAGGAGGAGAAAAGTTACATGATGCACCTTTAAAGACCTTTAATGCTGGGTTTCAGATAGGGGTGTGCAAAAATATTGAAATATCAATGTATATCGTATCGTTTAATGTATCGTGGGCTGCTGTAAATTGGGTATAGAATATTTTTTGGTATATTTTACTAAATTATTTTGTTACAGTGCTACAGTTTTTTTTGCTTATTTAGAGGAAGGAAACTCATTTATGCAACACATTTGTCATTTTCACTGTTTTGATGATTAAAATGGGAGTATTTCATATTTACTTTGCACAAGAAGTGGTTTAACAAAGACTTTTAATATCACAGCCATCATTTAGCCGTTATTTTTACTGAGCCGTTTTATTGAAATATATTATATTGAATCAAAGTGATCAGGTTCAACATTTGTGCATTTACCTTTTGGATATTTCATGGTAAAGTACATTTGGGTGACTACAAATTCAGCCTCTATAAACTAAATTTAGACATCGTAGCTTTTATATACTCCAGCTTAACTTGGGGTAATATATAAAACCGGGTTTCCACTGCAATAAAAATTTCAGATCTTGTGGAAAATCTTGATTTATGGCTCAAAATCTTCAAAGTCGTACAAAGGTTCAACTTCACACTGTGTGCATGTGTGCTGTTTTACAATTTAATTTCCTCACCACCACCAGGCTTTAGACAAACCTTAAGAAAGTGAATGTTGGATATAACAATTGCCAGCAGGGGTCACAAAGAATTCTGTTTGTGTAATGAGTTATTGAAACTTGACAATATCTTTGGCTTTCATGAAATGTTATAATTTTTTTTCTTAGGGGTTTTTAATCTCAAAAGCAGATGAAGAGAATAATCTGTAAAAACAATTATGATTTTGCGAACTGGCCAAAGGACGTTTCTACAGAGTTGTGGTTTCCAAAATGATTCACTTCAGCCACTGTTGTATTCTCCATCAAACCCACTTGAGCATTTAAGGATATCTCAAATATAGAGCAAATAATGTCATCTCGTCCCTGTTTTGTGTTAAAGCTATAACCCTTAGTATAAATCATGAATGCTATTGTAAGTTTTGTGCAATATTTTTTGTTATTTAGGTAAAATTTTATGTAATTTTCTTGTTTATTCTCAGGGTTCCTCTGCTGTACCTGCAGACTGTGATGGGAGACGTTGTGAGGACACTAAAAGTGATGTACAGCTCTTTGGACAGGTTTGGCTCTAATGTTTCATTTTTATTTCAACACATCTTTCCCTATTTTCCATCTGAGATCAAGCTTCCAGGGTATTTTTTTTCTTTACAGGAATTAGAGATGAAATTAAAGTTGCACTAAAATGAACAGGTTTTACAGATACCAGAAACTGCATCCCTTCTAAGTGAATATATTTACATGTCAATTTTCTGCAAAAAGGACAATGTGGCAAATTAAAAAATGAAAGAGAAAATTTTAAGATTGAAAGAATTACTTTAAAATTCAGTGTACTTTTACAACACAATACAGTTACTCTAATGATCCACTGGTTAACTACCACATGTCACCAGGAGATTTTGATGATCTAATTTCTTTTGCGCATGTAAAACACACACTAAAATCATCAGTTATTTTGGGGTTGTCTTATTTAGTCACTGAAATGATCCTGTATTTGATTGACAGTGCGTTCCTTGCGGCAGACCACACTCCTCGCCTGGACCACTTCTTCTGCCTGTTCTTCCAGCAGCTCATCCAGCCGTCCCGTCTCCGCGAGGGGCACCCTGCTCCCCCTGTGGACACCTCCAGGACACTGTTTTTGGATGGACTCCCTGCTGTACGATGGCTCACTTTGCCTCCAGAAATCAAGGTTGGGATGTAAAATAATTAATGTTGACATTTTTTTATGCCCTTGATTTGAAGTTGCGTTCATGTTGAAGAATTTCTCAGTCAGATGGAGGGTACCGGCCTAAAACTCTAGAGAAGATTTAATGTTTTTGCGAGAAATATCCAAACTTTTGATCGATTATTTGTTTGTTACTGGCTTCACAAACTTGTCATATTGATCTTACAACTTCCAGTACTTTCGTCTGACAACAATCTTTTGGGTTGAATAATGGCACCACATTCTGAGGCTATTTTGAAAACATATTTCATTGTTATGCTGACAAAGAAGATGTTGGATGTTAACCATAAAGCATGTCAACAAATCTTAAATCATTCAGTTAAAGCATAAATTTCATCATAGAATTTTGATCTGTCTTCTAGCTCAGTTTAAAACTACAGGGATTGTTGTGATATCACGTGATCCCATCCTATTCTACAAAATTGTGTACACATTTGTTATCAGTATAATTGTTTGAGATTGTCTGAGAAATATATAGATTAACTGGTGAATATAAATTGGCTGTTATAAAAGTGGCTGTTTGCATCAGTGATTTTCAGACTCGTAATTTTGTTGGCTTATAGAATGTTGGGTTATTATTTGAAACAGAGCAATACCTCTGCCGCCCTCTAGTGTTACATGTGTTCACTCACTTCTATCATTTGTGATCTGTGTAGAATTTCCTCTCATTGCTTTGCTTTATTTATCAGATGGAAGTGGACACTGTTCTCTCAGACTTTGAATCCTCAGACTTTGGAGAAATGGTAAGAAAATAAAGGCAGCTAAATCAAATTAAACCCGACATACTAAAGATTACACATTAAAGTTCAGGGTGTCCCAGAAAAACTGACATCCTTTTAAAAGCAATTATCTAGAAAATTGTTTATTATGGGACTTTGTTTGCCAGTTGGTGAAGTTTTTTCCAAATTGTGCATTGAAGGCACACTGTACAGTCTTGGGTGACTGTGTGCAAGTGTATTCCAAAACGCAAAACAACTTCTCTTTGGGAGTGAACGGCTCAACCTGAAAACAGAACAAAAATTCAACATTAAATATAAAATCTTGATCTGTTTCTATACATTCTGTGAAAATTTGAAGTTATTTCACAAGAATTGCTAAAATTATTGGCCTGCAAAATTATGTCATTTTTTTGGGACACCCTGTATTATTTGTAGAATTTCTTACCTTAATCTATGGTATTTTGTCACAGTCTGAAGATTATTTTGGTTTGCGGAGGATGTATGTGATCCTTGGCTCCTGCTTGTTTTATAAGGTAAGTGTCACTTTCAAAGTTCTAACTGATTAATGGTTAGTTGCAGGTCAGATCTGTGGAGAGGTGATCGCACTCACAAAAGAATGCATGTTTTTCCATGTACTTTAAAAACACCATGTACAATAAAAACACCTAGAATTGAATAAATGCAAGGCAGAAAGGTTTAGCTCTCCACCCCTTTCCTAGTAGCTCACCAAGGGATTTCTGAATTTCACATATTGTCCTGAATAAATAAAATTTGATAAATGAAATGCCTGTTACCATTGAACACGTATTATTTTGATTCCTATCTTTGTACACTAATAAATGGACAATAGTTAGTGGTTAGTTAGTAATAGTTAATAGTTAATAGGCACTTAAAGATACTCAATTTCTTGTGACCGCTAAAACTAGTAGCTCTCTGGTATTTTTGTTTTGTAGAGTTAGCTCACTGGAGGAAACAGGCTGGAGACCCCTGGATTAATGACATACTGTGGAACATTCTAAACCAGACATGTTAAACTCAGACCCGGGGACCAAATTTGGGCCACGATATAATTATATTTGGCTTGCGAGATCATATCAAATATGTATTAGAGCTGGTCCACTGGTTACAGATAGACTATAGAGACATTTATTTAAAATTTTGTAATTATTTCATATTCTTGTTCTGGATTCAGTGTTTAAGCAAAACTATTATTAAACATTTATTTTAATAAGAAAAGGTTTAACATTACATATCTAAAAAGAAGAGAAAACATGCAGATGTTGTAACAATATCATCACCATAGAGATAAGGAGAAGTTACACTGTGCACTTTCAAATAATAAATAGGTTTTCTTGTTTGTTTTCCTGAAATAGTGCAAATTATAACATTGTTTTTGCTGCTTTTTACTACAAATCTACAACAACACAAATGTAAAAGTTCAAATCATTACAGAGATCTACGGTAAATCTGATGTTATTTCTTACAAATTCCCTGTTATCTGTCTTCTCTAGTCGTATCTGATTGCTAACCACTTGCCCAAAGAGGACCTTCTTGATGTGAGCCTGTACTGTCAGCACTACCTGCTGCTGCCCCTGTCCTGGGAGCAGAGGGTGGGGCAGCTGGTGGTCTGGAGGGAGGTGTTTCCACAGCAGAGAGCCACAGCTGCACCCGGATTCATCACGCAGCAGGGACGTTACTTTCTACTCATCGTAGGACTGGTATGGGAATGAAGAATAATCACACCTAGAATTATACGCTGTTATGGAAAGAGGAGGTTTAAAGGTTTTACTGTCTGGGAACTAGACTTAGACTTAGACAGGCTTTATTGATCCACAAGGGAAATTACTTGGACACAGTAGCTCACACATCACAATATATTACAGTAATACAGAGTTTTAAAAAATGGTAACACGCTTCTAAATAAGTAGCAATAAAAAATAGGAAGAGATTGGTTTCAATAAGGCATAAATTATATAAATGTATGTACAGAAAGTAAAGTAAAAATGTAAAATTAAGTTAGGAATCACATTTGATTTACTAAGCTGTAGTATTGGGATGTCAACTGGATTCACAAACAATAACTGCATTCATTCTGTAGGGCTGTAATTACTGAAATAATCGTCCAGAGTCCAGAAATAATTGCGAACTATTTTAATAATTGTTATTTGGCTTGTAAACAAATTAACAAACAGTTTTTTTGCCAAGAGACTATCGTCATCATCATTATAAATATTTAATGAGGAAATGAAAATAATTTCAGTTTGTAAATTGTTTTATATCTCTTTATGGCATATAGCTTAAATTCTCTAAATAAGATGTGCATTTTGAGCAAGTTGTGTTGAGATTCAAGGTCATATGTTTTCTGTTTTCTTTCCTCAGAGACACTTTATGCAGTGTGTGCTGTTGGAGTCTGGGGGCTGTGCTTCACCTGCTGTGGGATGTCCAGGACCAGACTCTGTTTATGTTGACCAGGTTAGACTTTTATACAGAAATTCACATTCAGAAAGACATTTAATACATTTAATTGGTTGCTAGAGTGCAAAAGTGTTACCCATTACAGAAGGCTTAAGGGGTTCTCTGTTGTCTAATTTCTTTCCCCTTGGTCTGAAAAAAAAAGAAAATTGTCTGTCTGAATTGTCTCTATACTTAAATGTGTCACCATCAATAAGAAATACAATTCTTTAACAATATACTGAACACTATTCATCTAATGTCTTGCATTTAAAATATTCAATGTTTCATCATCACTGGTCATTTACACTTTTTAAAGCAAATAAAATGGATTATTGTTCATTTTTCTTTTCCCTTTGATTACATTGTACTTTGCCATGAAATATCTAAAAGGTAAATTTACAGATATTTAACCTGATAATTTCTGTAAATGATCAGACCCCGGAACTCACTATATTACAACAAATTGTTTGATCGTCTTGTGATGTGCCTTTTCTTTTACAGGTCAATATTCTGCTTTCTCTGTCATTTAAAAGTTTATGTTTCACCCCTCTCAGGTGAAGGCAACTCTGCTGCAGCTGGAGGAGTTGGAGGGCGGCATCGAGGAGCGACTCAGTGCGCCTCCAGCTCCATGTCTGTCCTGTGCAGACTGGTTCCTCCCGTCTTCTTCCTCCTCCTCCTCCTCAGCTCGGGAACGCCTCGACAGCCTGGCCTCTTCCTCCCCTGTCCTCAGCAAACTCGTCAAAGGCTCCTCCTCTTCGGGATATAGGTAGGTCTGACTGATATTTATAATCAGTGTAGAATATGTGGCCATACCAGCTCTTCAGAGTCTGAAATCGTCAGATCTCAGAAGCTTAGCAGGGCCGGGCTGGTTAGTACTTGGATGGGAGACAGCTTGGAAAATCCCTGTCGTTGTGTCCTTAGGCAAGGCACTTCATCCACATTGCCGAGTATGAATGCGGGTGTCTTGAAAGGCGCTATATAAATCCAATGATTAATTAATTAATTGTATTGAATATTTATGCATCTATGACTTTTCTTTATAGATAACTAAGTACATGTTTCATTTAGTGGTTTTCTTTTTTTTCATTACACGGGGATTGTCAAGATTATTCTCTTAATCAATAATCGTCGCTCTGTAGTTCATAAAGTAACGTAATGAAAAAAGTGGACATTTTTTAAGAGGAAAAAAGTTAAGCTCACTATTAAAAAAAAATGTTTATGTGGCTATCATTAACTTTTACATTTCTATTCAGAAGGCTTGATTTCATAAAGGTGGTCACATCTTTACTAACAATCATTATATATAGTAAATAATAAAAGGATTTATCGTGTCATTAGCATAAAGTGTCTTCGGTTGTATTGTTTATAGTAATATTTTCTTTTGTCGTTATGGCTCCAGGGGTCGTAGTCTTTTTGGGGAGAGGTCCCGGAGGCCGAGCCCACAGAGGAGCCTCTCGGACAGTGGGAGCGAGGGGCCGGATGGGGGGCTGGGCTTTGGGACCTCCAGGACACGGGGGCTCAGTCCACACTCCACCCCAGACTCGGTCAGGGGAATCGGGGCAAGACGCGACTCTCTGGGGTCTGGAGGGTCTGAAGGCAGTGGAGGCAGCGGAGGATTGTTTAAGGTGATTTAGTGCATTATTCTAGTCATGTCAAGTGTTTCTATGTTGTTTTTGTGTGATATGAAATTAGGGTTATCAAAAGTATTAAAAATCTGTTATTAATCTATATTAAAACTAGTATCAAAACAAGATACTCATTTGAGCAAGTGTCGATTGTAAAATTACATTAACAGGACAAAATCTGACTGCTCCTGAGCAGTTTTAGAATCATCTTAATCTTTATCAGAACTATATAAGAAACAGACGAAAGTACTGTTATTTTGTGTTGAAAATGTCAGTCTAAAAAAGAGCATTCTGTACTGTATCATTGGTATCGAAATCTGTATCGAGCCTATTCTTTAGTATTGAAATCAAGTTTGAAATTTTTATATTGTGACTACACTACATGGAATGCAGAAAACAAAAAGTATACTTGTTATTGTACAGTTTAACCTTAGTCCTAATCGGTCAGTGGTGTCGTAGTTGACCAAATTTTGTATTAGCTGACAAATTGTTTTATCTGGATTATAAGAATTTATATGGATTATATTACAGTAGTATGGAGAGTAAATGGAGTTAGCTGAAGTTTTGAGAATGACTGAACAGTTTAATGTACCTTTAAATTTATGAAGATGCTGTTTACTAGTACTTCTCTTTAGCTGTTTTTTGTGAAATTTTAAAAGCTTTTGCCAATCCATTTTTTCACCCAGAGTCCCAGGACAAAGCACCCAAACCCATTTCACCTCGGCACTTTGAAGAAAACTCTGACTGAGCGAGAGACGGAAGACATGCACAACATGAAGTGAGTGAAGTCTGCAACAGCTATCTGATTAACTGTGACTAATTTACTCATTCAGAACCAATAATCTATTGAACTAGGTAATTCTACTACTAAGATAAAACATCCAGCAGTGTAAAACAGTTGTTACACTACATTTAAATTAATCAAATGGCCATAGCCTATCCCAGTTTTAATCATTTGCTGTACTGACCACAGATAACTACTGTGTTTAACGTTTTCACCCATAAAAAGGTTCAATATTTGTAGATCATAGGTTTGGATTTTTTTTTTTTTTTTTCAAAAACAGTGAATTTCCCATAGAGTCATATACAAGGCCACTGCCCTCCATCTGAAATTATAACATCATCAAATTCTTGAACGTGAATGTAGCCTATATTGTTTTTTATTTAGTTATTGATATAAAAAAAACAAACATCTGATACGTTTTTTCTACATTGTCTCCCCCCTCAGGCTGAGCAGTGGTCCTGATAACACTCTGTTTCACTTCCTGCTCATGGACAATGTTCGGGGGGTGTTCATCGCGCCCTCTCACAGAGACGTGTCCCTCCTCAGTGGCTCCATTCACCCACAGCTCATCACAAACTTCCACCACTGCTGCCTGTCCATCCGCCACGCCTTCAGACAGAGCCTCCCAGCGAAGGTGAGGACACTGGAGTGGAGCTTCTGGTGTGACATACAGTATTTAGATGCTACAGTCTAAATGCAAAGGACAGTAAATGAAAATAAAAATCAAACCGACTGATTGTCCACTGGCAATCACCCGAGACTTATAGAACTCTAGTTACATTAGTCGCTTTCAAATTATGGCTTTGAAGAAGATTTTGGATTGCACAGTGTCACCATTTTCCTTTTAGACATGTGTTTTTTTGTTAAATATTTACTAATTTAACAGTTAAAGCTGCACTATTTAACTTTTCTGATGCGAGTTCTTGAAATGCTTGTTTCCAGGAAGAGTTTCTTGCTTTGCCTGGAATGTTGTATACAGTAAGTTATTTACCTCCAGGTGTTACCATTAGGTCATGTTACAGGTGTAGAGAGGCAAGAATGCACTTTTCAAGCTATTTCTTTAGCAATAACCACACCTGTAGTTAAATACATGCAAGATATTGTACACATAATGCCATAGTGTGGGATATTCCATGCAAAGCAATAACACTTCCATTGTGATGAGCAGGCTTAGCGGACCCCCAAAAGAAAACTTACTTCGTACATCATTACACAACACAATAAAGCTAAATTCTAGGCTGTGTTCACACTTACACCTAAAACTGGACTAAACATGGGACTAAACCTGGAACTAAATTAAGACATATCAGGACTAAACCAGGACTAGAATGGGACCAAATCTAGGAATCAAACGAGGATAACTGTGAGCACAGACCTAAACATAGTCGTCTGTTCTTGGTTTCTACTTTGAAAACACTAAAACTGTGTGTTAAATAAACATACCAGAAACCAGAGCAGTCGTTCCTGGTATTTTTAGGGGTTCTGTTTAAAAAAAAAAAAAAAAGTGCATTAATCCTCGTCTACAGCCTCTGTTTAACTGTATGTCAGATCCATCAGCTCTGTTTGCTCTGGCCCTCTCTCCCTTTCCTGAACGTTCTCTTTTAGCCTGTTGTTCTTGTGTCTCGTCCCAGGGCAGACGGGGTTCCGGCAGGCCTCAGAGCGCTGGGTGGGGCCTGGGTCCAGTGAAGGAACATGGGGTTCTGTTCCAGTGTACACCCCCAAACTGGACCGACCAAAAGAAGCCCCCGCCCACCATGACGTACTGGGTCATAGGGTACGTCTGACTAACACTTTTCATTTACACTTTACACTTTTACAGGAGAGGAATGGAGTTTTGGTTGAGAAAATGATGTTGACCCAATAATATAGTTTTTAGTATTGTCAAAATTAGCTTAGGACAATCTTTCAAATGTTTCTAGGCTTTTAAGTTTCCAAAAACAAACAGATATTAATATAACAGATATCGTATGACTGTAGATATGTGATACGAAAAAATTCTGTCTGGTTGGCAACTACAAATTTGTGAGCAATTACATGAAATTTTTTATCTTAGTCTAAGGCAACTAGTAAGTTTTACATAAAAGAAATGTGTAATTAAACGTCCAACAAAATGTTTGTTATTGTATCAGTTTAGACTTAGACAAACTTTATTGATTTAAGTTTGTCTAAGTCTAAGTCTAATTTCTCCTGTCCCTTTTCTAACCCTCTCTTTTTGTCTGTTGTCAGGAGGATGCTGCTGGAGCCGGTTCCTCAGGAGTTTTACGTTTGTTTTCATGACTCTGTCCCTGAGGTCCCGGTGGAAATGGCCTTCAGACTCTCATTTGGACTAAACTTGTGAGAATCGAGTTTGACAAGACAAACTACATTCAAGAATCACTCAGGAAAATATTAAAGACTTAGGTGCTGGAAAGGGCTGGAACTATTTTCTTTAATGACGCAATATGGTCCAGTATGGTAATGTAAACTGAGATGATCAAGGTTGTTTCAGAACTTAAAGGAGCTGTACCTGAATTTTACTGTCTTAAAACATGTTTGCAGTGGTTACTCCTCACTTACTTGAGTTTCTAAGCGCTTTTAATTTTCAGAAAGCTATAAGAAGGGACTACAGAGATTGTTACCATGGTAACCCAGAGTAAAGAATGTCCAGTTCCAGCAAACCTACATTATTATTATTACATATTATATGACAGTAAAATACTTTATAATTATATCCAGACAGTACACAATTCAGTGGACATATGGACATATTTTGACCTCAAGAGCTGCTTAAAAAAATTACTGTTCTGGGGCAAATACATGAAAAAAACAAACTTTACTTTAACTCTAGTACTGTACTGCCCAATGGGAAATAATACATATTGTATATAAACTGATGTTATTTATTTATATATGTAGTTTTTTTACACATTGGCATAAAAAGTAGTTCAAATATGAAATCTAATATTGTGTGGCAAGTTTACATTAAAAAAAGAAATCTAGTTTGTGCCTTTTTTTTTTTTACTTATTCCTCAGCATTTCTATGGTTTAAACCTGAAATATAATTTGAGTTATGAACACAAAAGCGGCCTTTTTAAATCAAATATTGAAGTTGACAAATATTAGTTATTAAATACCTCGTTTTATTTGTGGCATTAAGCAAGCATAAGGTACCCACTATCATTTAGCATTTCCTGATTGTTACGAGCCTTACAAAGCATTTATGGTCAGTGCTACTAATGAAAATACTGTGTAAAATAAGCAGCTATTATTGATGCAGTAATGTACTTGAGAATGGCATTTGTTAATTTTTTTTACAACTTTGACAAATAAATGTAAAAAGCACAACCATTTTTGTATCTTATTCATTTATTACCAATAACCCATCTGTGTTTACACATGATTTTAAGATTGTGCAAAGGTTTTCATCGCATTAAAAATACTTTCAAAACAAATGGACCCTTCATAATGTAAAATCAGATTGTTTACCTTAGATAGGGAAAAGATGACCAAGACATTATCGTTATTTGTAGCAGATGAAATGTGAACAAAAACCTAATTTCTATGAGTCTATGACAGCATCTCCACATTCAGCTCTGAGGAAAAACTTTATTGGGAAGATTGAAAAATTACTACTAACATTATGACCATTATTTAGTATAGTTAGAAAGCACCAGAAATAGAATATGTCCTCTTGATATTTCTCCCAGAGCTGTGTTTTAAAGTACATTTATTAACCTAAGCTACACTTTGCACCAGTAGCAGATTCCTCTTGTAGCACTCCAGGCTGCAGAGGGGAACCCCAGTCTTTGAACAGGCGTATTTCTTTACATTGGAGCACCCACTGACCCCACACTGGACCGGCCCAGGCAGGTGGGCTATGGGTGGGACAGGGAGAGGTGCTTGTACTCCTGTAGGAAACGATATAGCCACTCCCTCCTTTGTATCCAAGTATCTGACCATGGGACACTGGTTTTGCTTAGACTTCCTTTCCCTCATGCTCTTGATCTTGGCCTTACTAGTTTTCGTGAGTCTTTCAATGGTTTGATTTTTGTTTTCTTCAGCCTTTTTCTGGGCTTGGAGGCGCCGTTTTCGGGCCCGTTCCTCTCGTTTTTGCATCATCTCTGCAGTCATCTCCTTCTCCTTGTACCCCATGGGTAGCTCCAATAGAGGCTGAATCTGTTGCTTGTGGAGTAACGCTTTCTGAAAGTAATGAAAATACACGTCAGGACTTTTTCTAGATTTTACACTAGGCACATTTACATGGACAGAAAATTATAAAGTAGAATTTTCTTTGTCAAAACCTGCACAGGTAAGAAAATCACAATCAATTCACACCAGATGTACCTGTTTACATGCACAACAAAAATTTGATCATGATCTGATTTCTGGAGTAATCAGAGTTTTGAAATGTCATGTAAACACAGTCAGTGTTAGGTAAAGTAAGACACTATATGTGACTTCATTACCATTTTTCCACATATGTGGAAAGTGATTATCCTAAAGGTACTCAATTACTCCAAACTACCCAGTCACTACATATGATGCATAAAAAGTAATTATATATATTATATATATTTTTTGCCGTATCAAAAACAAGGTGATACATGTCCTAATTTATTCATCTTAACAAACACATTCATTAGAGAAGCACTGAATAATGCAGACAGTTGAAAAGTATGAGTTTTAACAGTCTGACCTGTCTGGCAGTGAAGCAACGACTCGTCCACCTCTTTCTTCAGGTCTCCGTTGTCGTCCAACTCTCCTTTTTCCAGAGCATCCAGCCATCGCTCTTCCTCGTCTACAGGCAGAGAGTCTGAGTCCATGCTGGGCATCGGGGAAGACGCCATGTTACTGTCCTCATCTGAGAGACACAGCACAATGTCAAGGACAGGATTGAACAGTGGAGACATTTTCTTTAGTCACAGATGTCAACACACTTCAAACTGCAAACTTTAAATCATAAGACAAATAACTATAATTGTTTGTTTGGCCATTATCAATAAAAATGTCATTTAGCAGTAAAAAAGATATATATTTCTCTTATTAAGTACTTTAACAGTAAGGCACACTTTTATACCTTTTTTTTTTAAAGCCAAACGTTAGTAGCTATTGTGCATTCAGTAGAGCCTGTGCCACTTGTGCCCTATATGCTCTATATCTTATGAGTCTGTAGTATGTAGATGTAGTTTATACCCAGCCATGCTCTGTACTGCTCCAGAGGCACCGATGGCTCCTCTTCATCCTCCTCATCATCGTCATCGCTGTCATTGTCAATGATCATCAGAGGAGATGGAGGGCGAGCCACACCGGGATGTACTGTGAATGTTGGAACACTACAGAGGAACAAAGAAATAAAATAAAATATCTGCTTAATATATACTTAATACTAAAAGGTGCACTACATAACATTTATGGCAGAGTCTGCTACCTGTTTTTCTTCATGGAGATGTTATTGTTTGCTCCACAGCACAGCATTATACTTGTCTATTTTGTGGACAGGAAAGCTTTCTCACCAGTTACATATTAAATGCAAGATGGACAGGTTTAAATGCATACTGTGAAACATTCCAGGCAAAGTAATAACATCTCAACAGAGACAAGCAGGTGGCAAACCCTCACACCAGAAACAATTACATAATGCACCTTTAAGTGTTGCTAAACAACAATACACTATATACAATATATAATGAACTAATGTACTTGGTTTCAAACATTTGTCACCTCTTGGTCCCGAGCGTCTGTCCTCCAAGTTTGATCTTTAATCGAAGCTGTGGAGGAGGTCGAGGAGGAGGGACTGGGATGGGTTCAGGGACCTCTGGGAAACTATGGTGCTTCTTTTTGTGCTTCTTCTGCTTCTTATGTTTGTGTTTGTGTTTATGGACACTGTGGAGAGAGGAGCTGCCCTCACCTAAGAAGAGGAACAATTTATAATTTCATAAATATCCCATCATTATCATCATCATCATACAGCCAAGCGAGTTTGGACACGATATTTTGTATATAAACAATATGTTAAACCGTTTGATTGGTGTTCAATTTAAATTGTGTATTTTTTAATCAATATACAGAAGTATGCAAGTATGCAATTGACCAACAATGGTTTGCAATATCCACTGTTCAAGTAATAATTTGTATTTGACGTGATTGTTAAATATTAAGACATGCAGATTTTGTAAATAAATAAGTTAATTATTTCGCAGATACTTACTGAGGAACCTGGGGTGAATCATGTCTTTCCTTTTGCCCATTGGAAACGAAGGAAGGTGAAGATACAAACACTGAAATATACTACAACGCTAAATGACTGTAAATATCCATTTTGATGTGCAGTTTATACACTGGAGATGAAAGCTGAACGAGCTTTTGCCTTTCTCTTGTTGCAGTGCGACGGATTAGGCAGATAGCAGCTTGTTAGCCTGTCAGCATTTCCACATAAATATACGATTTAGAAGTACGATAACATTAACGGTGGGTTTAAATCATAACGAAAAACGTGAAAAATACCTAGAAAGCATCGCTGAACAAAATAAGCGATATTTTTGAATGTTTATCTCAAAACTAAAATGTGGCTATAGTCCCGGAAGTGCGCTCACTGGTTTTGTTACTGCTCTTCCGGTGTTGTGACAGGTGGATCGCTCTCTAGAGGACAAAAACAGAATTAAAATCTCAATGAATGCTCCAAGCTCCTCTGCCGGGTTCGTCAAGCCTGGAGCAGAAAGGGAAAAACGCTGTCCGAACCAGATTAATCGGTATGACTTCAAACAACTAAGCTAGGGTTTGTTGTCATCGCTTTTTTGGCACAGATTTTGGGAATTGTAGTCCACGCAAAGGACGGTGCAGATGACCACTCCGCATCGACTGTATTCCACAAATACATTAACCACAATCCCTCGGGCGAACCTGAATAGAAGGTCAGTCACAAAGCGAGTTGCTGTAAATGTGCACGAAACGGTGTAATTATTAAACAAACGAAAGTAATGTATGATGCAATGGGTTCATTTTGTGCCAAACGAATGAGATCGACCTGAAGCGAGGCGGAGAATGTCTCATATATTCAGAGTTTGCTTGTGTAAATAAAAGCTCCCACTGTCTGTCACGTGGAGTGCAGACAGAGACGGCACACAGTCTTATACACTGGGTTTTTACGCAAGAAATTAGTTATACCGCGCTAATACAATGGACTCAAGCAAAATTCAGTACGCTTCAACAGGTGCCAACCCCACATTACCTGACAACTTTAAATACTGCAAGGTAAATAACGTCTTTAAATATATTTTGCAGGAAAAACGATGAATTATGCCCGGTTTTTGACAGCTGTGAGTGCAGCCAGAAAACCCTCCCTCATCAGGGTCCTCAGTAAGTATAAGATTCATTGTACAGGAAAATATTGTACAGAAAAATGTTATACAGTATAAGATGTTGATAAAATGCATTATTTTTTGTATTAGAAAAAAGAGGGTATAATAGGTTTCTCTCAGTTCTCAAAAAAAAAAAGGAAAAAAAAAAAAGAATGCACCACGTAGTAATACTTAAAGCAGCACTGTGTCACTTTCTGAAGGTGGTATGTGACCTGCAGGATTCAGTAGAAAGTTTAAACCAAACTTTGACACATTTTCCTTGGACATACATACGTTTTATGCCATACTGTGGATTATTATAGTCAAACAAACAACATTTTCATTGAGACATGTTTTTCAGTGCAATAAAATCCAAATCTCAAAAGTTACTTAGAAGGGCTTTAACATTTTTATACAAAATGTATTTTTATAACATCTTTATCAAGACAATTGGTTACTCTTGTTGTTGCATTTGGTTATGAAATTATTTGCCACATTACACATCATCCCATAGTGTTATTTTTGCTTGTGTTTTTGTAGCTGAGTTGCAGCAGCGTTCGCCCCCCTCGCTCATCTCTTTGGCTGGAGGAGCCCCGAACCCAAACACCTTCCCGTTCCTCTCCGCCTCAATACAGGTCAGAAATGGTCCAATGGTGAACTTTGACGAGACGACAATGAAGAGGGCTTTACAGTACTCTGCTTCTAGTGGGTGAGTGAATCTACTATTTATGGCACTTTATATAATTTTTACACTTTAATTAGCCTTAATAAAGCATGAATAAAGATGTAATTCATAATGAACACATTGTTTATTAAGAATTATGCAGTTTTAGTAACTCTTTAATTAAGGATTTGAGGTTAGCAGGCCTAAAATCCTTATTATCAAATCCAAATCCTCAAATTATTATTAAGTAGTTACTATACCAAAGAGCAGAATGTTCTCAATAAACTATTTGTTCATTATGTTTTAAGTCTTTGTTCATTTTTATTTGGGCTGATTACAGTGTAGTTCTAGTGTTCTAGTGGAATGTACAATTAGTGTTACTAGTTCACTGCATTTGTTGAAAAAAAAAAAAATCAGAGTTTTTCTTCTTTTTTTTGTTTTTTGCTGGTACATATAGTGTTAAACTAAAGATATTTAACCAACTTACTTGGTTAAATATCTTTCACCTATTATATGCTTAAATATTAGCGTATAATAGGTGAAAGATTTGTCTGGAAAATGTAATCATTATGAATCTGTTGAAACAGTACTCATACTCTATGTGGTATGGTGCACTATGTAACTTTTCTGAGTCTGCCACCTGCTTGTCTCCATGAAGATATTATTGTTTTGTCTAGAATGTTCCACAGTATAGATTAACCCTATTATCCCCAATTATCTGACACAAGGGAGAAAAGCAGGTTACAGCACTACTATGCATTACAAATCAGATCTGTGGAGAGTCACCTCTATTCCTAGAAAGAATTAATGTATTTTAGAGCAACAGACCCTCCCGTAATGAATAAATGCTAGCTGGATATGTTAATTAAATGTTAATTAATATGTGTAGTTAAGTCTTGATCTAGACTTGGTTTGGTTCTGTTCCAGGTTTGGCCCCAGTTTAGACTTAATTTCAATGTGAGTGTGAATGCAGCACTGAGAGTATTCTTTACTGCATTGTCAGTGGCCAAATAGTTCATCTTATCAGTCACTATCTCCCTTTCACTGTATTGACCGATTGACATTGTCACTGTAGTTGTTTGTCCAAGAAGATAACCCTGAAATTAATCGTTTTGAGATAAGTGTGAGTTGTATTTTGTTTTGTTAGGATCCCAGAGCTGTTGACGTGGATGAAAGATTTATTTAAGAGTCTTCACAATCCTCCGAACCCTCACACAGAAATGTGTGTGACCACGGGCAGCCAAGAGGGGCTCTGTAAGGTAAATTTATCATAAGTAGTTCAGCAATACTTTATAATAACTACACCTTAAGTAGCCTTAATAAAGCATGAAGAAAGATTTAATTCATAATGAACACATTTATTAAGAATGATGCTTTGTTTATACTTTAATATCCTACCACTAACTCCCAATCAACTAATTAAGCAGTTACCAAGCCATATTATTCTTAATAAACTATTTGTTCATCATAAATTAAGTCTTAATACACACTTTATTAAGACTGTAGATGGTGTGTAGTTATTAAACTGTTACCAGATGTCCAAAAAAATATCTGAGACGATAGTCTGAAAAGAAAGTTTAACCAGAATGCTATAATATAATATATAATATGTTATAATAATGTTAAAAGCTCTAAAGACTTTGTATGTGATTATCAGTATAACATTATTTATGTGTTCAATTCTGAAGGTGTTTGAGATGTTGGTGAATCCTGGAGATAATGTTTTGCTTGATGCTCCGACATACTCGGGCACTCTTGCCGCGGTAAGAAGTGTTTTAATGTTTTCAATATTAATAGTTATTTTAGCCCCCCACACCATATTTTCTACTTTTTCCATTTGTGCTCTAGATATAATATCATTTTGAAGTAATAGTACTTTTACTTTTTTTTAAACATCTAAACACTGACTAAAATGTGCTATCTTGTTTCTTTTATTGCTTTTTCAATTTTTCCACCTTTGTAAAGAAAAAACAAAACACTGACATAAATTAAGTGTTGTGTGTGTGTCCAAACAGTTAATCTGTCCAATCTTTTTTTTTACGTGTGTTTGTTTTTTAATCAGTATTTTACTTTCACTGAAGTTTAATTTCTTTCTACTTTTTCCACTCCTCAGTATTGTTCTTTTATAATTATAGAGGTCTATATAATTGAGTTGAGTCAAAATTCATATTGTTGTTTCCTGAATAGCTATACACTTTTATTTTAACATTTTGTAGGGTTTTCTGAATGCTTTAGGTTTACTAGTTTATGAGCAAATCTCTTCTTCATCTTCAGAAATTGGTGCCATTATTCAACTCTAAAGGTGTGATTATTTTTAGATAAAAAACATGAAGCCATAGAGTGATATGGCAAGTTTGTGACCCACTTTCAAATAAATTGTGAAAAGGATTTTCATTTTGGAGATTTATTTGAAAAATAGTAAACTTAGAACATGGACTATTTCAGATCTCTTGTTTTCTAAACGAATTCTATCCTCTCTCTCTCCAGCTGCAGCCTCTTGGTTGTAACCTCATAAACGTTGCGAGTGATGAACACGGGATGGACCCTGAGGCGCTGAGGCTGGTCCTCTCTCGCTGGAGTCCATCTGATGTCCACAAACCGAACAGCTCGGTCCCCAAAGTCCTGTACACCATCCCCAACGGAGGCAACCCCACTGGGGCCTCCATGACCGAGCAACGCAAGAGAGACGTCTACCAGGTGGGCTGAGTTTGTTCTTAAGGTACAGAGTAGGATCTACTTAAAGTTTGTATTAAAGGCGCACTATGCCAGTTTCGTGGGTTGGGGTCCAGCATGGAGATGGATTCACCTGAACTATATGCCGTTAATGTAAATCAACTCTCCACAGATTTGTAATGCGGTCTGGTGAGTGACGTCACCTGTTTGCCTCCATAGATATATTTAATGCCATACTGTGTAACATTAATCTAAATAAAGCAATAACTATGGAACGATAATATTAGCCGGTGATAACAAAAGATTTCACAGTTGTTTGGTCATGTTGTCAATAATTGTTAAATTGTGACATCTGTTCTCACAATAATTGACCACAAAATGTTAATATTGTGACATCCCTACTGCTAACCCTACAACCTACAAACAATAGAAAATCTAAACCTTAGTTGCACATACATTTTTAGTAAAATTTTTACAAGACAAGGCCATTTCTTTAGATTTTTAAAGGTATTTCTAATTCCAGCTGGCACAGCAGTACGACATGCTTATCATTGAAGACGACCCCTACTATTTCTTGCAGTTTGACAAGGTATAGTGTATAAAATGTACCTAATATCAATTTTAATCTGATTTATAGAAGCCAATTGGTTTAAAATCCTTTGTAATATTTGAGTACAGCCCTGGGCCCCCACGTTCCTCTCCATGGACGTCGATGGGCGAGTGATTCGAACAGACTCGTTCTCCAAAATTCTCTCCTCGGGGTGAGTCTTTTCTTCTGGGGTTTGTTTGTAATTTTATTTCTCTCTTTGATTGGTATGATAACCCGTGTGTAGCTGCGTGTATGGTTATTTGAAAATACAAAAACTACATACAATAGAAACTATATAACTTCCATGCATCATTCATACATAAAATTATAGTCACAAGTTAGCCAGCATTAGCCAACAGTTTTTCAGTCACTCCCACATTTTTGTTGAAAATCAAACACATAAACAGGAACATGAACACTCGTATTGATCACAGGCTCCTGAAGATGTGCTGTTTTAATCCATTTTGCATTTTTTCTTGAGTTTTCTGTCAAAACCTTTTGGCTGTGTTTGCTAATGTGTGCATTGTCTCACCATGATAACTGCTGAACATTCTGCCAATAGAGATACATGTAGAACACCCCCAGTGTAATGTCTTTGCAAAGTATCAATAACTCACAGCCCTGCAAATCCAGATAATCCCTCAAATAGGTATTCCTGACCAAGATCCTGGTGGAAGAAGTGAGTTTAGGGACATCTAGTGGCAGTAAATGATTAGGACAAATGTCACTATTTTAACTATAAAAGCTTGTTTGTTACAGTTTAGTTTGCAATTTGTGGATAATGAATACTCTAGAATACTTTTATTATCCTGTAATATAAAACGCAAAATCTTTAATCCTCCAACATCTGATATTTAGCAACGTTTACTGCTTTCCATATTCTCTGCTCTGATCTCAAACTAGTCCAAACATGATTGCAGGTTATTGTTGTGTTTACAGACTAATTACTTGGAGCGGCACCCTGTTCCACTGTCAAAGAGAAGATGCCTCGGATGGTTTAACTGTCTTGCAAAATATGTTGTCTCTGTGTTTCAGGTTAAGACTTGGGTTTGTCACTGGGCCAAAGCCTTTGGTGGAGAGAGTGGTGCTGCACATTCAGGCCTCTACAATGCACACAAGCTCTTTTACTCAGGTAACAGGGTCAACTGAAAACAATTATATTTTATTTTTGTAAATGTCTACTACTCAATACTTTTACAGCTTTTGTACCACCTCTGCTGCCCAAGTCTAATCAGGAAGTAAAATGATAAGCGTCACCATTTTGCCTTATATTTACACTAGAGATAGATAAATATTTGCTCTGTTTAGCTCATTGGTTATCGGCCTTAAATCCCCAGCAGAGAATCTTTTGTTTGTGCCGTCCAGCTGTGTAAATAAAGCTTTATTTGAACACATCACTACAAAGAGGAAAGTGTACAAAATGTGACTCTCTTGTAGTTTGAAGATTATATAATTTGGGGAAAATAATCAAAATCATCTGTCTGTACTGACTGAAAAATATCACTTTAAGTATCAGTTGTCCATAAAAAATCCTTAAAATATCCTATACTGGTTGATTTTTAATTTACATTGTAGTAACTTGAGCATTTGTCCTTCAGTTGATGGTGTCCCAGTTGCTGCACAGTTGGGGTGAACAGGGTTTCCTCCAACATATCGACGGGTAAGTGCAACATGGTTTTTCTGTTACAAAAATACAAATACCAAACTTTTTATTAAAGAACAAGAAGCGTGTTTATAATTTACTTTTATTACTATCTCCTCAGGGTCATAGAGTTTTACAAGAAGCAGAAAGACGCCATGGTCAGCTCTGCAGAGAAGTGGCTTAAAGGTTTGTTTTGAAAATGACATCGTTCAATTTTGAGTCAAAATAAAGGTGCTCTATGTTACTTTTCTGGTGGACTGACTGCTCATTGACTGCTTGTTTCATGGAGATTTGCCCAGAATTTTCCACAGTCTGGCATTAAATTTATCACTCTCCATGGAGGCAGGTAGGAGATGCCACCAGGCCAGGTCAGATTTGTAGAGAGGCAACCCCACTTCCACTAAAAATGTGTGTTTTTTAAGGTATTTTGATCAACAGTTTAAGTTAAATGCAAATTAATAAATGCAAGATAGACACAAGATAGTTACATAATGCACATTTTAATATTTTTATTTCTGAAATGAAAGAGAAGTGTATGTTTTTATTTGCCTAAAAAGTCAAATTTACACTAGATTATATTTAGTTTTCTCCTGACTAAAATACTTGACTACTCTGCCCTCTTGTGGCCGGTTTTGATTTGCATGTTTTGAATTACAGCATAATCCCTAAATCTGTTATGTACACAGATGTGGCAGAGTGGCACGCCCCAAAGGCGGGGATGTTCCTGTGGATCAAATTAAAGGGAATCACTGACACACACAAGCTGATACTGGAAAAGGCGCTGGAGAAAGAGGTGAAATAGTCAGTGAAATGAGAAGTCTAACCTGTCAAATGGACTTTAATCGTAAAATACCTAAATGTTTGTGATTGGTTTTGGTATTGGTAGTGACATGACTGATAATTCTGTCAGTCTGTGTAATTTTGTACAATAATTTGGAAACTTTAGGAGCCCAAGACACAACTTATGACGTAGACGAGGATTGTGCAATTAAAATTTAATCAAGATGACTTTTTTTTTTCTTTTTATCGTGAGGTCCACAGCCAATCCTTGTGTAAAAGCTTGTTGTTTAGAGCAGAGTTCAAACTTGGAGGGACTTTTGGCAAAAGTCCTTGTTTATATTCAGGAAATTAATATTGAGAGCCAGTTTTATTTGTTTTTAAAGGAAAAAAATATAATTAATTAAAAAACTAGATTGATTAATATGCAGAAAACCTCTATTTCCACTCATTTATTGAATGATTTTTTACATTAAGAAACAATTTTACATCCTACACAATACACCAATAATAGTAGAAAGCACTGTACATAAGTGAAGTACCCAGAATGCATCAGTGCCCTCTGTGCCCAAGCGTAAAAGCCATATGGACATGTTATTGCTGGAAACAGTGTAGGTTGGTGATTAAAACCTGTCATTACTGTTAAGAGCGAGTGGGTTTAGAGACCAACAGCAGCGTCTGAAAATCTCTGTAAATACATGAGTAGGCAGAGGATAAGAGTCTAATCCTCAACATTCTTCAGCTCAAAACTTCAAGGGGAATTTCCTGTCTAATTAATGTCCTCCTCTCAGATGGAGCTAAAAGTCCTGTCATTATTATATAGTAAATATTCATATTATATTATATTCATAAGAAATTCCATAAGAAAAAACTTAAATATTGAACCAAATCATTTCTAATAGTGACATACCACAAAATCACCATGTCTATTTCCATCCCATTAAGCTCATATACTGTAAAATGAAGATGCCTTTGGGTTAGTGATAATGAATGCAGTTCCCAGTTTCTTTGACCCTAATAGACTGTTGATTGCTAATTTATCAGGTCAGTCATTTTTAAACACCCCCTTTGCCATGTAAGAGCCACCTCCCTATTGTTTCTGTCTAGGTTGTTTTCCATTTAACCTGTACCATTTCTGTTTGTTTGTTGTTGAAGGTACTGCTTGTTCCTGGAGGAGTTTTTATGATCAACAGCAGTGAACCCTGCGCCTATGTGCGAGCTGCTTTCTCCCTCTCGTCTCCAGAACAAATGGATGAGGTACAACTATTGTTTAATTACAAAAATACTGTGTAACATAATGGCATCTGACTAGGGCTGATTTGGGAAAATGACAAAGAGACTGAAATATGAACTGACAAACTAATACAAGAATAAGATTTCAGGGCATACAGATCTAAACTACAGTGTTAGCATTTTTTAATGCAGAATAACACTGGATATTTTAATGTTTGTGGAGGAATGGTTTTTGAAAAAATGCTGAACACTGAATTATCTGCAACTAATCATGTTAATTAGTCAAAAAAAATATATATATTATTCATCAGATTGCAAAAAAACTAAATGTGAGGATAAAACTATAGCTACAGACAATGAAGGGTTGTCATTAAAACAGCAATATTCTAGTCGTTTTAAAGGTACACTATAACTTTTCTGGTGATGGGTCTGCTATGCTTTTCTCCATTGCTTTGCCAAGAATGTTTCACAGTTTGGCACTAAACTTGCAGGAGGCACCACCAGAATGTTATAGGTCAAATCTGTGGGGCGGAAAAGCCAGTCACAATAACAAAGCATGTTTATTTTTGAGCAACAGGAACACCTGTTATTTACCTGTTTATGCCCTACTGTGGACATCTCGTAGCTTGATTCATTCACTTCGTAGAAACCGTCTGCTGACCTCGCAGTGTTAGAATTTGTTCGCTCAACGGTAGGCTGCCCTGGGTACTTTTTATCATTTAACCAATCGCTGCTATTTGGTAGTCACGTATGTAATGCGCCACTAACGGGGCTAACTGGTATAATAAGCTTTTCCCAAATCCTGTAGGAAGAAGGACAGTAACGTCTTTCCTCTGGATGAAATTCACCAAACATTGTCTTTATTCCGGCTTTATCCTCCATCTCGGGAATCGTTGACAACATTGAATATATGGCTCTTTGCTGATTGGCTGGTGCCTGAACTTGCACTTCCAGGGTTTTTACGATCTGTCTATTGTATTTTGATTCCTGACCTATTTGCTGTAGAGAAATGTAATTGAGCAGAGGCACTAGGTGGTGCCAGCCTGGCTACACATCTCCATGGAGACAGGCAGAAAAGTCGCATAATGCACCTTTAACTTTATGCTCAGTGGTGAAAATTAATCTTTTTTAAAGTCACGTTAAGAGTCGATACAGACTCCAGATAACTATTTATTTATATTCATCACAATGAATGCTATTAGTTGTTGTTGCAGCCCTAGTTGATATTCATTGTATTCATATTTGCATTTCATTTTCTTTGTCTTCCAGGCTTTCAGGAGACTGGCATTGCTCATCAAAGAAGCTCAGAGCTAACCAGAGACAGTATCTGAAAATGGACATGGTTAACCTGGTAAACGGGCACAAATAGGAAGTGAGCACTGGCATGATTCTGGCTCCATCGACATCGGCCCCCGATTCACTTTGCATTGAAACGTCACCCCTCTTTCCATAACTGATGATGTCCAGCTCATTTTGTTCATATTAACCCACACTACATGACCCTGGTGTTTTTATTTAGCTATTTTATTTATTAAGAAATTCCTCTTCCTAATATAGAACTCGGCTCCAAATTGACCCCATTACTGCTGCATCAGTGAGCTTCATTTGACGATGGACTCTATGGGTAACTTCACACTCCTTTAGTCCACTTCTTTATACAGTCCATGGAGCTAACCTTTTCTATTGGCATATGTTTAGGTCACTGTTGAAAATTAACTTAATATTTATCAGATTGTATTATTGTATCAAATGAGAACAAATGTCTGTAAGCCAAAGCACTACTGAATGAAGTATTATGAAGTATAGAGACAATCGGATTATGTTGTACAGACAATTAAAGATGATATTTTCCAAATATCCATTACATGTCACACTCTATTTTTTTTAATGTATTTTTACAGTAACATAGAGAGATCAATGCAAAGATCATTATACCTTTTCAGTTTACCTCACATAAATTATACAATGTTATATTTAGAAACTGTGTAAAGAAGCAGGCCTGTATTGTTCATTATTGTTGACATTTTCCTGAACTATTGTTGTTATTAGTTTTATTTAAAGAGATCAGAATGTATTGCCTTCAACTTCATATAGCTGTAATGAAATATTGACCCATTAGCTTTGGCTTTGTTAGTGTCAAAATCCATTTCACTCTACAAAAGGTCAAGTCACTCGTCAACACAAGCACTCCTTATTTTATTTAACCCTCTCAGGCTCAAATTAAGTTTTAGTATCAGGAAAAATCTGATATTTGGGGAAAATTATAATATGGGGTAGTAATATACAATTCTGACTTTTTTATCCTTTGTAAAAAAAAAAAGTATTTTGTACTTCTGGCAGGCCGTTTGCGTGTAGCCATTCTTGCACAGTCTGCATCGCCCACGTTTATCAGCATGGATGGGAGAAAAGGCTCCTGAGTAAAAAAAGCTCATATAATATGGATGTGGAAAGTAGGTAATTGGAATTTAGCTGTTGCTAATCTGCAACGCCTGCCTGGAGAGGGTTAATACAGCATTTTAAAAATTTTAGTATATGTTGTTAAAAGCCTGTGCAATTTGAAAAGATTTTAGATAAAACAACTCGCAGACATCCTATTTATTCTATCAGTTTTAGCTTTTAACTCCTAACTACAGTGCACTAGAAATAATGTGCGTAAGCAAATAACCAAAGCACAAAGGCTAATTTGCACAATCATTTGTTAATTAAATATTGGTTGAAGAATAGGAAGCGCAGTCAAGACTATGGACTGAAGTTCAACTTTTTTTTTGCTTTCTCTGTATTGTAGCCTATATAAACCATCTAAAGCTGATTAAGACTGATTAGGCCTGAAAAGGTATTTTCTTACATTCACGGGTTTCAGAATAAATATTGGCGACTTTTTGAGAACTTTTGGCACAATTGAGTATAAATATTTAATATATGTTTTAACTTATTGGTCGAAAACATTTAATTGTGAATTTAAAGTTGTTAATTAGTCCTTAAAATCCTTAAAACCCTCTTTAACTACAACTATAAACTTAAAAAAGAAAACATAATAATATAATAATGTTCTATTTATGTTTAATACTATGTGATTAAACAAATATAATAATCTTAATATCACGTATGAGCACGTTCAGGACAGTAACCATGGTAACACGTGCATATCGTTACAGCGGAAGGAAACCGCCAAATCGGAGATCGGAAAGTTCGTAACGATTCGCCTTTCCCATGTCTATTTTTAGTTTGGTATTTCTCTTAAAACCTACACAATGGTATCCTACTGTTGTATAAAGGGATGCAAAAACAGCAAAAGAAATTTTCCGAGAGATCCCGGAGTGAGTTTTCACGGGTTTCCAGTTTGGCGTAAAGACAATGTGCGCTTGTCGGAGGTGACCCGGAGGAGACGCATGGCCTGGGTAACAGCGATCAGAAGACCCGATATCACGTTTGACAAGATGCCCAAAACTGCAAAAGTCTGCTCCTTACATTTTCACAAAGGTGGGCTACGGTAGCACCAAATAGTAAAAAAAAAAAAAAAAAATCAGTTTATAAAGTTTATTATCAGTTTATTATCAGAATCGTTTATAAAATTGAAACTTAGCCTCGCAGCTAAACGTTAGGAATTTAAGAAAACCTTCAGTTTAGTTCAAAAAGTTTATTATCAATTTCCACATGAGCATCTGAAAATGTTTAATTATGTTTTCACTGTCAATCTTGTAAATTAAATAATAATACAATAAAAGGAAAAGTCCAAAGTTCTTTAGGGAGACGCAGATTCCTAGCTTCCTGGCCACATGGCGGCTAGAGAGAGGAGAGTCCAGCATCCTAACAGCCTGGTGGATGAAGCTGTTAGTGAGTGTGATGGTGCGGTAATGGAGACTCCATCACCACCCATTTTAAGGTTACGTAAAATAGGGCGAAAGTCTGGACAGGGCAGGGGTCTCCAACCTGTAGCTGGGGAGCTACAAGTAGCTCTCCACCCTCTTCTAAGTAGCTCACCAAGGGATTTCGGTTTTATACCATTGTGGTGAATAACAACAATTTCGTTAATTACTTGCCTATTACCATTGTAAATGTATAATATTAAAGCCCAACCTAGTGCACTAATAAATGGACAATGGTTTATGTTTTGTAGGCATCTAACTGTACCCAAAGGCTTGCTCTCTTTTTTATAATCGTCTCAGTTTCTTGCTGCCCCTAAAATCAGGAGCTCTCTGGCATTTTTGTTTTGTAAAGGTAGCTCACCGCAGGAAAAAGGTTGGAGACCCCTGGGCTATGGTGACCAGATTTTCAAAATCAAAAACTAGGACACCCCCAATTTGTGATGGTTAGTAATAATAAAATTGTGAATAGTAATTAAGTGCGTAATTAAGGAAAATTCGTATGCACTCGGCCCATTCACGACTAACGTGTGTCAGTATAGTCACATTTTTTGTGTTTTGGTTGTTTTTAAGCAGCTTTTCTGTATTTTATTTAAACAAATAACAATGTACGCCTCTCTTTACTGTTGGCAGGCATAAAATTTTTTAAAAATAGGGACACCAGGGACATTTCTCATATAAAACTGGGACAAATCAATGGTTTTGGATAAATCCACTGGGACAGGGGACACAGGGCTCAAAACTGGGACTGTCCTGGGGAAATAGGGACATCTGGTCACCCTACATTTGTATTTTAACTATTATCTTTGTATGTATGTTTTTCCAGGCAAACCTAATTATTGGACTGAATCAGATCTGGACTGGGCACCATCTCTGAACTTGGGCTACAGCGTCACTCCCCTAGCACCACCAAACCGCGTTCTGCAACCACAGAGCACCTGCTTAGAACAGATCACTCCACCTTTTGAAGCAGTCGTCATAGGTGAAAATATGGAATGGAACAAACAAGTGGTGGAGTGTGCAAGCTGTGTGCAAAAACACACTGAAATACAGAGACTTCTAGTTGAATTACAGGCTCTGAAGTCTTACCAAGTGAATGAATGCTACCTCTATAAATGTAGACACAATGAAATCAACCATTTGTTAGAGGAAAACCATCTCCTCAGAAGTAATCTTGAAAATTCGAAAATGGAGGAATCCTTTATTCTAGGCGACAATGAGAAAGTCCGATATTACACAGGACTGCCAGACTCGGATACTTTTGAGGCCTTGCTGAATACTGTTGCTCCACACCTCCCTCAAAACATCAACAGCTGGTCTCCGTATCAGATGTTTTTGTTCACCTTTACGCATCTGAGGTTGAACTTGCCTCTCAAATACCTGATCTACCAATTTCAGACAACCAGAAGCAGGGCACTTATGGCAATCACTCACACAATTTCTGTTTTGCACGCCCAGTTTAGTCACGCAGTCCAGTGGCCCTGCCGGAGAGCCATGAAGTTCGATTTAACTGGGTTTTTTGAGTCTTCTGGCGTTCACGTGGCTGTGATGGTGGATATTTTTGGTATAACTACGCTCCATGGTACAACAGTGAAATACATGATCAGCGCTTCACCACGAAGCAAGATAACGTTCATATCTGAAGCATTTGAGAGCAACGCCGAAGACGAAGAGATCATTGAACAAACTGGGATTCTGGAGGGGCTTTTACCTGGCGATTTGGTCCTGGCCGATCGCTTCTATGAGTTACAAGAAAATAATGGACGGAAATGTTTGAAAGTCTTACCCAAAAACGCAGCGGAGGTGAAGAAGATTACCAATCCAAGACTCGCGGTGAAAAAAGCAGTGTTGAATATTCGGAGGTTCGCCTTTTTAACTGGACCGGTGCCTCACATTATGCTCCGTTCAAGTGAGGGAGAGGAGGAGAAACTTCTGGACAAGATCGTGAAGGTGTGCTGTGCCATCACCAACATCTGGCCCCCCAAACCTACTGAGAAGACCAACACTGAGTAGAAATGAGAGAAGCTTTATTGAGTTTTAATTGGTTCATTTTTGTTATTAGCTGACACTTAATGTTCTATTGTCTGCTTTTTCCATTATATTGATGTGTTTGTTTCCATTTATCAAAGCTTGAGACAGGCATTTAGAGTGGCCTTGCTGAGGCCAGATAGTTAAAAAGTTGAAAAAAATTAAAAAAAATTGTTATGTGCAATTTTATTTTATTTTTTTGCACTATTTTGTTCTGTGTTTACATTTGACATCTGTTAATGTTTCAGTTCAATGTTTTGATATTTTTCAGTATTTTTGCCACTTTTTTCAAAAATAACACTTGTTGATGTTCATATATATATATGAATTTCAATAAAAATCTGTTTTCTCAGTTAACAGGCCTAATGTTTAAATGTATATATTTACCGTTGTTTTGTCATGTTTTTAGCTTACATCAAGACAAGAAGTATTGTAAGGTTGTTTGTTGTTGGGATAATATTTCTGCTATGACCTAAACCAAAACAAAACTGAGGCTTATAAAAAATTGAGCATACTTTACCTTGAAATTGTTATGTTATTGCTTTACCTGAAATCTTCCACAGTATGGCATTAAACGTAGCCCTACCCACGGAGATAAGCTGGTGGTGCCATCAGGTCGAGTTACAGGTCACGTCAGTGGAGAGGTGACACTGCTCACTCACTGTAAGAAGGCATGTTTTTCCAGGTATTCTTTGTTTTTTTGTTTCCTCATCACAAACAGGCCACCTGGAGTTGTGTTTTATTTCATTAACTCTCAAATCCTTGCATATTTAGGCTGAGTTCTTCTCTTAAACTAGGGTGACCAGACGTTCTTATTTACTCGGGACAGTCCCAGTTTTGAGCCCTGTGTCCCCTGTCCCAGCAGATATATGCAAAACCAGTGATTTGTCCTATTTTTAACCAACAGAAAAGAGAGGCATTCATTGTCATTTGTTTAGGTAAAATACTTAAAAATTATCAAAATTAGGGTGACCAAATTTTCAAAATAAAAAACTGGGACATCTCCATTTGTTTAGTGGTTGGTAATAATAAAACTGAAACAAGCGCATAATTAAGGCAAATTGTTATCCAAAGACCATTCATGACTAACGTGAGTTTATATAGTCACATCTTATTTGTATTTTGGTAATTTTTAGGCAGCTTTTCTGTATTTTACCTGACCAAATGACAGTTTATGTCTGTCTTTACTGTTGGCAGGTATCAAACTGGTTAAATATAGGGACATTTCTTGTTTAAAACTGGGACAAATCACAGGTTTTGGATAAATATACTGGGACAGGGGACACAGGGCTCAAATTTGGGAATGTCCCGGGAAAATAGGAACGTCTGGTCAGCCTAGTTTTGTTTATTTTTAAGCAGCTTTTCTGTATTTTACCTAAACAAATCACAATGTATGCCTCTCTACTGTTGGCAGGTATCAAATTGGTCAGAAATGGGGGCAACTAGGACATTTCTTGTATAAAACTGGGACAAATCACTGGTTTTGGATAAATATACTGGGACAGGGAACACAGGGCTCAAAAGTGGGACTGTCCCGAGGGAAAAGGGACGTGTGGTCACCCTAGTTTAAAGTTTTAAAGGTGCACTCAGCGTTATTCCCTCTTGCACCTTTGACACAGTTCTCTCCGCTCCTCCCCGCTCCTCTGTGCAGTACAAACTCGCTGTTGCTCACACATTATCATTACACAGCAGCGGGAGGAGGGCGAGGATGCGGAGAAACAGCTAACCACAGCCTTCCCTAACACCGGAGCTCCCTTTGCCACCGAAAAACCCCGGCCTGGACCCAAAACGTGAGTGTTTAAACAATAAATCACCCCTGATCTTTACCATTTTAGCTCAGAATTAGCCTTTAGCATCCACGTCGCTATGCGTAACGATACGAGCAGCGCTGTCCCCCAAGAGCAGATTTTCCGAGTAAAATCCAATATTTTCCACAATCCAACAAAGCGAAATGCTTGTAATATTCAAGCTATGAATCGCGTTCGTAAATGTAGAAAAAAACATTTACGCCGCTTGTAAACAATTGTGGACGTGTATAGCGATAAAGAACCCTCATCCAGATATTAGACGGTTCCCCCTCAGTATTTATTCATTTTTATCTACTTAAAACCACGTCATTTTCATCAAATACGTCATTTTGGTCTTAAATACTACGATCAGATATGTGACATTGACTGTATATATTTTGGTTAGTTAATTCTTTTTTTAAGCAAAGAAATACACTAGTTGATCCGGAGATTAGACGGCGCCCCCTTTGCACCGTTATATGGCACACTGCTGCTTTGTTAGCACTTTTACAATCTGCTCTTTTCCTCTACATAATATAAATAAAAATCACTGCCTCAGCAAGAATCTAAGTCAATATGTGAAAAAAATATTAAGGCCAATACAATATATTAGTGCTAATACGTGTCAAAAACAAATAAGGAACTGATAATGGCTTTATACGTAGAACAAAACAAAAATATATCTAAATAGTTGTTGTAACATATGTTTTAAAATTCTCTGCCCAGCCAAAAAACATTATTTCTGGAATTCATCTGACCTAAAAAATGTATACCACCTAGATAGCTATAATTTATCATATCATTGTTGCACTGTCTTCCTAAGATTTTATGTTTTATTACTTGTTTTTCTATTTTATTTTGGCTTGTACATTAACATTTATATAATTAAGTCTTATTTTACACCTGTCTCTTGCTATCTTTTTTTTGTTACTTATTTAGAATTTATTAGGGATGTAACAATAACTGAAATATCCTGATATCGTATCATCAAAAGTCTCACAATAATATCATGGGCTGTCACAATATATTGAATTACAAGTTCTTTTGCTTAAATGCATGGTTTTATAGTAACAACAGTTTATAAACATCAGAAACTACATATCCCATGATTCATTTCAGTGCAGACAACATGAAGAAATATGTTTTTTAATTGAATTCTTGGGATTATGATGGAAATAATTCACACCAAAATCTTGTCAAGGTATTTTAAAAGCAAAAAAGTCCTATTTTCAATTACATTAGTCTCTTCAAAATATTGCAATAAATATCATACCGTGAGATGCATATCGTGATAATATCGTACAGAGAGATTTAGATATCGTTATATTCCTACAATTTATTATTACCATTTATATGTTTTACTCTGTTATTATCTTATATTGTGATGTGTGAGCTACTGTGTCCAAGTAATTTCCCCTGTGGATCAATAAAATCTAATTTTTTGATAAATCTATACTTTGACAAACCTGAAGCCAAGCGTGATCGGACAGTTAACAATTCACATTTTACTGCTTTGTTATCTTTTATGACCATTTACACAGCAGCTTATCTCTAACCATGTGTTGTGATTTTTATAGTCTTGTATTTGTTCTTTCTGAATAATAACTAATTCAACTATTATTTTTCCCTGTTCTTCCAGTGACATGCATCAAATTCAGATGGCCCTAACCAAGCTGCCTTCCTTCGTAAAGAGATAGTGAGTCAATGGCGTCCTTGGGGCAATGAGAGACTCTTCTCTTTGGCCTGAAGCGCTGATAACTGGAGAAAATGTCCCGGTCTATTCATTACGGGGGAGTCTGTTGCCTATTCTTTTTGGTCTTGGCGTCCTGTATGACCTCCCTAACCAGCGCGGCCTTGGTTTCGGACACAAATCGCACGGAAAATGGCGTTCAGAATCAGAATGCTAGTACATGGAGAGATGAAGGGCTAGTCCCAGCAGCGCACAACAAAGTGAGCCAGATAATTGCCCGAGAGGGGAGTTGCGTGCTGATTGATTGTAATGTCACCGGAGAGCCGTTCCCCAATGTGTGGTGGTTCAATTCCCACGGAGAGAGGCTGGACACTGACAACGGTAAGCCAAAACACAGACAGCACTGACATACTAAACCTGGGGCTACCTTACACAGATTGGATTACATGAGCCAGTGGGTCAGTTTAACAGGACAATATGTAATTTTTGTAGGTGGAAGGTCTGAAAGCTTATATTCTATGGAGATGTTGTTATTTTGGCTTTAAAGTTTCACAAAGTTATATTAAACAGGGCAATCTCCATAGACACAAGCAAGACACTCCAACAAATCAAGTATTTTTGTCAGTAAAACACCAGTTTTTTAGAAGGAACATAGTACTGATGTTAATGGTTTGTCTGGAATGTTCCACAGTATAGCATAAACTTCTTAACACCAGAAAAGTTAGTGCACATTTAAACCGTAAAGACAAGAGTTTGTGCTAATTTTTGCTTCGATATGAAATACCTCTTTATTATAGACTCCAATATTTTTATTCACTAATTTTTTTGTGTCATTATCAGTTTAAAAAGCAAGAATATATACAATATAAACATAACATGGTCATTGGTCAATAAATATTAATATAAAAATAAAATATATTACGTTATTTTGTATTTTATTGAAGTACTGGCCTTGAGTGATATGAAAGTATTTAGATTTTAAAAACAGTATTCATCCTCTGTATTTGTACAAGGTAATAATGATGTGATCCACTGTCTTAACTTTGTGATATCTTCAGGAACAAGATATGTAGTGGGAGATATGTAGTAGTACAAGTAGTTGTAGTACTCCTTTGTTCTAATCTGAAAAAGGCACTTGTGACTTTAACTGACTTGAAATCTGTTTCACCCAGTTCTTTAAGGTCAGGTGTTTGTTGGTTTTGGAGGTTGTTCAGTGCCACTGCGAGTTAAAGTTTTACATCTCAAAGGTTTTAGTGCAGGAAGAAAAATGCATTTTACAACAACGCACAGAAATGTTAAGGAATCTTCAAATTGACTTAAAGATTTGTATTGCTGGTCAAAAACTTTATTGTATTGGCTAATATTTGCTCTGTTACTATTGTTATTTTATTATTATACATTAATTCATATTTTAGCAATATTATATTTTATAATTATTGTGTTTTGATCATTTACTGCCTGTTTTCAGCCACCATTGTGAAAGAAATATGTGAAAAAACTTGGAAAGGTTGATCCGAAGTCCATATGATCTTAGAGGAAATATGGTGCCTAATATCAGCAAAATTTGTAATATCAGACCAATCTAATATCCCCCCTTTGATTTCGCTGATACTTGTATTGGAACTCTTCTCCGCCTTTCGAATTGTTCTTGTTGAATGGTGCAAACATGAAAGATGCAGTTTTCACTCAGACAGGGCTCTGTTTGTCTCTAGAGGAATGCGGAAACCTTTTGAGAGAGACTTGTTGAAACACGTCTTTGTTTTAAACCCATTCACCATGACTCTGGAGTTTCTTCTTAGTGTTTGACTTTGATCTTAACTTACTGTATTTTTTTTTTTTTTATTAGTTACAAATCCTCAAGTTGTTTCAGTGTTTTAAACTGAGTTAGCACATTTTAAAGAATCACTGACTTATGTTATATACTCCAGTCATATGATTTTTATAGCCAAAATCATATTTTGCTTTTTGTTTGATTACACAGCCCTATAGGAAAAGTGCATAATTTGTCACTCGATACGATGTGTTTGTGTTGATCAGATGAACTTGAGGTTATTTTACTGCTTCATTTTTAGGTGCCGATGTCGCCCTAGTCTCTAATTTGTAAGATGGTCTAAGGATGCTGTTAAGAATGGGTCCTGGTTTAGTCTGGATATTAGAGCTGGGTATCATTCAGAAATTGCCACGATACACAGGCCACAATACGATACATATCTTGGTACAGTGAGCTTTCGATTCAGTTCGATATATTTCAAATGGATCCGATACGGTTCAATAAAAAATAAAGGCTAAATCATGGCTGTGATACTAAAAGTCTTTGTTAAACCATGTCTTGTGCAAAATTAACATGAAACACACCCATTTTAATCATCAAAATTGTGAAAATGTCAAATGTGTTGCATAAACAAGTTTCCTCCCTCTGAACAAGCAACAAAACTGTAGCTCTGTAACAAAATAATTTAGTAAAATATACACACTCCTACTGGATATAGACTTGGTTTGGTCCTGTCCTAGTCCAGGTTTAGTCCCAGTTTAGTTCCATGTCTATAAGCCTGATATCATTCCTGTTGTGTATGGCCCAGTCCCCCGTGTCTCTAGGTATTATCGGTCATTTCCTCTCATCAGAGGACATAATGGAGGCGGATGGAGCGACTTCCTGAACCTCACACACTCTGGGCTCTTTCCATTAGAGCTGAATTTGTTTCTGCTTTACTCCAGTCTTATGTTTCATGTGGTCTGTCGGTGTCAAGGGCTTTGTTATGGCAACACATAATCCTTTAATTAAATAACAACATGTCAGACTTGTTTGAAGGAGAGCCAGACACCTGCTGGTCTACATGGAGATGTTATTGCTTTGCCGCAGGTCCCACAGTATGGCATTAAAACATATTGTAGCATCCAGTTGAATTGAGAAGGCCATTAAAACCAACGTAAGAGCTACACAAGAACAAAATAACAGATCACTGTGTTACTAGCTCATTACATTATACAACTTTTAACTGTTATTTATATTTTAACATTACTTTAGTACAAATTACAAGTTATTCAAATATACATTCACAAATAAAACAAGGCTTATTCCCTGATTGTTGCGATCTTTAAGTTTTACATAACTTTTCACCTTTGTTTTTGTTTCTCACCGTTAACCGTTGCTGTCATCCGTCACTTCCTCTCACATAGGAAGTCACCAAAATAAAAACCTTACTATTAAATGCCATGGACTGGATGTTAATGTATATAACAGCTAACGTCACCTTTACATATATTCTCCATGGATACAAGTAGTAGTAGTTGTAGTAGTTGTAGTTTTAGTAGTTGTTGTTGTCTTAGTAGTTGTTGTTGTCTTAGTAGTTGGTAGTAGTTGGTAGTAGTAGTAGTTGCAGTTGTGGTTGTACTTGTAGTAGTAGTAGTTGTTGTTAGTTGTAGTAGTAATTGTAGCTGTAGTAGCTGTAGTAGTTGTTGTAGTTATGTAGTAGTAGTTGCAGTTGTTGTTGTAGTAGCTGTAGTAGCTGGTGTAGTAGTAGTCGTTGTTCTTAGTTGTAGTCGTAATAGTAGTAGTAGTTGTAGTCGTAATAGTAGTAGTAGTTGTAGTCGTAATAGTAGTAGTAGTTGTAGTCGTAATAGTAGTAGTAGTCGTAGTTGTAGTCGTAGTAGTAGTAGTAGTAGTAGTAGTAGTAGTAGTAGTAGTAGTAGTAGTAGTAGTTAGTAGTAGTAGGTAGTAGTAGTAGTAGTAGTAGTAGTAGTAGTAGTAGTAGTAGTAGTAGTAGTAGTAGTGGTAGTAGTAGTGGTAGTAGTAGTAGTAGTAGTAGTATTAGTACTGTTAGTAGTAGTAGTATAAATGCAATATTAATTTAATGCTGAATTGTGGAACATTCCAGACAAAGCAACAGAAAAATTGGCACAGAGCATCTTTAATGAGCATTTGGTTCTGTTGAAAATGTGTCCTATCCACAGATCTGACCTGTAACTTGTCTTCATGAAGATACAGTTAATGGTTTTGTACATTATGTTCCAGTTACGAGGCGTTTGTGCCCTGAGATCTATGACCTTATAACTCGCTCTAATAGAATATTGATTGTACAGTTTGTCCATCCATCGTGTTGCCCCGTTTAGACCAGAGACCGAGTCATTTCTCATCTCCTCAGTCGATAAGTCAGTCTACCTTGAACAAGACCTTCAATAACAATCTTGAATGTTATTTTTGAGCAGATGTAGTTACTTTTATGCAGCTTTTGTACAGATTTTCAAAATATCAAAAATATTAATATATCATAAATCATAATTCAAAAATATCGATATATCATATAGTTTAATGTGACGATACAGTATCAATATCGTAGGCTGCTGTATCGATATATCACCAAGAGTATTTTTTGGTATATTTTACTAAATTATTTTGTTACAGCGCTACAGTTTTGTTGCTTGTTCTGTGAAAAGAAACTTGTTTATGCGACACATTTGACATTTTCACTGTTTTGATGAGTAAAATGTTTGTGTTTCATATGAATTTTGCACAAGAAGTGGTTTAACAAAGACTTTTAGTATCACAGCCATCATTATCGAATCGAAAGCTCACTGTATTGACATATGTATTGTATTGTGGCCTGTGTATCGATGTATGTATCGTATTGGCAACTTCTGAATGATACCCAGCCCTACACAGTATTACAGAGGGTTCCCATGGTCATGAAAATCCTAGAAAAGTCGTGGAAACTGAAAATGTAATTTTCCAGGCCTCTTTCACGCAACTACAGCTTTCTGTTAAGTTATCATTTTCTATTTATATTTTGAATAAACTATAATATCAGACCATAAGGTGAGTGGAAAGGGTTAACATCATATTTAGCCCTAAAAGTCTGATCAATTCTACACATGTAGAGTGTTGTAAAGTCATGGAAAATTCACTTTAGGTCATGAAAAAGTCATGGAAAAGTTTTGAAATTTGTCAGTGAAAAAAAGTGGGAACCCTGATTACATAAAATTCTTTATAATTAAGGACAGACAGTATAGAGCTGTGTAAATTCTAACTAAAGAACTGTTTATACGATACATAATTCTGTTCAACTCTATGAACAAAAATCAGACTCAGACATTTAAAAGCCGCCATCCACATGTTTCTTTGAATTTTTTGACACCGATAGATATGAAACCTGCCCCCGCCCCTCACCTGTGCTCTCTGCTCTTCTTCTGATGCCTAGTGGTGATATGTGAGAATACAACAAGAGTGGATCGGTCGCTTTAAATGCCACAAATCTGTTATAATAAAACAAAAATAACCCGTCTCTTCCTCTTGTGTTTTTCAGGTGGAAAGTGGTGGCTGCTGGACAATGGCGTCTTGAACATCTCAGATATCGAGTTTTCAGACCGGGGCAAATACACGTGCGTCGCCTCCAACGTCCACGGCACCTCCAACTGCACCGTCACCCTGCGCGTGGTCTTCACTAACGGAGATATGGGGGTGTACTACATGGTGGTCTGTCTGGTCACCTTCACCATCATCATGATAATGAACGTGACGCGCCTTTGCATGATGAGCAGCCATTTGAAGAAAACCGAAAAAGCCATTAACGAATTCTTCCGCACTGAGGGAGCCGAGAAGCTACAGAAGGCGTTCGAGATCGCCAAACGCATCCCGATAATCACATCGGCGAAGACTTTGGAGCTAGCGAAGGTGACGCAGTTTAAGACGATGGAGTTTGCGCGGTACATTGAAGAGCTGGCACGTAGCATTCCACTCCCACCGCTAATCATGAACTGCCGCACCCTGGTGGAGGAGATTTTGGAGGTGGTGGGCGTGGAGGAGATGCGGCACGCGGCGGGGAGAATCGCCATGGGACCGCGCGACGTTTTCAGCATCCTCCAAGAACGGCACGAACGGGAAACACGAGCGCGGGAAAGGAGCGAATCCCCCGCCGCCGATTCCGATAACTCCTCCGCGCACGAGCAGCCGCAGCTCATGGCCATACAAGTGTCAGTGCACCCCCCGCTGGTCACAGGAGAGTACTGCAGCGTCGAACAGGAGCCAACACAACCTCCGCCCGAGACAGTTAACTCCGAAATTCCCCCTCTGGCCCCACTCCTGCAGGAAGAGCCCGAGGAACAACCACCCCCTCAGCCCGTTCAGGTGTTCTACGAGAGCCATGTCTAAACCTGCTATGCATTTCACTGTAGACAAAAAAAACTCCACTCTCCAATCACATTTCAGTTCTCCATCTTGAATGTACTTGAAAAAGGTGATTTCTGCTGTTGAACTAATGTAATAAGCGAAGAATTGTAACAGGACTTAACGTTAAGTGTCGAGGATAACGGCAAACGTAATATTTTGACCACTTGACTCAACAGGTCTGGAAGCGAAATGTCCTTCAAAGAATTCAAAAGTTTAATGGAGCTTTACTATAAAACACATTTTACTTAGAATATGTTAAATTTCATAAGCCTGAATTATAAATGTATTTAAAAGACTTCATCATACCCAGAAATTTGTCTGGGAACCTGTTTCCAGATCTTGAGCGAGGCCCGGTCAGAACTACTTTAGCTGGAGGATTTCCTTATTGTGCATCTTTGTTTTGGGCAAAAAATTTCCCTAGGCATAGCACAAATTTAAGCTGTGGAGGTAAAGGATGAGTTTATTTCAGAAGATAGAGTATCCTTAAGTCCGCCACACCCTACAGGAGAATTTGCCTGCGTTCGTGGAAGCGTAACTTGACTTTGTGTCTGCGTGTGGGATTCTGAAGCCGCTGCGCTCCTCGTGTGTGTGTGGTGTCAGTGTCAGATTGTAACCACCAAAACATCAGCAACATTACGATAAAAGAGAGAAAACAGAGTGTCAGGGGCAAAAACGGAGTGACGGACACAGAAGCACAAGATACAAACTCGGTCCAGTTCACAAAACTGCACTTTTAATCCAGTTTGAGGCGTTCTTTAAAAGTAAAAAGGCGAGAGTAGTTCCTCACGTGTTTGTTTACATCAACACAGTGCACGGATCGAGGTGAAGCTGCAGATTAGTGATAGTGACTCTACTTCCTGTGGACTTTATCGCCAATCTTTTATGCTTTAAAAATCACGTATCTGAAGTATTGCACATTTCACAAATTATAATAACACAGTTTTGACTTGTATCTAAACTAGAAGTGCAGTGTGTCTTTTGAACACTTAAGAGTCTCATAGCGAGTTTTTTTTAATTTATTTTTTTACTGTAGACAGGAAACAGCTGATGTGATCGTGCTCACAACTTTATAGTCTGCTCCGCAAACATATCTCGTCTTTACGATCGCAGATTTCAAGTCTCATAAGATTCTCCTCGTGTCTGTTTCTGCACTTTTTGTCGCACATTTAAAAATGGTTTAAGACCAAAAAATCCTGTAGTGTGTGGCGGCCTTAAGCTGGAGGGATTTACTTCTTTGTTTTGGGTTAAAAAGGTTCCTAGGCATTGGACACATTTAAGCCCTGGAGTTTATTTCAGAAGATAAATTATCCACAAAATGAAAACACAATAACGTACAGTAAATGGATCAGTCATCACAAATTGTCAGTCAAACCCAACACCAATTTCCTGCAAATTCACAATTCTTGAAGTGCTAATTACCTGTTAGTGGTCAAAATATTATGTTTATTATGTATTTATTTTGTACACATTAAATCTGCCTCAAATCTTGGTCTTTTGCCATTTCAGACCAAGCTTTGCACCATCCACCAATCCAGCGTCATTGTAATTTCACACTCACCAGAAACATTCGCTGGATCGAAACCTCACATTTTCATGATTGTACAGCCTTGAAAACATAATCCAGGTAAAATTTGGATAGAAGTTACATTTCATTTGCGAAAGTATTAAATCATTATTATAATTATTAGCATTTGTGGTGTGTTTTAGTTTCAGCTTTTTCCTTTCCTAATGTGTGCAATTCTTTATAAGTTTTATTTCCTGAATACTTCCGCAGAGGCCTGTTACTTTTGCATGTGATCCAGACGGTCGACATCTTTGTACTGGACTGAAAAGGACTAGTTTTTCTTACTTTGTTTGGCTCAAAGTCAACAAACTCTGCTTTCACCGGTGCTCTTCAAATGCCTCTTTTGTAGTGAATAAAAAGTGCTGTGTACAGAAAGACCGACTTCATTCTTTTTTTTTTATAATTATATTACAGATTGTTCATGAAAGTAACGTATTATTTATGGTTGTATTGAACTGATTTTAAAGGTGCGCTATGTAACTTCTCCTTGCTTGTCTCCATGGCGATGGTATTGTTTTGCCTGGAATGTTTCACAGTATGTAAGGATGTATTGAATTGCAAGGTTTTTCACTTAAAAGTAGAAATGTTACGATTTACAAATCTCACGGTACGATATTTATTGCGATATTTTGAAGAGGCTAATATAATTGTAGATGGACACTTTTTTGCTTTTAAAATACATTGACAAGATTTTGGTGTGAATTATTTCCGTCATAATCCCAAGAATTCAAGTAAAAAACGCATATCTCTTCATGTTGTCTGTACTGAAATGAATCACGGGATATGTACCATATTTTCTGCACTATAGGGCGCGCTCTTAAGCCTCCAACCCCATCAAAAAACAACTGTGCGCCCCACAATCCAGAGCGCCCTATGCACGAATCCACTCAGGTGTCCCAGCACGACTTCAGTAAACTACGCACACGGAGCAGACAGCGACCGTGCAACGAAACACACCCGCAGCCACACTCATCACTCCACACCGACGAGGAACGGAACGAAGGAACGAACCGAAAAAGCGAGTGCAATGTGCCACTTCTAGACACAACTGAACGACTGAGTCACTGCGAACACGCCGACAATCCAGCGGCCCCAGACAGCACCCTCCCTACACGCCACAACTGAACAAAGCCCAGAGTCACCGTGAACGCGCCAAACAAAGTCCAACTGACGCATCTAACTGTTGTGTTTCCTTTATAGTCCGGTGCGGTTTATTTGTGAAAAAAGGTTGAAAATAGACCATTCTATGACAGTGCGCCTTATAATCCAGAGCGCCTAATAGTGCAGAAAATACAGTAGTTCCCTATGTTTATAAGCTGTTGCTACTGTAAAACCATGCATTAAAGCAAAGGAACTTGAGATTTGATATATTTTGACAGCCCATGATATTACTGTGAGACTTTTGACAATACGATATCACGATATTTCAGTTATTGTTACATCCCTGCTTAAAAGTTTTAACAAAGAGGGAACTGCATAGGCCATGGTCCTTTACTTACTTTACTTCATAATAAAATAACTTTAAGCACTTTTCAATCTTATATTTTAGGAATATGGCAGTAATGATTCACACTGAAGACTAGCCAAGGAGGTATTTAAAAAGGAAAAAATAGCATATGTACGATTCTGTTAATGCCTTCAAAATATCGCAATAAATATCGTGCTGTGAGATTTGGATATCGTCACGTCCCTAACAGTACGGCATTAAACTAAATACCAATCGGATCAGTAGTGTTGTTGACTCTGCTCACAGTAAGAAAGCAATGTCACTGTGGAACATTCTAGCCAAAGCAATGACATCTCCATGGAGACGTGCAGGTGGCAGATCAGAAAATGTTACATAATGCAGCCTTAAATACACAGAGGAACACATCCAGGATTACCACCAGATGGCATCATAAGATGGAAGCGAGCTTTTGTAACTCCAAGTAGGTTTTTGATAAAGAAGCAACTTTATAAAACACTTAAAAGTAAAAATTTTTTTTAAATATTTGTGAATATTTAGGTTAAACTGTCACTTAATCTCAATCTTTAGACCTGGACCGGACCAGCTCTGACTCTTTGTTCTCTGTCTGATGAATGATACATGGACTGAAAGACGACACTATTGTGGACACTGGACATTTTAATTATCTCCAAACAAGAGCTTCTCAGTTTACCTCAAAACTACAGAAACTCTGAAGGGACAGTTCACAATGGGCTCTGCTTATGAAACTGTCCGCACCAATCTGGAACAAACAGCCACGGTCATAAGTCAAATTTATGTTTTAGATTTAAATTTAGACAAACTTTACTGATCCACAAGAGAAATTATTTGGATTTTTTAAAGCAGGTAATAATAAAAATGTATTCAAGCCACTTAAACATAAAAAAATTAAAGTTATGTAAAACTATTTAGGTACCTGCACCTTGCTCTTATCATTTGTTGAAACTATAAATCAATAACTCACTTTTTTTGTGTTTATCTGTTATGAATTATATCATGAACCATGTCTACTATTGTTTTTTGTGGACCAAATTCTAGCCTTTTAAGACGTTTTAAGAAATGTTAACTTGAAGTATTTAACTATGATTTATCTCAGAATAAATATTTCTGGTAGATAGAAACATGCACATCCAACAAAAACTGCAACTACGTGCTTGCGCAAAAAAATATTGCAAAAAAAGAATTTTGCAGAATAAATCATTAACAGCACCTCATAAACGCTACAACCATTTAAATAAATTTTGAATAATAATATTGACATACACATTATGCAAAACTTAACCAAATCATATGTATGGCATTATTAAAAAAACACACAGGAAGTGCCATTATGAAAACATAAAGGTCTTTATTCTTACATTCTAAATACATATTGTATGACTAATATTATTAAAAACGACAAGGACCACAAGTTCAGCTTTCATTTTAATTTAAAACAAAATTTAATCTTTACATATTTTTGTTTTTCAAATGTACAATCAAACAATGTAGTAATCATACATAAAATTCTTCATATTTAATGCACAACTTTATCGACACTAGTTTCCATAAATTAAAAAAAAGGAAAAAACATCGAGATTTGTAAGAAATGTGAATGAGGCAACACGACGGTTTTACACAAATGCCGAAACACGGAATAAGGTGCCACTTTTCCCTTCAATTTTATTATTAGCACTTTGAGAAATGACTCGAGCAGAAGTTTTTTGTGTTTAAAGAATAAGCGAGGAGTAGAAATAGTGGTAATGTAGTAATAGTAGTACTTTTACTTTGTCATTTTCCTACCCACTGTTTTCAAAGTTTAGTGGACAGTACCTATATTTGCAATACACAATCTAAAAGAATAAAAAAGTACAGAATCTGAGTTTACAAATTAAAATAATGGACACTAATATTGATTAAAATAGCTTTTAATTCACAATCATAATGTTGGTATTTGAATTAAACAGCAAATTAACCCTCAGAATTTAGCTTTTTTTTTTAAAGATTTTGACAAACTTTTTCTATTCAGACAAATGGAGTGTATTTTAGTAGCAAGTTTAGCAAAAATTGTAAAAGATAATTCCAGTTTTTCCCATGTACATTGACGGAAACATGTATTAGTGCGCAGTTTTTCTCAGATACATTTTCCTTTTTTCTTCTCACACAAACGTTGCAGTCACTCACCTTCATAACGAACACTCAAGTTTGACATTGGATTTGGCTCAGCGTGGCTCGAAATTCACTCTCCCAAATAAAGACTTCACGTTTTAACTTCAGGAAGAAAATATTTCGATGGTAAAAGAAGAAAAAGTTTGGGTTTGATGATAAAATGATGAAAAATGGTAGCAAAAGATGTCGATTTTAAAGTAATAGTAGTATAGTAAGCTTCACATGTAGTTGTAGTAACAGTAGTAGTGGTTGTAGTAGTAGAATTTTATTGAAATTATTATTATTATTATTGAGAAAAGTTTGGATTTTGCTGGTTTTGTTTAAAAATGATTGGCCATGTTTAGTACCTACAAGCAACAGCTAAAACTCAACACATTAATCTACAATTTAACTTGGTAAAATATGCTATAGAAACCAATTACCCTTGAATTATTTGTTAGTTAGTCATTTATCAATTTGGGTTTAAGTGTTTAAAACTACTACAGAATCTATTGACGAGTTTAGCACCGATTTAGGCCTGGTTTAGACCTGATACAGTCCTCAGGGTTCCCACAAAATTTCAAAACTTTTCCACGACCTAAAATTAATTTTCAATTACTTTACGCACCTACACGTGTAGAATTGATCAGACTTTTAGGACTAAATATGAAATGTTAATCCTTTCCACCCACTTTATGGTTTGGTATTATAGTTTTTTAACTTCAAAATACTGTCAGTGCATTTATTGTCGTCTTTTCTTAAACAAAAGGTGCAGACGTTCGGACATAATCATAATAACTTGAAAGAGATACTAAAATTCCATGATTTTTCCAAAACTTTCACTGAATTTACAAATTTCCATGACTTTTCCATGACCGTGGGAGCCCTGAGTCCTGGATTAGACTTGATTCAGGCCTGATTTAGACCGACCTGGTTCACTGTTGGATTCTTTTAGTCCTGTTTTTCCCAGGTTGAGTGCTACTGTAATCATGACTTGGTTCCACTTTGTTTTGTTTTTTTAAGCTCACATTTGAAAAAACTAAATATTTTCAGTGATGCTACTTGGTACAAAAAGTTCAAGAACAAAAGCACAATTATTTTCTAACACAGCCAGACTTCAAAATCCCGAACAGTGATTCTCTTTTTCACTTTCTCTCACGCGTTCGTTAAAGCAGTTCCAATTCGGTCAGGCGGCTCTGATGAGGACCAAGGTGAAGGTCGAAAGGTCAAAAGGTCGTGTTCTTTTTTTTTTGGTTGCCCGTAGTAACGAGGTTGGAATGTAGCGCTAACCCGGTTGGACACAGTTCTCTCACACACACGTACGGTACTCTTATATTATTATTTCACAGGTAAACAACGAGCTCTGCAGTTTGGGGCCACTGTCACAAAATGGCTTTAGTTCCAGTTGTAAAATGTTTGACCAGTTTTAGTTCACGTTTAAATAGAAATGTAAAAAAACCCAAACATAATCAAACTTCATAACTGTTTTAATTCTCAACATATGGTAATCCACTCTTCTTGTTTTATTCGTCATTTATCCGTCTTTCTCACTATAACTTCATTGTTTGTTAAAATGTTTGATCAGTTTTAATTCAAGTTTAAATAGAAAAAGGAGTAAAAAAACAATCAAACTTCATAACTGTTTCATGCCGGACGTATACTGTGCAATATTTTTGATAAATTTCACTCAGACCAAGGTCAAACTGTACAACCAAATCACGGTTTAAAAGTTCACAGATCGTGGAACTACTTCAACAGAGCGAAACCGTCACGAGAGGCGGCTGGATTTCAAACAGGTTTGATATTCTTGTGACCTACGATTGCCGATCGGGAGCTGGTCCTGAGGTATTAATCGGTTCTCGTTACCCCATGTATACTAAATGAAGCACGACACACGATTAAGCTGAAACTCGATCCCAAAAACAGTTGCACGAGTGAAAAATCGGCTCAAAAAGTGCCAAAAATTGCACAGTGTACGCCCGGCTTTAATTCTCAAAGTTAGTAGGGTAATCCACTCTTCTTGTTTTATTTGTGAGAAGATTCGTGATTTGCTGTAGTGTCACTTCTGAAAAAAATATATTTAAAAAAAAAAAGTCTTTCTCACTATAACTACACTGTTTGTTAAAATGTTTGATCAGTTTTAATTCAAGTTTAAATAGAAATGTTATGTTTAAGGAATAAAAAACGTAATGAAACTTCATAACTGTTTAATGCCCGACATACACTGTGCGATATTTTCGATTGTTTCACTCAGTTCCAGCTCAAACTGTACGACCAAATAACAGGGTTTAATAGTTAACAGTAATTGTGAAACTACTTCAACAGTGCGAAACCGTCAAGAGAGGCAATGGGATTTCAATTCTTGCAACCTGCGATTGCCACTTGGGAGCTGGTCCTGAGGTATTAATCGGTTCTCGTTATCCCATGTTTACTACACAAAGCACGACACAGAAAACCGACTTAAAAAAAACAAAAATCACACAGTGTACGCCCGGCTTTAATTCTCAAAGTTACTACGGTAATCCAGTTTTCTTGTTTTATTCATGAGAAGGAATAAGTGATAGACTCAGTCATGGAGTAGGGCATCTGGCTTAAAAGTAACATGTGAGTGATTCACTGTAGTGTCACTTCTGAAAAAATAAGTCTTTCTCACTGTAACTATATTCATTAAATCCTCAAACTGTAACGTAAAACCGCTTATTCAAGATCCTGCTCAAAATCTGGCGCGTTTGGTTTAACCCTCATAGCACTGACTGATGTGGGGGTGTATCGATATATCGTATGGTTTAATTTGATGATACAGTATCGGTATTGTGGGCTGCTGTATCGATATATCTAGTATTTTTAGATATTTGACTAAATTGTTTTGTGTAAAAGCTACAATTATGTTGATATTTTCAATGTTTTGATGAGTAAATTTGGTGTTTTTTGTATGTAATGTTCCTCTTCTCACGATCCTGATGTGTGTTCGATTTGCAGCAATGATCATACGAGTTTTCCAGTGCCTATAAGAGTTTTTTGTTAAATGATACCTGATAACATTAACTTTGCACAAACTTAATGAACTTAGACTTTTAGTATCATAATCATGATTTAGCCTGATTTGAAGTATATCGAATTCTTAAGTGTGCTGTATCATATTGTGGCCTGTATATCGAGGTATCGGCCCAGCCCTAGACTGACGGGTCAAACGCAGAGGACACATTCACATCGGGACAATTACGTCAAAAATAAAAACAAAATAAAAAGATTGGTTGAAACTCATTTGTGACAGTGGCTCACATTGGACGGATATTTACGTTTGTGAGATTTTGGTGGTTTGTTCCTGGAGGGTTTCCTCAGTCTCTCATCGCGTCATTGTTTCTGCGTTTCATCGTGACCTTTGACCCCTGCCAGGTGTTGAAGGGACAGGAAGTGGTTGAGGCACACGGAGAGTGTAACTGTGGATCCGTTGGGTGTGTCCAATTTCTCAAAACTACCTCATCGAAATCTGAATGAACTCTTGATTCCTCTGATTTCAGTCCTGCCCTTTCAAGAGAAGCGAATAAAGGAGAAAAGATGTTGCAGTGTGGACGTAGTGTCACTGTTATTATTTATTTACGATGTTATTGATCAATAAATATCACATTTTATCCTAGTGTGGAAACAAAATTAGGATAAAATTATTACATTTTATTCTAATGTGATCTCCACACTGCCAAACAGAGCAAAGGTTTACAAGATCATTTTGATACCCAATAACATTTCTTTAAAAAGACATTGGGTTTAATTGCTTTGTTTAGAATTATTAATTTTGTTTGTGAATGAAAAGCTTTGAAATTATATTATAAAACAGAAATGAATGTTTAGCATTTTGGAGATGACATTTCATTTAGACACAGTTGCTTTTAACAGGCTCTATTCACACTTAGGTCATAAACCAGGAGGACGTTCAGAAAGATGAGATTACAACTTCCGGCAGGCTCTGTTCGTGGTCATAAATCTGACAAAATCTAGGAAAAATGAGAAAATGGCCCAGTTTTCTTCATCTAAATGTCATTGTCGCGTTCTGTTATGTTTGGCTGATCAAGAATTACAACCATACCTCATTTGTCATCATTTCCCGACTGACACACAACTCCGAGTGCACTGGGTACACAAAAGCGAGAGAGACGAGAGCGACAAATTCAAGATTATTTCAAAGAAGCACCTAACGTTTGCAGTCTTCATTTTACCGTTGATCACATTTACTTCAGTCGGTCGCTGAGCCCAGTGTCGGGAACTACGCCGGAAGTTCTCATCGCATGTTTCTAAACGTCTTCCTGGTTTGTGACATAAAACCACACCTTATAATGACCAATAAATGTAAAATTTATATTACAAATGAATGTCATCCCTGTATGTATGAGATGGGGTTTAACATGGACTTTTCTCCTTAAGGGACAGGACTTAATTAAAAGCAGAGGAATCGAAGGAGGTGAGTTTTAAGAAATGGGATGCGCCCTTATCTTCTGCATTACGGTAAACTGGGAGGAGTGGACAGTTTTCATGCAAGACCCAGGTGCAAAAAACCAAAGTGTGTTTTACAAAGAAAGTGCCTTCTTCTTCCAGTGAGCTCAGTCAGCAGCTGCAATGATATTTTTACTTCATAGTTTTATCATTGTCATTCCCCCTCGCAACCACCGGAGGTCCCTGTTACGAAAGGTATCGACAGTTCAGCAGTCCGCAGCGCTAAAAACACACGAAAAACACAACTAGGTCCTCCAAATGTCAGGAGTTGGAGCCGTCCAAGAGTAAAATAGCCTCCTCCTCCTCCTCTTCTTCTCCTTCTTCATCGTCATCTTCGTGGAAAGATCGGATCAGTTGAACATGATGGACTCTGGATCCTGGTTTGACATTTGAGCCATGTGACGAAGAATATCTTTTTTTGTGATAATACCAAGAAGTCGCCTGGAGAATTAAACAAAAAAGAAAACAAAAAATAGGACAAACAAAAAGATACAAGATTAATATTGGATAAAAGTGGGAATTTAAAATGGTTTAGAGGTGGTTTTGATTGTAAGAAACAGCTTCATGTTTTTGTTGAATATATTTGTTAGTTTTAATATCAAAGTTAAAGGACCTGCACACAATTTGTCCATGTATTTGAGCAAAATCTGTCTTGCCGCAGTACAGATATATCATATAAGCAGCTTTTGAGATCAAAATAAGTCCATTCTGAGCTGCTTGCATCTAATTAGAAAGCATTATTGTCTTTACCGTGATGCGAAAAGTCTGCTCTGTGTTACAATTTATTTTTATAATTGAACAAATGAAAACAAAAAAAGTGTATGAGGAAGGAATTTGTGTCATTATGTTGTTAAATCTGATCCTTTTTGTAATTATAAGTGTACAGAACTGTTAAAAAACTCAACAAAAACATGAAGTGTCATTCATCAGAGTAAACATTAGAATAAGATAAGTGACTAAAGCCGAGAAAACCAAACAGTGTTAAAGTAGCAGTAGTTAAATTTCAACAAAGCCAAAAGACAGCGGAATATTGATGAAAATTGTGTGGACATCATTGCAGAAGATTCCCCATCAGTCAAAAATACTAAACAGTAAATACAATTTCAAGCAGCGAGTAGTACCATACTCTACTATAGTATATAGATATAAAACTAGATAAAGTGATTGATGGTATTTTAGATCAAACTGAGTGATCGATACAAACTAGAAAGCTTTTTAAGTTTTATGTGTGACTAAAGACTGAGGAGAGACCGAGGAGTGAAAGAAGAAGAGGAGGAGCCAAGAGGGACCAGTTTAAGTAAATTAAGAGTAAAAAATATAAATGTTGAATTTTGGTTGAGTTTAAAATTGAAAGCACCTCCGGAATAATCTAAAATAAAGTCATGTTTTTCTTTTTTTTTAATTGTTTTGGTTGCGTTTATTGAACTGAAGAACACAGAAAACCTAAATCTTTACACTGAGTGGGCTTGCGTTTCCACAAACCTGACTCTTACTTGGTCATGGAAACATTCTTTAGGCTGTAATATTACAAAATATGGAGAGTAATTGTTTGGTTGTGGTTTGTACATTACCTTGATTTCTTCCAATTCAGACAAAACATGAAAAGTAGCTATTTGTAAAAAGAGAACTGTAGATTTTAAAGTTTTTTTGTTGGATGAAAACCAAGAGCTACAACATTTTAAACTGGACCCTGTTGGTTCAAAAGAAAAAAAGTTTAAAAACAGACTACTTTCTGTTCATTGGAAGACAGTGATAAAACTATAGACTACAACATCACTCCACTATTGACTATTGATTATTGATTATTGAGTATTACAGACCAAGGAGAGCAATGGGGGCAAGTACTACGACTAATCAGTATTAAATGTTTCTTTATAAAGTATCACCCTCTAAAAGGCCAGTGCAGTTTAAGGCCATCTGTCAGTGTCCTTCGATCTGCAGGTCAAACGTGAGCAAAAGCAAAAGAAAACAAAAAGAAAATGTTACTGGAAAACTACGTAATTCATTAAAGATGCACTACAGTACGGGTGAGGGTCGACTCGAACTTGGTCTGTTTGTCTCCATAGATAAGTATACTATAAATATATTTTAATTGATTAATCCGGTTTGTTTGTAAAGTGTTTGAGTGCACAAATACGAGGTAACATATTCATGGAGACAAGCAGGTGGCAGACCCTCCGTAAGAAAAACTACGTAGTGCACCTTTAAAAATGTCAAACTATAGTTGTAAAGGAAAGAAAAACACTGCACTCAGGTCTGTTAAGCCACTACATGCAAAGAAAGACGCTAGTATCTCGGTATCTATCTATTTATCTATCAAACAAACAAAGGATCTATTATGCGGGTAAAAGAAAAGTTTTTACAGAGTCTGGTCTAGTTTTCTGCAGCTGACAAAGCAAAGAGGGCAAGTGAACACTAAAAATATCTAGCCCCGTTTTCAGACATGGTGTGAATTGTTGGTCTGCACTACTGGCTTCAGGTGATGTTATTTTAGGTAATAACTTAAAATATTACAATATATTAAAAGGTTTCTTAGCCTGGAGATGATTTTGGTTGTTGTCTTGAATAAACAAATAGATAGCAGTAACGTTGAACTGCTTAAAAACTAATTTAACATTGTAAATTGCTTGTAATCTAGTGTCAAAGGTAAATTTAGCCCAGGGCAGGTACGGCCAAGGAGTTAATGAATAATAAAGAGATCTAAGGGCTGAACTACTCGATATTCAAACTTGTACATGTCTGAAAGCGGTTTTACTACGTGAGTGCCAGTTCACATTAAAAAGCTACAAACTTTAGACAAAGTTAAAGATGTATTAAGTCACTTTTCTGGTGTAATGTCCACAGCCTGTCTGAAAATTAAAATGTTATAGTTTTGCCAAGAAAGTTCCAAAGTATGGCATTATTTATATATTTATTATTATATATTTATCCACCATGATTTCAATTACAGATGTTTTAACTTCTCTCTCATTGAAGGTCTTTCTCTATTTTTAATTTTATGATGATTATTTATGTTTTGATTTGCTTGTATTGTGATTTTAAAGTATTTCTTATTCGGTAACGCACTTTGAATTACTTTAAAATAACTTGCCTTGCCTTAACTTTGAAAAACATTTCATCTTACTGTGAGTGATGTTTCCTCTCCACGGATCAGATAAGTTTAATAAAGTGTGAAAAAATGTATAACACACTCAGATTTTTAAATAATGTTTCTGCAAAAAAGCCTTCGTCAGATCATTTTTTTTGCTTTGGACCACAGTATGAATGATCTGACGAAGGCTTTTTTGCCGAAACGTTATTTAAAAATAAAAAAAGCTTTTGGACATCGGCCATCTGAGTGTGCTATGCATTTTTTCAGTTTCATGTTACTGTTTCTTGCATTTGTACCTCAACGAGAACCTTAGTGTGTGTTTTCTGATTAATTTTATTCAGATAAATTTAATGCCATACTGTGGAACATTCCAGGCAAAGCATTAACACCTCCACGGAGAAGAAGGTGGTGGACCCTCCACCAGGAAAGTTACCAACCTCACTTCATTGGTTTGTAGTTCAAAAAGACTTAAGTCACACCAAACTCAGAGTCAGAAAACAGTAAAAAAGTTTCTATAGTTTCAGTGAAGAAAGTCGATGCATCAACCCAGAGTTCCCAGTGAGGGAGAAGGAGGGGCTAAGTACAGAGGGAGGAGCTAAGTACCAGGGGCGGGACTCGCTGCTTGACCTCCTCCAGATGCTCTAAAATATTCTTCTTTGTGATGATGCCCAACACAATCCTGCAACACACACCACACACATGTGCACACGGCCCCAAACACAAGAGGAACACAAAAGAACAGGGGGTAACTGAAAACAAAATGAACGATTCAATAAAAAAATAAAAATAAAAAAAAAACAATTAAAAGGCCCTATATTGCACTTTAGACCTACGTTATAAAGTTGTTTCCTCATCACAAACATGCCTGGAGTTGTGTTTTGTTTCATTCACACAAAACCTGCATATTTATTCTGTGTTCCTTTTTCAAACAATCAGATATGTGTGAATAAGACAAAACACAACTCTAGGTGTGTTTTTGAGGAGGTAACAACTTTATAACGCGGCTAAAAGCTCACAGGAGTCAGTTTGGCGTAATATAGGACCTTTAGGGTGTGGAGGTGTGTTAGGCTGTTCACTGGTTTCAGCTTCATGTTTATAAGTCATTTTTACTTCAGCCTAAACCAGGAACTACCAGTACTTCTCCACCCCCTTCCAAGTAGCTCGCCAAGGGATTTCAGAATTCTATGTATTGTGGATAATAAGTAAAATTTGATTAACTACCACTGGAAATGTACCAATGGTGCTCTGATAAATGGATAATGGTTTATGTTTCATAAGCATCTAACTGTTCCTCATCTAAGACTTGAAGTGGCTCTTATATTTACTTAGTTTCTTTGTGACTTCTGAAATCGTAGCTCTCTAGCATTTTTGTTGCTCACTGAAGAAAAAAGGTTGGAGACCACTGACCTAAACCCTTTCAGTCATAATCTATGAGGTTGTAGTCTATGTTTTGTTTTGTTTTGTTTAGTAGTGCTTCAAAATGACTGAATAAACTACTACTACTACTCCTACATCCTCCTTCTGTGTGAAGTACTTGATATTTTAGACAATAAAAGTTTTCTAGTATGTTTTAGAGCAGGGGGCTCCAACCTTCAACCTTCTCCAACCTTCTTCTTCCAGAGAGCTACTAATTTTAGCGGTCATAGGAAATAAAGTATACGTAAGAGCCTTGGAAAGACTTAAATGGGGTCCAGTTAGAAAATACATAAAATATAAACCATTATTTATTCATGAATGATGGATTTACAGCAATAATAAGCATTTAATTAATCACATTTGAGTTATTCGGGACAATATGTGTAATTTCAAAATCCCTTGGCGAGCTACTTGGACAGGGGTGAAGAGCTACTGGTGGCTCCTGAGCTAGAGGTCGGTGACCCCTGTTTTACAGAAATTAACCACTCTAACGCTAATCACTTTACCTTCATAATCAGGAGGAGTAATTATAATGATGGTTATGGTATGATTTTTTAACTTGTAAAATTAACCACCACGTTTTCTTCAAAGCCATAACACACCACCATAAACAAAAAAAAAAACTCATAAACTTAAAATTAACATAGAAAATGGTCTTTGTAGGCACAACTTTGAACCAGCAGGGGACGTTTACACAACCACTTCACTCACGCCATGAATTATCTTTATTGCTGATGTCCATTTAACAGACTTCATGTGCAAATTAAAATGTCTCCCCTGTTATGTTTTTGTTTAGATGTGGTTAGTTTGGACAGCTGAGTAGAGGAAGTGCAGCACAGTGGTTAGGCCAGCGCATGCAACTTGGAACGCCAAATAATTACTGAAGTAGGCACTCGAGATTACATTTTAGGCTTTAATAGTTAGTAATAGTGCATAAGTCCAAAAATATTTACTGAGGTAGTTACTTTATTTAAAATGTTACAAATGGCTAGGTCCTTGGTTTATGTAGTTCCTAGTTTAGTCCCATTTTAATCCTGGTTCAATTTTGGTTTAGTTTGGTTTAGTTCAGCCTTAGTCCTGGTTTAACAGTCCTGGATTTCATTCTAGTTTAAGTCTCTAGTTTTTATGATTTTGTGCCATTTTAGTCCCTGTATGTACATATTTAATTCTGGTCCCGGCTACTTAGAGAGTGTAATATTACTTAAAACTTTGAGATAGTACTGTTAAGGCTGAATAAATCTTGTGAAGCGTCTTTTGTATAACCTCTTGACATGTTCAGTTGTTGTTCTTACCCGTTGTGCGTGACGAGACACTGCCGTAGCCCCAGTTTCCTGAAGATGTCGACCACGATCTCCATGGGGGTGTGGTCGGTGACGGTAAAGGGGCTCATGTCCAGGATGGAGCGCAGCTTTAGCGGCCGGGGGCTGTCGGCCGGGAGCGTGGGCGCATGCTGTGTGAAGTAAACCCGCGAGTTCAGCATGATGCCCTCCTGTTTACGGCGAGCGTTTTCTACAGAGAGAGAAAATGTATTTAGGGCAACAATGACAGTGAAGAAGTTATGGGTTATTATTTTTAGTATTTTTGTTTAGACTTCACATTCAAAAGAATGTCTGACCTGTAAGATAGTGTGGAGTAAAATTATGTTATCAAAGTTTATAAAACATAACATTCTTTTTCCACACACAGTCTTTTTTTGGTAACTAACCACCACATAAATGATGTAAACATATGACACAGGATAAATCCAACAATATTTAAGAGACATTTATATAATATTTGCATTTTTTTAGCCTTCGGAAGCACAGCAAAAGAGATCTTGCTCATAGCTGGTATAGATAACAGTGCGCACATTTACATGGCCACGAAAAATCAGATAACTGGATGAACCTTATTTGCATAATTTTCCTGTGCATGTGTGAACAATCAGAAATAAATCAGATTACTCATTGTCTGTTGTTACAAGCACACCAAAATCTGATTAATGTCTAATTTCTAGACATTTGTAGCCACTAGAGATGCAAGTGTTTACACAGCATTTTGATAAGAAGATAACTCCCCAAATCAGATTTGTCTGCGCTCACCTATAGCGATAGTGATGTCCCTGCGCAGAGCAAAGCCCACCAGCCTCTGTGACTCCTTGGACACGATCACAGGGAAGCCATTATAACTTGTCTCATTGATGATGGCCTGCAGCTCCTCCACAGTCAGGTCGTCCTGGGTCAGCACAGCGAGGGGCGGGTCACTGCGGCGTGGCCTCATCACCTCGCGGGCCAGGGTCGTGTGCGTGAACTCCTCTTTCGCGTCCAAAAACGGGTATCCGTTCAGTCTGATGTGGGCCTCATAGATGCCCTCACGCCCAAACGCATCGCCCACCCACTTACTGGTCATGACTGCCGCCATCAGAGGGACGATGTACTCCAGACCGCCGGTCAGCTCGAACACGATGACCACCAATGATACGGTCATACGGGTCACACCGCCTGGGGAGCAGAGGAACAACTACAGCGCCAAATACACAGCAATGTAGTGCTCTGCATATACTATGTTTATAACTGTAAAGCAAAGAATGGATTTAAAAGAAATTATAAAGTGTTTTATTGTCAGAGAACCAGAAAATAGTGCTGGTACACTGTTAGCATGCTAGTTGTAAGCATTGTCTTTCAGCATTGCCATAGTCTTGCTGTACCTGCAGTTTAGACTTCTATAAACGTATTCTGAAATTAATGGGATTCTTGTATTAGTTTATCAGTTCGAATTTCCTCCTGGAGTTGTTTAAATTTTGCACTATGAACAGAATACTTTTAAAACATATTGCACTTGCCATGACAGTCAGAAAAATTGCAATATTAATTCACCAACCAAAATTAGCAGCCCTACTTTCCACTCTTAGACCTCGTTTCAAAAAATATTGTTTTTAGACCCCAAAAATCCTCTGTCCGTGTGGCTGAAAAACCAACAGTAAAATACATTTACTTGTCTCTAGACTCACCCAGACATGCAGCGGCTCCCACCATGGCGTACAGCCCTGGAGTGATGCAGTCGGCCCCCACCTCGCACCACTCTTTGAACAGGAACCAGTCGTGATGGTAATAAGCCAACTGCTCCACCGCAATTCCCACAATCCTCCCTGCTATGGCGCCTATGGCCATACTGGGAATGAACAGACCAGAGGGGACCTGGAAGAGACAAATATTTGAAGATGACTTTAGAAGCAAGTGCAATATTACTAGTAGAAAATGACAAATAGTGACTTGATATTTTATTAATAGTGACTGAACTGTAAACTTGACAATTTTTGAAGAAAGAATTGAAAAATCTAAAACTGAAGTGAATTGAAATGCCGCCAAAATAACAAACAAAAAAGCAGAGGCGTGCATGTACTTTAAATAAATCTACATGTAATTTTTGTTATTTTGTGTATATACTGTACATAAAAAACTCTGATTGAACTGACACTGAAGATGTAAGTATTTCTTTTGAGGTCAACTATTCTGATTCCGAAATGTATTTTAGTTTTCGTACTTTAGTTTCCATAAAGTAAAAAACAAGAGAATAGACTTTAGAAGGAGCCTCCCTCTCACCTTGAGTCCAAAAGTGAATATAGTCATGATGATTTTGAAGATGAGGGCGAGACACAGTTGCCACATGGCGGAGTAGACGCCTGGTCCCGCGGGTCTGTTGGGGTTGTCTGTGAACGCTTTGCTGCCGTTCATTTGGCTCCTGTACTGACACAGCTGAGAGGACTCTAGGGGGCCGCAGTCTGTGAACAGCTCTTTGATCAGCTCACTCGTGTTCTGGCGCGTGTACGGGTTTGGAAAGGCCACCACCGCTGTGATGGCAGCAACCAAAATCACCTCCAGGACAGGATACTTCCCTAAATGTAAAAAAAAAAAAAACAGATTGTGGGAGTTAATGTAAAGTTCATGATAAAAAGTTATTACAGTGTTTCCCTCTAATAGAAGAGATGGTGGTGGGCACCTATAGCACATTTTTGTTTTGCCCCAATGATCTAATAAGAAGCTGAAGAAAAATTGGCAATACAAATTATATTATATGGTTGTAGTATTCTGCCCTACAAATGCAAAAGAAGAGTGTGAAACTGAGAAAAATTACTTCAAAGTTTCTGTTTTGTCCAGACAAAAGTAGTTGCTATAATGAAGAAAAATTTGTATGCAAAAAAACATTGAGCTCAAAATGGAGCCTCTGACCTTATTTGTCAGTTTCTGTTGTCTGCCTTTGTATCATGAGCCAAAAATAAGGAGTCGTGCAAAGGCAAAAGGCAGAAACTGACATGATCATTATTATTTGCCTGATTTTCCTCAGACTTCCATCCATTATAAGAACATCTCACCGAGGTCGAGTCATCAGGGTGTTTGTTTGAAATTATATAGAAGAGCTCTGGATTTCCTGTTTAGTACTGATCAGGATCATGTGGCAAAACTTACACAGTTAAACAGCTTGACACAAGTGACTTTGCAGTATAGTGTGTACAGTACGAATAAATACACAACATACTTTCACATTAAAGATAATTTAGGTATAATTGAATACAAAAGTATATTTATTTAATGTGTTAAGACCCTGTGCCAAGGTCGCACCAAAAAGAAGGCAAAAACAAACAAAACAAACACTGTTACTGCCTTTTGTCTTTGAACGACTCTATTTTTGGCAGATGATACAAAGGCAGAGTACAAGAACTACCAAATAAAGGTCAAAGGTCAATTCTGAGCTCAATATTTTCACAATATTTATTCACATGATAAAGGAGGTCTAAAATACCCCCAAAATGGCATTAACTCATTATTGCCTCTGTAGGGCAAAATACACATAACTATATTCACACTCCCAAAATAATGGAAAATGTGGCTCGGTTGTGTCAATCATAGTTTCAGTTAATACCTGTGGGAAACTAGCTTGTCGTAACATCGTCGCCATCTTATAATCATGAGTCTATTCAAACCACTGTTCTTGGTTTAGCTTTTACACTCTACATTGACTGTAACCATACTGTGGGCTCAAAACTGTTTTGTGTTGCACTGATTTTAATTATTACATGCACAGAATAAGTAAATAGAAGAGTGACGTCTTGCCACTCTATGTGTTTAAGAATGATGAAAAATTAGGACCACTGCCATAGTAATTAACAATTTAAAAGTATATATTACATCTTTTGAATGGAAAAAAGCCCACAAAGTGTTTCATATAACAGGAAGCTAAACTCATGTATAATACATGTTGGAACACTTTGCCTTTGCACCACAGAACTGCACAGTCACTGGGGCACTTTAAAATCTTGCTCAAAGCACACCTTTTCTCCTTCGCATTTGCCCAGAGTTAGGAAGAGACACCTTGGTACCTTGCTGTTCTTATTATTATTTATTAAAATTCTGCTTGATTTGCTTATTATATGTTTTATTTCCCTGTAAATGTTCAGCACTTTGGTAAGCTTTGGCTGTTTTAAATGTGCTTCACAAATAAATTTGATTATCATTAGTAGGAGATCATGTTTCAAATTTTGTCTGTTTTTGGGCTAATGAATAAAGCTTAAAACTTGACATTAATTACCAAATCTTGTGGACTTGCGGCGTCTGCACCAGGCGATGTTGGCCCGGATGAAGAAGGCCCCCCAGAGCCCCCCGAACACCCCGAGAAGGATGAAGGGGAGGAGCTCAAACAGGTACCAGGGCGTGTGGTACTCCACGTAGAACAGCACCAGACGACTGTTACCAAACGGGTTTATGGAGCGCAGCACGAATGCAGCCACCAGAGCAGCGAATGAACGCCACAGGGTCTTCAGAGGGAAGTAGTAACTCACCTGAACCAGACACAAGGCACAGAGGTGAGGGACTGAATATTGTTTTGGTCACACAACATCTTTAAGTTATAAATGATGAAGTATCTCATATATGATTAAAACAAATAAAATTAACTGAAATTTGCAATAACAATAACCGAAATATCGTGATATTGCATCGTCAAAAGTCTTATAATAATATCGTGAAGTATCACAATTTATTGAACTACAAGTTTCATTGCTTAAATTCTTCGTTATGGTGCAGGAATAGCTTAAAAAACAGTTGCAACTACATAGACCATGATCCTTTGCTCCATTTCAGCACAGAAGAAATTATGTTATTAAGCACTTATACAAATGACTGAACCAAATGCTTTTCCAAGGTAAAACCTAAAGGTTTTAAAAGTAGCATATTCACAATTCAGTTACTCTCCACAAAATATCGCAAACAATATCGAACCGTGACATGCATATCATGAAAATATCGTATCGAGGGATTTGGCTATCATTACATCCCTAGTTATTAATGAAAAATTCTTTGGGAAATCCTGCATTTTTACTGTGAACGGGGTCAACTCTCCACAGCTCTGTCTCAATTTGATAAGTTTAAGGCCATGCTGGGAAACATTCCAGGCAAAGCAACACTGCCTCTAAACTATAAATTTTCTGGTGATATAAATGACATAAATAGTTCCTGTCATTGACCTAAAATCTACATTTCGACTGTGTCAGTACCTCCTCTAAACTGAAGAGCACTCCTCCGATGGGCGCCCCAAAAGCCACAGACACGCCCGCAGCAGAGGCCGCCGAGAGGACCTGCAGAAAAAAATCAAAAGCACCTCAGAAAACACACTCTACAGTTTACTCCACCTGTGGCCTTAACTATTACATCTGTCAGTGAAGTGCAAAGCTTTTACACCAAGCACTACTACTATATTGTCTTTTTCAAAGGGTAGGGACTAACAACAAAAATAGGCATAAACCAGGACAAACTATAACAAAATCGGGTAAAATTTGGACTGAGCCACATCTAAAGCAGCACTTAAACTAGATCTGAATAAGGCCTAAATCAAGAAGATAATAAAAAATATACCACGACTAAACTACTACAGTCCTTATCCAGAACATAATCAACATAACAAGGAAAAAATTATAAAAAATTCAAAAATTACCAAATGAAAGAATCTAAAATTTTAGCCCAATCCCTTCAGTCGTTCCAGAGTTGCCACCAGGGGGGTATTTTTGATTGCCGCTCAATTTTTTTCTTTTCTTTTTGAGGTCCAAGATCGATTTTCTCCAAGCAGATATTTACAAACTAACTGCTGAACCTGAATATTTGAGAGGATGACCATTTCTGACAGCAATCTCACACTATTCTGAGCTTTCATGTGGATAGTGTGGAGTCACAGACCAGATTTGACCTTTTTGGACCCTTCTTTGGACTCTCACTTCCCCATGTGGGCACAGTTAGATGTTGATAACATTTTTACCAGATAAACTTTGGTATATTCTGATTAGTTTAAAGTAATAAACACATCTACTATCAACTTCCTTTATTTCAAATGCAATTTTAGAAATGTTTTCAGCCAAATCTGAGATGGCTCATAGGGCAGGGCGGCTGATTTCATATGGACGAACCCTTTTGCTTCCTGATTCTCATTGTTTTGCTTTTGACCTTTGACATCTCACCTCTCGTTTCTTGGCTTCATTCTTGCTGTATTTAGGGAAGAGGTAGGAGAAGATGTTTCCGCAGCAGCAGGCCACGTGCACTAGGGGGCCCTCTTTCCCCAAACTCAACCCAGATGCCACAGCCAAAACCAGAGTGATGGTCTTTATCATCAAGGTCCATTTTCCCAAGTAGCCTCTGATAATAAAGCCACTGAGAATAGTTTTAATCTGGAGAGAGAAAAACACATGAGGTCACATTATATTGAACATTTGAACTAGGGTCAAAAGTAATAAAAAATCTGACACTAATCAATACTAAAACTTTAAAACTAGATCCTAAAAACTCACATTCACAGAACAGATATGAGCCTTCTTGAAGAACTTAAATATACAACTCAATACAGTTCAATAAAAAATAAAGACTGTGACACTAAACATCTTTGTTAAACCACTTCTTGAGCAAAGTTAATATCAAACACACATATTTTAATCCTCAAAACAGTAAAAATGTCAAATGTGTTGCATAAAAGAGTTTCCTTCCAAAAAACGAACAACAAAATTGTAGCGCTGTAACAAAATAATTCAGGAAAATATGCCAAAAAATATATCGATACCGCAGCCCTCGATATCGATACTGTATCATCACATTAAATTATACGATATATTGATATTTCGATATTTTTGCACACCCCTAATCACCGTGGTATAGGAATTGGTATTGAATATCATGACAACACTGATTTCTTTGCCTTTATCAATGAGGCAAAATTGATTCTCTTCCATATTTTACACTGAGGCAGACAAGATTACTTTTTTGTGGTGTAGTTTTACAGTTGTTGGTGTAATATGAATTTGTGGGTTTTTAGCATTTACCATAATAGCAGAATAGGAATATATAGTAGTGTATAGAATTTACATCTATATAAAGGTGCAATGTGTAGCTTTTCTGTCAGAGAGTACACTTTTTGGATCAACTCTGAGAACGATGAGAATTACCGTAGCCTGTTCTCATGGTAACACATGTGTTCCTCACAGCACCGCCACTCTATCTTTCGGTCCCTTTTGAGGGAAAATATCGAACCACTTCAAGGCCTTTTAATAAAAACCACAGATTTTCTTTGCCTTCCCGAGAAAGCACTTAATAAAACCAATTTATAACAACTTTAGACAACACCATGTGTCTGAGTGTCTGCAAATATAATGCAGACGAGAGGAAGAGCGAAAGCTGCAAATTATGTTACATGAAAATTGTTGTGTTATGTGGCTCAGTAAGTGGATTCATTTGTTCAGGAAATTAAAGCTAAAATCCTTGTTTACCAAAGAAAATATTGTAACAGAAGTGGTACAAGCCTATACTAGTAACTGGCCAAATATGGAAATCTATATTAGTACTACACTACTTATACAATACTGCAAAAACCTTGACACACAATTGAGATTTTGATCCCAAAGTACATCAAAATCAATTATACAACAGCAAGGTAATTTTCAACAGAAAGTAAAACTCATTTATATTTGTTTGCAGTTTTATCTTGTACTAGTTCTGTTAAAGACCATTCAAATACTATTCAAATGTTTATACAAATGAGCATGTAGTTTTGATACTAGTGTCTAGGTATAGATTATTTTTGACATCCCTGTGTATAGATATTTTGATTACAGTCGTGGCTCTCACCTCAGGGATCCCAGAGCCGCAGGCGTATGGAGCAAACACTTTGACAAGGCAGACGGCCAGAAAGGCAAAAGACAGCGCCCAGTAAATGTACATGAAGTAGTTCATGATGTAGGAGCCTGGGCCCTGGAGAGACACACGTGAAAGAAGAGTTACAACAAAATACAAACTTAAGAATGTTTGAGTCAGACAAGGAGGAAGATTTATTTTAGTAAATTCAAGAAGTCTTTATCTGTTGTGGTGTCTTAGTTTCTGAAATAATTATGATAATTATTTTATCTATTTATTTTATCAATATGGCTATTTATTATTCTTTAAATCCTGATACAAAAGAAAAAAGTGATAATGATGTAATTGACAACATATACCTAAAGGTTGCAGAAAACCCAAGGCACTCAGTCATGGCTGAATTTGGTGCTAAAAATGACACGCTCCTTGATTGTCTTTGGTGGATTTCTAATAAGGAGAGACATACCTAAAGGTGTTTTTGTGTAACAATTGTACAGACTATTTAAGACAGAGCTGTAAATTTCCACTCCTCATGTCTTATCTCTTTTACAATCAAGATTTTAGTATCTGTAGAGCTTCCACTGTCAGTGGTTAAAGTCTCACAACACCACACATTTTAGTCAAAGATTTAGACTGAATTAAAGTCCTTTATTTCTTTATGGGTGTTTGTCAGCATTAAAACATGCACCTATGAAGTCTTTGTCTCCACAGACCTGATTTGTAGACCAATCACAATATTTAAAGCATAATTTATTGCTACAGAAACATCATGATAAGCAGCAATACTGAAAGTGCTTTCTTGAGCTGTACCAGAACAAATATAACAGCACATAGGCTTGTATACACACTGCAAATTTCTCTGATCTGGCCAAGATTTTAAAATCATGTTATTCATATCGTTTTCAGATTTATAATCTACTTACTAGTTCTGAGACTGCTTAATTCTAGTCTAGAGGTAATTTATTTTAAGATAAATTGTCAAGTGAAATGATCTTTAATAATTAATAATTATGATGATAATTTCACTACTTTTAAGACATTTTTGGATAGATTTAAGTGTTTGTATTTCATATCTTTGGCCAAGCTTTTTTGCAGTGCACCCAGGGACCACTTTAGAATATACCTGGACTAACTGAGAGACCATGAAAATATAAAGTACTATGATTTAATCTTCAAAATCTCTTTCTATTGTCTAAATAAAGGATATTTTTAAATTATTGTTGTTCGACTGGAATCAGTATTGAGTATCGAATCCATTCCTTAGTATCAAAATCGTTTAAAAGTTTAGTATCGTGACAGCACTAGTGAGAATTTACCTCGGCCTGTCCCAGGATGAGTTCAGCCCAGCTCTTCCACTGGGGGCACTTGTCTCTCTCGGCGAAGGTGGTCTCGTTGGACGTCCAGCAGCACTGCTCATGGTTAAACCACATGGCACTCAGGCACACACCCTCCTTTATGTCATTCATCCAGTCTGCAGCTATGTCAATCAGGCCGGCCAGAGCGCCTGAGGAGAGAGAGAGAGGAGACAGAAAAGAAGAAGAAAGAAGGAAGAGAGAGGAGAAGAGAGAGAGGAGAGAAAGAGGAGAGACGGCAGGAGAAAAAGGTGTGGGAAAAGGATGGGAAGACAGAGAAAATGGAGTGTGAGAAGAGACATGAAAAAAGGAAAGAAGGTGTGAGAGGAAAGAGAGAACAGAAAAGAGAAGATAAAAAAAAAAAGAAAGGGAAGAGATCAGATAAGAAAGAACATCAAAGCAATCTTCCTGTTAAGATTTTTTTGTTCAATCTAAACTGAGTCAAAGGATTATCTAAATTAAACAACCATATGTAGAAACATTTGAAGTGTGTTTTTAATTCATTCGATGCTTTATAAAATAATAATACTCATAATTTTGACAATTATTGACAAAGCAATTTGGGTCAGCATGCGAGTGTCAGCAGCAGTGTGTTGAGAATCTATGACAAAGACATTTTATTATTATTTTTATTTATTGTACCTGAGGCTAAACCAGTCAGCGTCACCACCAACCACCCAGACCACGCGTCGTACAGGCTCTTTGTGAACTCCCATGCCGACTCCTTCTTCTTACTGTTGATCTAAAAACAAAACCATTAAACCACTGTCAGTCATAATTTCACTGTTGAGTTATTTAAGTAATTTAGAGGACTTGTTTAAAAGCACTTTAACATCTGCAGCAAATGTAATATTAAAGGTGGACTATGAAACTTTTCTGGTGAATGGTCTACCATCTGTTTGTTTTAAGCTTTATTCTCATGCCAAAACAAACATATAAACTCATAGTGGTGAATAATTAGGATGCTCAAAATGCATAAGGTAAATGAGGAATAACTTTGGACCGATGCGAGTTCTGTTCTGAGTTTTTAAGACTGTGAAATCACGTACAACCCCTTTAAGTGTTCAGTTTTTCTGTGTGCACTAAATGAGGTCTATCCTTCTGTCTAGGTTTTATCTACATCCTTTACTCATGTTGATAAAGCCACTTCCTGTTCCTGTAGCAGCAGGTTGTAAAAAATGTTTCAATTCAAACAGCTTTAAAATTCTCAGAGATAAAATTCCTTTGAAGTAGGTTTAAACCGAATCAATGGACTCAGTGTTGACACAGAGGAGTTACATCAGCTCCTGGAAAAGTCTACTGAGGGCAACTGTATTTTCAAAACAAAACCTGTGGGGCAATGGTTTAAATGATTAACTAGGGGTGAGCGATAATGACAAAAAAATCCAATTGATTTCGATATAAAAAAACAAACTGTGTGGTTGTAGCTGACTAAAGGAATTCTTGGTTGATTAAGATCATGTCCTGCTGATCAATTAGTGAAATAAAAAGGGGGTGGGGAACTATTATGTCCCTCTATATGTGACCCAAGCTGAACTCACAAGGCTACAACTACACAGGACTTGCACAGGACACATTCATGCATAAAAACACTTGGGAAAAATGTTATGTTTATGTAAAAAACACATTAAACTTCACTCCCAAATCTTCAGCAAACACTTTTCTGCTCTTGTCGTATAAACCCTTATAATCTAAAAAGAAAAATTTGTTGAATAATCAGGTATCACACAAAAAATACTGTAATTTCTGGACTGACTTGAGTGCTCCTGAATATAAGCCAATAAAATTTTAAAAGAAAAAAAAAATTGTACATATATAGGCAGCATTTGTCTATAAGCCGCAGGTGTCCACGCTGTAACTTGAGATTTTTACACAGAAAGATTTCTTAAAATTTCTAATTAAATACTGCTATATGCTTTTCTGAACAGTGCCTGTAAGACAGCAGCAAAACAACAGTATTATGACAGGATTATCACTGATGACTCTTTGTGATCTACTGCGCCTGTCTCCTGCAGAAAGAGCCACTGTCCAGTCTCGTATCATGTCAGTGTCTTGTAGAATTTCAGCAGATTTCAGGCTCTCTTGTCATTTAAGTACTCACCTGCATTTAACACATACGAGTTATTAAGATGTATCCCACTCACTAATGTACATTTAGCATCATAATTTATTTTATTACATGGAGATAAACTACTTTAGTGTTGACAACAGCGCCAGCTAATGTTGCAGCTTCATGTGAACTGCACTGACCCCGACGTGACAAATAGTTCGTCCATATATTAGCCGCATTGTTGTATATAAGTTCAAAGTGTGAGAAAAAAGTAGTAGTGGTTTATAGTCCGGAAATTACGATAAATGGACAGTAACATTTAACACAAGTGCAGAAGTATCATCTTATAGCCTTGTTTGAAAGATTAAACGCTAAAAAAGTATAAACCTGCTTGTCTCCATGGTGATATCTCTTATCGCTTTACCTGGAATATTCCTCTGAATGGGATTACATTAATCTCCATGGAGAGAAGTAGTGCCCCAAGTTACAATTCTGATTTGGGGCGAGGTGACACAGCACACAGTCAGAATGCTTTGCAAGGTATCAAAACATCCGGAATCGAATTAAAGAACAATAAAGAAGTTTAATGCCATACTGTGGAACATTCCAGGCAAAGCAATGACATCTCACAGAGAAAATTATAGCGGACCTCATACTACAACTACAACATAATAATCTAATTTACAGGTTCCATGATGTTGAGTAACCATGGCGACTAACCTTGCGGTGGCGCTCTCGGTCCTTGCACTTCTCACGGACCCAGTCGATGGTGTGGAAGTCGTCGTAGGTCCCCACTCCAGGGATGGGCTCCTCCAGGAAGTCCAGCAGGTGGGTGGAGCTACTGGCCCCGCCCCCATTCGACATGGCGTAGTTAGACCCTGAACACAACGCACAGAATTTATATCAACATTACTGAACATTCGGCTTCTGTTTTTGATATGAGTCTTTGCGAGTGTAACAATATATGAAGAGTATCGCAAATGGAGCTCAACAAGCCCACTTCAAAGTCGTCTCTGGTTCCAAAAGTAATTTTCCCATTCATTTTTCCCATAATAATAATTAAAACATTAAGACTTCAAAGTCACTGTAGGTGCTAATCAATCTACGTCACAACTCATGTCCATAATGTAGTTGTTTTAAGTCCAAAAGGCACATTTAAAATGCAAGATTTGACTAAATGTTTTAATAACTTAGCGGTTTATAAGGTTTCGGGAATGGATTTTAAATAAAAGTCATGTGGTCGTTAGTTACCATAGAGCCGATTAACCTTGAACAAGTTTTTTTTGGAAAGTCTATGGGGAAAATAAATGGGATATTTACTTTTGGAACCAAGGACAGGAGCAATTGTTGAACTCCATAGGCAATCTGAACTGTATGGAAAAAAAAAAAAAAAAAAAACTCAAAAATCAAAAAGGCTGATAACCCTCCCTGTGTGTTCTGTGTATGTATGGGATTTTAGTTGCATTTTTTGCCTATTTTTAATTTTTTTAATATACAATAATCATGTTTTTAAAAAGGTGTTATAATGTAAAATAAACTTTCCATTTCAATTGCTCATTGCATGTCTGTTTAATTCTGTATTGTCCTATTCCTCATCAGTGCCTGCTGCTTTGAATCTGTTCAATAACCAGAACTTGGAAGTAAGACACCGGATCATACATGGAGAGAAAGATAAGAAGCCAGAGAGAAGGAGAGAAGGAGGAGAGAGAAAGGGAGATAGAGAGAGCTGGCAGACAAACTGATATCACCAAAACAGCAGCTGAGGTTTGAGCCCTCAAGTGACACAGAGGAAAGGAGAAGTGACTAAGTTTAAGAAAGTTCAACTACTTCCAAGTTTATTTACTAGACTACTGTGCATTAAATTTAACTTAAATTCAGGTTTGTGCAATTTTTTGTTTAGCTTTGTCAACAAATTGTGCAAAGTTTTAAACAAATATAGCTTTTAACATGATACGAATAAAGTAAAACCAAATCAGGATGAACTAGGGCAAGCAAAAACCATTGTACCTAAGTTGCGATGATCAGACTCAAGATCTGAATTAAGATGAACCTTGGCTAGACAACCAGTTTATTTCTGTCTTTTTGGTATTTTTCTTAAATGTATTGGTCTGATTGAATGTATTTAAACTCAGATATAGTGTCACTATAGTGTATATGCGGTCGTAGAATCAGTTCTTAGTGCACGGCCATCAGGTAGCATTGCGTTATACTGGCTGGCTCGTATCTTGTCTGGGATGACTCATATAAAAAACGAAGGGCGTTTTTCAGTCCAATCCTGCATAGGAACAAAATGTCTTATCAAATATTCTTTTTCTTTTTTCGGGGCATGATGTGCGTGGCTGCCTAAAGAAGCACAGGACAATTTAAGCAACATCGTCAATCAGCTAAAACAGGTTTGATGACGCAGAAGGAGATGCTGTAAAAATTGGGAAATTATCACTATTGTATTTACTATCCTACATCATTTTCATTGCGTATGAAAGGGGCCAGATGGAAAGAAACTCTAAAATATGATTAAAGAGTCTATACCTGATTTCAAACCATGAGTCAGGAGCGTGTTTTAGATTGAACTTTTAGCCCCCCGCTCACTTTCTGCTGCTGTGAGATTGCACCATGACACAGCAACAACTGTTTTGGATGGTGTCAGTCAGTAAGATTAACACAATTTCTTAGTATCAATGTGTCTGATAAGATAGAAAAGAAAAATATGACCTGGATTGTCTATAGTTTCTGTAAAATGCTACGTAAAATTAATAGATTATATTTTAACAGACTCATTTTGTTCCTTATTTAACTGCTTTTAACATACAGTGCTTGATGTAACGAGCACTTCTCTTGACAAGAATAAATTAAAAGCAATAAATGGCTTCACACGCTGGTGGAGTAGGCAGTGCAGATTTTAAAAGGCCCATAGTGCGATATTTTCTGATCTGTTACATTTGTTCTTATCAAAAACATACCTGGAGTTTTATTTTGTTCATTAACAAACAGACCCTGGCTTCTCCCAAACAGAAAACACCTTGTGATGTCATGTGATAATGCAAAAAGCGCTCCACTGTGTTTTTAAACTCCATACACCCACTAGAATCATTTGGATAATTTCAGGTAGACATTAACACAAGATGTAACTAAGCATTTTGAGCACTGAAGATGAAGCCTACAGGTATGTTTTTGGTTGGGCAACAGCATTAGGACATGGTTTCTCAGTTTTGCGTAATACAAAACCTTTAAGTAATAGAATTATAAAAGCCTACGTGATGTCTTGTCTAGCACAGACTACATATGAGTGTTCTGAGGTCTCTCCTGTGTCTCTGCATGAGGTCTACACTCTCCTACTACAGTGCAGCAAATCAGATGAGAGGTTTACAACTGATTAGTGTGAGTCAGCGGGGCAGCTCTGCATCAGGTGACCAGTCATGTGACCAACCCTGACAAAACCCCTGTATGTACTGAGGGCTATTCTTATTGCCATCATCTTTATGCATTAAAGTTGAGGATCAGAACAAGTTTAATGAACCTCCATGCAAAAGTAAAAAGATATCTACAGGTTTATCCTTATTTCCTAAATCTATGTTTACTTTATATTTGATTTCATGTATTCCAAGACTGCATAATGTTTAATAGAAATGACAACAGGTAAGGGTTATCATTAGGCAGCAAAAATGTAATTAGAACAACTGCACAACATATCCTAAATTCTAACAACACTGCCACAATCCAACCAAATATGTGTTAATAAATACATTTACAGTCACACGGCATCACACATTTCCACCACTGCATGAACTGCCTCAAGTCAAGAGCAAAAGGGTAATTAACCAAAATCAAATGTGCTTCTTTAAAAAGTCACTGGGGGCTTTCTGTCTCTGCTCGCTTGCCGTAATAATCTAACAAGCCCTGAAGGAGCTGCAGAGGAGAACATAACAGCGGTGACAAACAACACCCTGGATATAAGGTTATATTATAGGTTAAATGTGCAATAAAATAACGACACAGGTTGGCCTTTACCTTAAGAGTTACTGGAGGGAGCTATATCATGACAATGAAACCACACTGAGAACAACAAGTGCGTAAATACTGCAAAAACACGACAAATCCTTTAGAATCGCCTATTTCACGCCGAGTTTGCGCCTTCGAAAATTGAATGGATGTTTAGTTAATGTAAAGGCTATAGGCCACAAGTAGGCTTTTCTTGGGTCACTGTTTTAGCATTTATAGGTGACAGACATGCCCTTGCTTCATGTTAATGTTCAACAGAAAATAAATATCTATTAGAAAATGTAATAAAGCTAATCCACATGGTTGTATGAAATGCGCTGGAGTAAGATATGTGCAGGCTCGGTTAAGTAATTACGCATGTCAATACTATATGCTTGTTTTGGCCTCTCGTTCAATTACTCAGATTTTAAGGTTATTTGGTCGTACCTCTGTTGGATATTTCATGCAGAGGGATGGTGTCGCCTCCCCCGTCGTAAGGGAGGTAAGGATCAGCTGCCGCGTCCTCCTCCTCCATGTTGACAGTCGGGAGGCTAATGCTAAAGCTAGGCTAATGCTCACTGCTAGAACGCATCGCGGCTCTCTCCGCCTGTGTCTGCCATGTTTGACACGGGACAACAGCGACAACAGCTCCGTGAGGGTATCCGAGTCAACAGCCCCCTCCCTGGGTGGTTTTGCCCCGGGTCTCTCGGTCTCACTGGCTGCGGTTCAGTGACGGTGCTGCGTTTGGAGCTGACGCAGCGGGTGGTGTTCTACATAGAAATGCACCCCCAGCTATTTGATGTATAGAATCAGTCTCTTCTGTATCTCCAAAAATAAAAATCCAAAAAAAGTCCTGTTAACTAAATGTAATACGAGTTATTAATTACCATATAATAATAATATAATCAGTATAAAGTGTAAGTGAAACTAGGTACCCAGTCATGGTTTGTCCCAAATGGTATTCATGGGTTTCAGTTTCCTGTTAAACATTTTTGTCCCATTCAAAGATATGACATTTTGTTATTATTGCAACAGTCCTAATTTCTCATTCTGAAACTAATGGACTTTCCAGACCATTTAAAAGTGCAAATTGACAAGGGGGTAAACTTAAGATCTGATACCAACATTTGATATTAGGCTATTACATAAATATAATAAAAACTATGAGAATGGAAAATATGAATCTCTTGTGGCATTAATGCATAGGTGTAAATACGGAAAAGTCTGAAGCCTGCAATAAACTGACTGACAGGTTAATCATATGTGAATGTGTTTGTTGACAAGATAAAAAAAAACAGCTTATGTGAGGTGTTGCCACAACACTAGCTGGCCTGCTTTTTGTTTCTGTAGGTCATGGGAAAGACCAAAGAACAGTTTACAAGGAGATCATATAGTTAGAGTCTATTCGATTTTGTGCAAAGCAATTCTGAGCACAGATAAACAGGCCTAATGACTTTCTCTAATGTCCAAGAATGTAACAACAAAGATGCAATTCCACCCTATATGCACAATATATTAACAACAAAGAAATACAAATGAATTTCAGTTACAGGTGGTACAAATACATTATTTGAAAGATAGTTGATAGTGATCATTAAAAGAGAAGAGTACTACTGTGTTCCTTTGTGTTTAGTTACAAGACTTTTTGAAGAATCTTGAATATATGTGAAGAGGGAACTGACAAAAAGCCTTGGATGTTAACAAGTCCAAAATGTTTATGTGCACAAAACCAAAACACAGGATAACAACAATGCAAAAAGACCGCACAACATCAAACAGGGAATCTGATACCAGCCTACTTAAAATCATTATGTACTGAGCCATTCCAACTCACAAGACAGTCACTGTTTTGGCTGTGTTTCCATACAAACTCATGCAACCAAACAAGTCCATTACAAGTCCATTATTCCCAAAACAAGTATAATGTTTCTGGTACTATCCGTTTGTTATTACTACAACAATGTGTTATTTTTCTGTGAATTTTCTAGGCTAAATAATTTATCTCATAGTGAGTAATGATCCCCAAAATATTTTATCACATTGGTTTTAAGCAGCTAGATTCCCTTCCACAATGTCCATTTATCCAGAGTGGGATTGGCACAAAGACTTAGCTTCTTTTGAACCCATGCGGTCGGATGGTGACTTTTTCAATTTTGTAGTCACTAATATATTTGATATGCCATTTTCCCCACAACAGTTTTGCCAAGTCACACTTTCTAAATCTCTTCCAAAGCCTTTACTTTAACACAAAAATCTTTTCCTAATCCCAGACCTTTTTGTGTTGTACTGAGGGCTCTCACTGCCAGCTCAGTACTTGTTATCTTAGCGTGTGTTATCAGAGGTATAATACTCCCTACAATGGAAGCATGGCCAGACTGGACTGGAAAAGACTTGAATGGAAAACACTAACACAATATCTTGAGGGGGCTGGGTCCCATTACAACGGTCAATAAACTTCTCCTGCGTTAAAACTCCAGCGTAATGCCTCTTCTCTTCAACTCTTAGGCTACAACAGTTTATTCTACCGATAAATATTTGATAACATAGCGCCAGTGTGGCTGTTTTGGCAGAACCGTCTTGGAGGGGAAATGTGTTGTTTTTATATGATCTTTATTGGGAATTCTACAGCTGATCACTTATAGCTAATTTATCTAGTGCACTGTGGTTCATGCAAGAATTGGGACTTTAGGTTTTAAGACAGATGCCCTTCCATAATGTCACTTTTTTCCAAGCATGGAACTGGCACAAAAACTTCACAGTTTTCTTGACGCTCCTTGTAGCTTCAATAAGATCACTATAATATTGAATAAAGTGACCAATAAAGCATATTTAAATCAACTGATATTACCCTTACCTTTTGGGGTAGCCCTTGTTTTTAAGCACTAGAGGAATCAGCCATGTTGCCCCACTCGTATGTCCAATATTGTGCATCAAAACGCAACATAATCCCAAATTTTGCAATGCGTAAAGATTCCAAGCCGATCTACTTCAGTTCAAAGACATTTCCCAAATACTTTGACTGCTTAAGAAGAACTGTGCCAAGTCTTTTAGTCCTCCACGCCTCCATATCCCTCTGTTGTGAGCCAAGCCGGTGGTGAATTGACAGAAGTGGTAGCTCGTACAAGCTTGTGATCCCGCCCCTCTCAACTCAAACTGGGCAGAAATAGCTTGGAGCCAGAGGCCACACAGCAGTGCAAAGGAAGAGCTCTTATCCCCAGATTTCCTGAGTCATTCCAACAGCAAATAGAGAGGGTTAAAGGGAAACTTATATCCTGAATGAACTGTGGAGGGTGGCGCTAAGTAGTGCTTTATTCTTACTGGTTCAGTTGGGTTGTAAAAATGCAGATAGTGGGCGAGGCCATGAGTAAAATTCCAATTCATATTTCCTACTGACTTCCCCTATTAGGAGTTTAAAGGAGGAGCGATATCGACAAAAATATTATTACATTGACAAAACTATGTCAGCATTTTCTTGTATTGACAATAGCAATATTTTAATGACATTTAAAGATATCCATATGACCAAATATCTTAAGTAACTAAGGGCTGTGCCTGTGACAAATATATTCAATGATAAAGAAACAAACAAACAACAAAAAAACTACAATATGCAACATTTGAGGTTTACAAAGTTTTATATTAACATTTTAAAAAGTACATGTTTTTAAGGGTAAGTCTATGGGGGAAATGCAAGAAAATTCTCAGCAAAGTCTCAAAGACATTGCATATATAAAAAGGGTACTAGGGTTTTCTACAACATGTGTCTTTTTACTTGCAGATTTGACATCATGTATAATTTTAACATTTTCTTTGACCAAACCAATATAACCAGAACAGCAAATAGTGGTCAAGCATATAAGGAATGCATGCCTTCAACTTAAAGACTTGACTAAGTAGTAGCAAGAAATGGCTGGATCTCCTAAATCAACACACAAGGCAAATAGATAGAAGTGTCCTTGTGAAAGCACTGCAATATCTAAAAAAAATTGTTTGCCAGTTTAAAGGAGCTTAATTCACTTACATACAAGGAATAGGTTCAATTGTTGCTTATTTCTTCAGCGAAACAATCCCTAATGTTGTTAAGGCATAATAAAGTGGTTATAAACTTTGAGGGGAGCAGATCCCACAGTTTTGGCTCTCAGTGCTTCATGTTGTTGCAGCTGTGAGCCTCAAACTGAGAAGTGAAATGAGGACGAAAAAAATACTCAGCAGATTTTTCGTCGACAAGGAAGATTCAACAGGAAGGAGCAGATTCTGTTTCAGACACTTGTATGTGGAGGATGTGGGTGAATGAAAACAGCTGTCTGCACTGTAGGCAATGAGCACACGGTTTTATTAGGTATTTAAAATAATGATGGATGACCTACTGTACCTAAATATCAAATGATAGTAAACGAGATGAATTTCAACAATGCAAGTATTGAAACTGAAATAAACATAAATAGTTTTATAAAGATCATGATCTGTATATCAAATTTGGCATGGTAAAATTTCCTATCCTATCTGCCTACTAGGGCTGGGAATCACAGGGTCCCTCACGATATTATATTATCACAATATGATAATACATGCGATAATCCATATATTACACATTATCTAATGCTGTTTTTAAGAACCAGATATCATATTTTCGGACTATAAGTCACACTTTTTTTCATGGTTTGTGTGGTCCTGTAACTTAATACTTCTGTGCGACATATATATAAAAATTTTCACACTGACAGCCACGAGAGGCTCTAGGCTTGTGTGTCAGTATCTGCTACTCCTAATACTCCTGTACCAATGTCACTTCACTCTATTGCGCATGTCTCCTGCAGAAAGAGCTGCTGTCCTTCCTCAAGTAGTGAAATATTCAGCCAAAAACGGTAATTGAGCAGCAGAAAGAAAGTTTGGAGTGAGGGAGAAACTTGTGAGGGACTGGCAAAAGGCGGGGATGGAGAACACAGCTTCACGGCAACCGGGTGGGTGCACCATGAAACTTTCCTGGAAGTCACTGGATCGACAAAGTCCAGGCTTTGTTGATCCATCCTGTCGGGATTCAGAAAGGCTGGAATAATTCTAACTGGATCTGATTCCAAGTCTGACAACAACTACACAGAAGAGGAAGCGGCGCTTCGTTTACCTCCGGAGGTCGCAGAAGTGACACAGAGGATGAACAATTCAATATATTTTGTGATTTGGAATGAGATGGAGAGTTTGGTAAACTTGTGCTCTTATGTTGTTTATGCTATATTTATCTGATGCCTATACAGCCTGTTGTTCTCTTTTCTATTGTTATTACTATAACTTGCCTTTCAAGATGAAATGTCGGTTCCAGGTCTCTGATTTTTTCCCCCAAAAAGTGCAACTTATATATGCTTTTTTCTTCTTTATTATGCATTTTTTGGCTGGTGCAACTTGTGCAAAGTCAGTATGAAATACATGTATTAATCATCAAAACAGTGAATATGTTAAGTGTATTGCTCTTGACGATATATGACTCAGCAGCACATGATAGTGATACTATATTGATATTTTGATATTTTTGCACACCCCTACTGCCTTTGTAGCTATTTTCTTGTTGTATAAAATAAAATAAAGAACCCAGATTACTCTCCAACATCACTCAGTCAGGTGTGTTATTTTTAGCCACACACACAATGACCAGTGTTGTGCAAGTTCACACTTTTCATGAACTAGTTCAAAGTTCAGTTCACACTTGTTCAAAGTGAATAGTTCACGTTCATAGTTCCAATTTTAATTTTGAACTAGTTCAAAGTTCAGTTCATTTTATATTTAGATGAGATCTGTAAATGAAAGGCTGCATTTATTTTTCAAACTGACTTCTAGTTTTACAACAACTTTACAAGATACACTGTTGGACAAGTGACTTTAAAACTGTAATGTGTTATTTATGACTTGTTACTGTCATTTCAAACTCATTTGTTACATTACAATATTACTGTATTTAA